GCTAATAAACGCCCAGGGCTATAATATAGGGCTGTATTTCATACGGCCTTGCAGATACGAAAAATACCACTGTGATGTCCTCTTGAAGCACGAGTTAAAATACAACCATGTTTGAAACCCATTCAGCGAGGAAATCGAATATTGGTATTTTTTCTATTTTTAAATTTAATTTTAAGTTCTCCCCTTCTAATATTAGAACACAACATACATTTTCTATATTATAAACATAATTTCCTAAGAAGAATCTAATAAAATAATTATACGTACCTAAATTATAAAATAAAATAAACGTTTATGAGCCAGAGCGCAACAGTTAATAATATGCTGGCGAGAGTGGCGACGACCCTGACGTCCCCATAAATTATACATAATTATTATTCTTGAACGTTTTTCGTGTCATAAGTTAAATAATGAAAATCTGAACGGATCAATATACGCGTTTGAAATTCACCCGTTTAAATCATGACCTACAGAATGACATTACACGATCCCGTGCGTGGGACTTGATTCCTACTATTAATATTACTAACTGGTTATTAATATAGATTCATTGTTGATTATAATGTCTCGATTACTCACTCATTGAACTTAAAAATATGTTCTTTATTGAATCAATGGTCAATTAATGGGAGCAGGGGGAGCGACGGAAATAATATCCCCAGTAGACTGCGGTTAACCTGGTTTAAAACGTATAATAATACAATATTAAAACGTATAATATTATAATATGTGGCATACCGTGTTATTATTTTACGACAAACTCAGCAACAAAGTTATTTTAAATTTTGCATGAATCAGTGGATATGTGAAGGCATTTTCACGACACTGAATTCCGAAATAAAATTGAGAGTTCTGCTATTACATTACCCCTTACACTTCACTTATAAATAAAAAAAAATATGAATATAGATTTCCAATTTAGTTTTATACCACATAAGAACAACTTATGGGAAACCTGAATAGCAATGTAGAACATTTATATAAAGCCAAAAATATTGTATCCAATTACAATAAAAAAAAAAAAATAATAATAATCAATTTCAATAAGGTTATTAAAAATACCTAATTTTAAAATTAAGAATATCTTATATTTTATTAAAATTATTTCCAAATACCCGAAAATCCATAATTGGGACAAATTATTTATTTAAATAGAAACAATAAAAAAGAGTTGATACTGTTGATAGGTCTGCCAATGTTGTAGGTGGGAAGATAGAAAGGTAGGATACATAAAGTTATTTAATTTATACCTATAAGCAACGATAAACCATTTCTAACGAAAAACGATTCTGAGCGAAGTTTGATAAAGTGTTTTTATATCTTTGTTATACACACAAGCAACATAGCAGTTAAATGTTCAATTTCCAACGTAACGATTGATCTAGTAAAGTAATAAAAATTCTGAAAGGAAATTTAGATTTGTCGTCAAGTCTTTTGTTTTTTCATCTTTTTTTTCCGGTTTTGCTCAGCTGTAAATAAAACTATGTGGACAATCAAAATAAATACATATTTCTAATAAACTAAATTAAAAATTTATTAAAAAAAGTCGTTTGTTGTTTTTCTGATGATAGAAAACATAGTGCATATAAATGAAAAACAATGAAATAGATAACATGGTGCATCGTAAATATTTACCACTTTTCCTATAATTTTGTTTCTATTTTTTTCCAACTATTTTGATAAGCCCTTGGAAATACAAAAAATAATACCTTTAATGCATAAATTAAATACAAAAATCAAACAGAAAAAAAAAATATATATCATAGTAAAATCAGTTGATTCCTAACTCTACTCCGACTCTAAAAGGTTTGAAAAAAAATACCTATAAAGGCTGAGAAATTATACACGAGTATGTACTATTTTATAGGTACCTACGTATTGAGTTAACTCGTACTCGAATAAGAACAATTTGATTTCGTATACATGGGCGTCTGGAGAGCAGGAACAAAACGGGGCATCTGTCCCCCTTGGACATCAAAATTACCAAATATAATTTTATTTTAAGTAATTGTTGGTGTTTGATTTTCTTATGCCCCTCTCTGATAAATTTCCTGCAGGCACCTATATCGGTATATGTTTATATTACAGAATTCTGAACATAATATTAATGACTACTTTAAATTTCGGTTGACTATATTGTTATGATTGTAGCGGGCTGGAATAAAATAAACAATCAACATCGATTTCCAAACTTGCACACACTGCAGACGTTGTGTTATTTGATGTTTTAATAAACTTCTAACGAATGTATTTGTACAAAGTTCGTCGTCGAAATAATTTCATTCGATACTTTGGTTACTAGTACTTAACTATAGCGACTACAATGCGTAACTAGTTCCAAAAGTTTCCGCTAAGACAACAATGGAGCATCCCACAGTATTCGCCTGTGACGTATCTTTTTTTTTTCTAACCGCGATTTTGTTGCTCGTTCCCAGTCATGTATTACTGAGTCTATGGTTGTTATCATTAATTGTTTAAAAATAATAATGATAAAATTATAAGTATTATAATTACTATTATTCGGTAACCACTGTAACCTTATTGGTAACTAAAACATTTTTTCCGATCAAATGTTATGAGAACAAGATCATATTATGGACGGTATGGTCCATCCCACTATATTACCTACCTATGTAATGACTACCTATATATAATACTTATTATATTATAGCCTTGTACAAGATTATTGACTGGATGTACGTTGGTGAGCTTACTGATTTTTGTCACGCCTGTTGCATATACACGACGGTTAGACGCCTTAAATGGTTTTATCCTTATAGAAATATATAAAAACAAAGTTTGTAACGTGCATTATAAGAAAAAAACAATCCAACGTAACAGCCATGCGTGTATGTGCGGTGTACGTTAGTATGATTATTTTACTTTGACAGTTTTATAATAAAAATGATCCAATGACGTCACTTAAAATGTTTCTATTAACGGAACAGTATAGTAGAAAAAAAAAAAAAGGAACCACTATTACTGATTGGTGTGCCACTGTTGTAACTTGTAAATTTAGAAGGTAGAATATAAATGTATTTAATTTATATTTGTACGTAACGATAAATCATTGCTGACAAAATACGATTCTGAGAAACGTTTGGTTAAACATGTTTTAAATGTCGTATTTTTACAATTTTCGTCGAAATTTCGCCGTTTAACTGTTTTAAGTTATACATTTTAAGTTTTTGAAAAAAAACTTATATATTACACTTGGAAAAAAAATTTGGACATCATAGTAAAATCAGTATATTCCTCGATTTGCTTAAAGTCTATAATAAGGGGCGTAATTGTCACACAACAATTTGCTCTTGGTATCAGTGTTTAAAATTCAAATTATTGATTAAAAACGTAAAACTAATGGAATTTGTTTTTAAAATTATATTTTAGTCAAATGTAAAATTATAAGAAAATGTTAAATTTAACAAAGAGAGTTTAACCCCACGTTTACTGGTGATTTTATTTATAATGCCATAATATTATTATAATATCAAACCTTTTCGATTTTGAGCGTATGCTTTTTATTTTCGTATTTAAGATACAAATATTTTTTTCGCAAACGTATATTAACTAGGAAGATTATTAGGCTATGCGAATTTATTATTGTAGAGATTAAATGTCGATGGGATTGAAACACATTTTTTTTGAAATTTTATTACAACAACCGGTTTCGGGAACAAGCTATTGTTCAGAAGAATGCCATCACAGTTCATTAGTCTATAATAATATAATATTATGAGAAGTTCTTTAAAAAATGTAATTTAGAGAAATGTATTATTTATTCATTATTTCGATGATATTTAGATGTATTTAGATCTACCTACCTGTATATATTATACAATGTGTGTACATAAAATACCGTTTAAAAGTTCAAATCACCATAATTGTTCGTTTATTGTTTCTAAATTTAAAACTAAAATAATAATAATAAAATTCGGTAGAATTTAGGTAAAATATATTCATGTATATATATATATAGGATTTTAACATAATTTTATGTTATGGAAACACGTGTACATAGAAGACAATTATATTTTTGTTTGCACCTCTCAATCAACGGAAAAAAACTAACTTTATGTTTGTTCACTTACTAAAACTACCGAAATGGCATCTATGTAACAGATATTATTTGGAAAATGTATGGATTTTGACGGATACTCAACAGTTGCCTTATTTTAACAGCCATCGGTTTGTTTATACGTTCATTATCGATTGCATACCTATATATTTTAAATCCAATACTCCAATAAATAAATTTCACAAAAATTATAGAAAACTGACAGCTGTTATAATGGGTTCCTCAGACAAAATAAAAATATTGTATCCTTGTATGAGTAGTTTACTAGTTAAATACATTGTTTCAGATTATTAACACATCGTGTGTGTGTAATATAATATATTATTGTACTCGTATATACTAATAAATTGTTGATCCAGTGTTTAAAATCGGATTATTAGCATATACTGCTATTCAATGCTATTGTTGTCACCGGCATTATCGAACTACATTCAAATTATTTGAAATTTGATATTTAATAATTTGTTATTATATTGTGTTATTTTATAAAATAATATTCTTATAAAAAAAAAAAAGCAATTTTACGATGTATTATTCAAATATAGTATTGTATACCAACCTCATCGACTTAAAAACACGATTATGAGTTTAGAATTGAATCAGATTATTGTTTTAGAATCACTTGTATTGCATTCAACAGTGTATAATAATTAAACTCGACCGACTTTTTGGAAATCGTAAGTTTTCTCACTTATTGTTTGTCACCGGATTTTATTTATATTTTGAGTGTCTATACCTAAATAAATGACTGGTCCGCGATAAAATAATATAATATAATTTAAACACGGTTTTTAGTATCTAATCAACAATTAAAATAATATTTGTGTAAATAAATGTTTATTTAATATTTTTTATGTAATGTTTTTTTTTTTTTTTGTGGAAAAGTTATTATGTTATTTAGTGGTTACGTATACATTTTACAATGAACAATATCGATTTAGAAGAAATTGAAAAGTTCGAACCCTTACAATGGACTATGCCTCGGGAAATCACAAATGACGAAGCAAAAGTATGTACTTAACATAGTAAAACGTATTCACAGTTCGATAAGTTATATTGCATTATAACCTATACAATTTTAATTTTTGTAAATGCAATTTTATATTATGTGTACAACAATTCACCCAATAATAATACATCCAAGTATAGGAAAATACAGTCCTAATGTATTTACTTATGTACAAATAAAAATAAAACATGATTTAAAAAAAAAATTATTAGCGTAAAAACCGAATGATAAGTGTGTATGATTTTTTTTAAAATTCGATTATTATAGAACGAACCATGACCAAATTTTTTTTTAGAGTAATGACACCGAACAAACTTGCGAACAAATATCCATTTTGGAGCAGATATTTCCTCCGAGAGTGTGGACTCGCACGATTGACGGCAGCGAGCCGAAAATGTGGAAACAAACGATTTCGAGAGAGTTGCCGACTAGGTGCGATCTAAGAAATATGATGAACGCGTTGGCGTATCGCAATGAGTTTTATAAAGCACATGCCACGGGGATATGCGAGATAAGAAGCGTTTTGTACAGTTTGGTTTTTGGTACCACAAGTTTTATAATGATAAATAATTATTAGGACCTGGATTTCGAAACCTGGCTGTAATAAAAAAACGGACGGACATATTTACACCGCGGGTGGTGTGAATCAATCTTATTTTTAATCTTTAAACCTTTTTAAACCAAAAGAACCAGCTTTTCCTCATTAATCTTATTATCTTAATCTTAATCTTAATAGTAATAAGAATTTTAAAAAATGGCCTTCCTAATGTACCAACTAACGCCAAAATTCAACAAAAGAAGTCTTTTCTCATGTTTTGATTGCAACAAGATTTCTAGGATAAATTGTGTACACAGTATAAAAAAAAAAATAACAATAATAAAATAAAATAAAAATCATTGTAAAACCAATATTATATTCTTGCTTTCACTCAGAATGTAAAACAAAACATAAAATGTCCACTTATCATTTACAAATACATGCCATTCGCATGAATCGAATAATGTACCTACTCGTAGAACGTACTAGGACACTTTTTCTAAAAACTAACAATAATTTTGCATTTCACATTGAAATCCGGGATTCCGAACCCTATATTAATGTGACGAAAACATTATAATATTATTTATATTGTGTTATTGATAAATTGAAAAAAGACGAAATCCTGAGACAAGTAATACTGGTGGACGAGGACTTGGGTGCAGTACTTTACAGGGTGTATCGTGAGTTCAGGCACGTGATTTTTCTTTACAAGCATTTGGTTGAGAAAAGCATTGAAGTACCGCCACCGATGGACGCCGACGATACGGTAATCTCGGTTTACGAGAATTATTTTGTTTATATATTTATTTAAGTATAATGTAGGTATATAAAAAGATTTCAGCTCTTAAAACATGAAAATATGCACTAAAATATACTTTAGAAAACAATAGTCTGAAAAGTCCTAACATGCTCTAAAATATAATATGCTCTATAATGAAATACTTAAAGTACAGGGAATAATCAAATTTTATCGTGTGTTCGCGGGCAATCCATAGATGTCTTCCTGCTGTATTTTACCATCGTTACATTTTTTTGAATTTTGAAATTTTTGAAACAATTTTCAATCTAAAACCCACCTTTTATTGAAATGTCATTAATAATAAACAATTTGCTTCTTCGAAACACACGATTTGGTTTTCATACATTTTCTATAGATTTTTAGTGATGAATCAGACGGAACAATCCCCTTTTTCCCAAAATACTTGTGAACTGGAATAGGTTTTCGTCACTATTGAATGTAATATGAATTGTTCCCCATCTATTATATATAGTAGAACGTTGGTAAACAAAAAATATCCGATTACAAAATAATTTATTACAACATTAGACTATACTACTGACAATTGTACTACTTTCGAAAAAAAAAAATAATAAATTTGATCATACAAATGATAAGGGCGAGGGAACTGAAAGTTTAAATCCCCAAAATACACATCCCTGATATAACAAGACACAATTTAATGTTTCTAGCTTTATTCGGGGAACTTTAGAGGAGTACGAAGTTAACAAAACAATTTATAGTACTAAAATTGTTTATCTAAAAGAGCTGCCCTAGGATAATGGGGATGAGCGCAGTTACTGTTATAGGTGAAAAGCTCGAAAGGTATTAGAGGGGAATTTTGATGTATATCTGTAAACAACATATTTCATATATTTTGATAAAATAATTATATATTTTCTTTAATAATATTGTATCTATTTTCTCGTATAACCGCGTTTTTCACGGTTTTCCTCTGTTTTTTTCCTATTTATCGAAAAAACTCCTGGGAAAATCAGCAGTAAGAGAACGTTGGTATATATTATTCGACTCTTATTGTTATTGCAAACTGGTTTATACAAAATCAATATGAAATTTAAAGCAAGTGTAATAAGATTATTAATAATAATTATTATTACACATTTATATTAATAACACTAGTTTACGATACAACAATATTCCCATTATAACACGATGTCGAAATTTAATATGTACGTATGTAAGTATTGGTAGGTGTACACTCGTACATAACTATTATATCGGCTGTTTATGGGAACGTATTATAAACCTATACAGTATGACCGTCTGTCGGAAAGAATGCGTTTAAATATATACGACTACGATAGTCGCATTAGGAGGATATAATGCGTTTTACACTATATAATATAACATAGCATAGTATGGTAGGTATGAATACGTCGACCTGTTGAATACGTGTGTAAACTGGTTGAAAGCATATTATAGATAGGCTGCAGGTTTAGGTACGGACATTTCTATATAATATGCGTGTACAATATTATACATACACAGTAATATTGTATTAATATACTACCGACCACCTGTGACCGTTTCGTCGGAAGACGTTTCGATTAAAAATCCACTCTTGATTGGGAATACTCGATAAAAACACGTACAGGAATATAATAATTATAAAATATAAAATAATTTACAATAATCGCGGGTCAAAAGTGTGCGTAAAGGGGTGTAATACGTATTAATGTATGTAGTCATCACGCAGTAACCTATTACGATTTGAGATTTTTCCCAAATTAAATGAAAAAAAAAAAAAAATACGACTTTGTATCGTGGGTAAGCCACTCGCGGTCGTAGGTGCAAATTTCGGAATGTATAGGGTAAACATTACGGTACCTACAAGTCCGGATCAAAACATTTAAAGGCCCAAAATTTTCGACGAAACTCTCGTCAAAAGATCAATATGATATACGATTTGAAAAAATGTTTACTAATCAATATGTTTTAACAAAATAAAAGTAATAAATAACATATAGACATCATATAGATCTCGATTCAAAAGACACTAATATTATTGAAATAAATTAGTATATTGGTTTTAACAAATAATCACTATAGTAGTTTCTAGTGTTTCTACTAACAAAAACCCACAGTCAACTACGTGTAAAAACCTCGCTAAGAAAAAAAAAAAAAAGTTAGAAAAGTTGTGATATCAAGAAGGGGCTAAGTATTTTTTTAAATTCATTAGCATAGAAATCGTTTATAAATGTTTATATTTGATGAAGTGCGATGATTTAATACAAATATAATTTAACTTAGCTTGGCGGCTACGAATATCTACGATACAATGCAGACATGAATATTTACATCCCCATTGTATAATATATTAATTTATTAATAATTAATAACGCTATTTAAGTGCATACTATCAGTAGCCGCCAATTTAAGTTAAATTGTTTCTATTAAATTATCGCACTTCATCAAATACAAACAATCATAAAACAATGTCTTACACTAATTAATTTAAAAAATTACTTAGCCCATTTTTAATATCACAATTTTTCTAACTCGATTTTTTTTCTCTTAGCGAGGTTTTTACACGTAGTTTACGGGGGATTTTTGTTGGGACACTTTATTAAAATTGTGGATTAGTTAACCTATGTTTTTTCGTCAGTCAATGGAAAAATATTAAAATATTAAAGTACAATTTTAATGGTTAAATTCATACATAAAGAACACACTATAGCAAAAACTAAGGCCCTGGGATTCTGTTGGTCTGGGGGCCATGGCTCTCCCTAGACCCTCCCCCTCCTTAATCTGAGCTTAAGTACCCAATTTAGTTAATAGTTCAAAGGCAACGATAAATCATTGCAATCAACGATTCGAAGCGGAACTCGATAAACTGTATAAGCAATAAGACGTACGTTAGACAAATCCCCCCCCATTTAAAAATCTAAAAACAAATTATGTAAATATTTCGCACGAATTCGCACGCCTATTTTTGGAATTCACACGACACTCTTTCTCCCAGGAAGTCGAATATTCATCGATGGGATGGGAAGATGCGTCTCACCAGTCCCCCTAGAAATGTTAACATTTTTCAATTTTTTTTTTGCAGATATTTAGCACGTAATTTACTCAAATTCGCACTCTTGTTTTTGAAATTCGCACAACACCTTACCAAAAAAATCCAAAATCATAAATAAAATTTACATTTTTTAATTTTTTTTTTTTTTTGCCGATATTTAGTACTCAATTAGCATGGTTTTATATACAACTGTATTCTAATATTTGCTTTTAACCTATTTGTTTTCAAATTATTATATTTTTAAATTTTATTTATTATTGTTATGAACCACTAGATAATTTAGTCTAGATTATTTTATGTTTTAATATTATTAGTATATTGTGTTTGGTTATGCTGAGACAGCATATCGGACTGCGTCGGCTCGACACGGCCCTGTCCCCCCGAGCATAAGCCAGGCAGTCTGGTCGTAACAGAGCATTGAACAGAACCTCCGTAAATCCGAATATTATATTTGTCTAATTAATTGTATTTAAATTAAAATATAGTTGTATAATTACTTTAAACTCGTGTGCGTTCACCTATTATTTTTATTTGTTGTTGACTTTCTAAAAAGTTCATAACAATTATAAATATTTAGCAAATGTTTTGTAGATTGGCATTTGAAATTTAAATTGTTAAGAAATTAAAAATTCATGAGTAAATAACGATCTTTTCTCAAATCCAATATAAGTATTATTACTAAGTTTCAAATCTATAGGTGTATTTATAATCAAATTACAGCAAAACCTCCAAAAAATTTAAATCTCTAAAAAGCTCAAAAGTGTTGGCAATGATACCGTGAGAAAGTAAATCAAGAGGGCAACAAAAAAAATATCTTGTAACTTTTCGATTAAATCATTTTTTCTGGTAGAAAACGTCCGTTTTTATAAAATAATGAAATCGTAAAATTGTGCATTTTCCTACGTTTTCTCCCATGTATGTGCTATTATTTAAAAAATCGACTCGGAAATCAATAAGTACAATCTAAAAAACTTGAGCTTTCAGAAAATTTGCTACACGTAAAAATCGGATCAAGTGTACAAGAAAAAACGTGTCCACAGACTAGAACAAAGAAAGAAAGACAAAATAATAAACAGCATTGTAAAATAAATAGCTCCCTCGTTACATTTGGAATCTAAAAAAAAACCGTAAATATTTATTTGACTTATTATTTTAAGTTAATAAAAACACAGGCAATTTAAAAATAATTTTTTTAAACTCATGATTTTCGTATGTTATGAGTGTTATTACTTAATGTGATTAAAAATTTTACTATACTTGTTAGGTTGTTGTGTAATCTTCCACGAAACTAAAAGTGTACTGTTATGCCATATTTTCACGATTTTCATACAAAAAATATCAAAACCTTGAATTTTTTTTATTTTTTTTAGGGGGAAGGTGGTGGATTTCAAAAGGTGTGATGCCTAACCTAACCTTTGGAGAAGTGGGAACGCTCGACAGCGAAAAAGCGCGGTTTTTTTTTTGTGCACACTGATAAAACGATAACATACGAAAAACATGTTTTTAAAAAATAGATTTTAAACTACTTGTGTTTTTTGCTAACTTAAAATAATAAATATTTATGGATTTTTTTTTTATTAAAATGTACATACTAATTTAAAACGGTGCTTTTTTCCCTCAATTCTCTATAATATTTAGGCTTAACCTTTTGAGTCTCTTGTATTTAATATAATATATAAACACAGTATAATAATAATATGTATTCAAGATTTATTAGTCCTAAAATACGATCACCTCCCCGTAAAATTATTTATTTTTACTATTATATACTTAGTACTGGCTAATTTATTTACGATTAATTTTGTATATTTTGGGTTAATAAGTACTTAAAAAAAATTCAACACTGTTTTATTATAGGCATTAGACTGTTTTTTATTTTCATTTTTTTCGAATTAAGACTGGAAATTGCCTTTTTGTCTCAGACCTTGTCAAAAAAAAATTTAAATTTTTCTATTTAAATATTAAATATAGAGAACTAACGATACTTTCAATTAAATCGCATTTACTCATCAAGTTCGAAAGTTATAAAGCCGTACATAGTTTTTTCTTAAAGATCACAAAAAAATATATAAAATTTAATTGGCATCAAGTGAAATTTTACTGTTATAATATTAGCTCATTCGTAAAATTGATTTTCAAATAGTTACCTATATTGAAAATTCCACAAATAGACAGAGTATTAATTTGAATTCATTTTTCATACATGTAAGCGTCGTGTGCCTCATTGCCACATACTACACTACACTATACCCCCTACCTAAACATACTTAAAAGTGGAATATCTCGTCAATAGTTTGATGGAAATTAAAAATGTTGACATCAAATTTAATATTTTAGGGTGGCTTATCTTAAAAATTACACAAAAAAATTCCAAAAGAGTTGATATTTTTCGAGCTATCGCAATGGGTTTATCTTCGTGGGACAACTTGTATAGAGTCTATAGACATACCCATACTATCTATACGAGAAAAAGTCAATAGTGTAACCCTAAAAACGTACCTATCGTAAAATAACGTTATTTAAAATATAATTTATATAGGTACTTGATATAAATTATTACGCGTTTTAGATCGAACCCGAATTGATCAAGGAAATCGAAGACTTAAAAACTGTCAATAATGATTTAACAATAAAATGTAGACATTCAAAACAGGCATATTCGGAAGCGCTGAAGAAAAAACAGGCAATTCAAGATCGAAAGTACCCGATGATAGTCAGAGAAATCTATAAAAATCTAATGAACGACATACGAAGATCGACTGGACAAATAAAAGTAAGAAACGAGTACTTATAGTCAAATCACTAACTGTTGTAAAGGGAGAAGTCTGATAAAAGCTTATGGTTTTACAAAGATGTTTATTCATTTTTTTTTTTATCTGAGCAACTTTTTTACCAGAAGATTTGCTCAGATTTTTAAGTGTAGCGCCTTTTCTGAAAATAAATTTATTTGGAAAGGTACCTTAAGGAGGTCATTTTTTGATTTTCTCAGAAGTTTTCTCATCAAATTTGAAAAACCGAAAAAAAAATACTGGAAAACGTACAAAATATATATTACTAAAATATTACGGTTTTTTTTCCTGTACATAAATTTTCTACCAGCAATTTTGCTCTAATTTATAATAATAGCAATGTTTATAAAAGAAAATCTGACTGGAGAGGTACTTTAGAGAGGACGTTTTTCGATTTTGAAAGCAGGATAAAACATAGAAAAACCGGAAAAAACGTAGGAATACTGGGAAAATCGGTACAAAACTAAACAAATATCATTAAAGAAAATATATAATACCTATTTAATTATTTTACATATTTTAAATATGACATATATATTGTTGACAAAGCATCACTATCAACTGAACTCCACTCAGAATCGTTTTTTCGTAAGAAATGGTTTATCGTTGCTTACGGGTATACATTAAATACATCCCATCGCCATTATCGTAGGACGTCTTTTGTTAACTTTTAATCTCATTGGCCCATTAATATCAAATGTCAAATCGCTCGCTTATTATTATTATTATTTTTTTTTTTTTTTAGTGTGGGGACATCATTCGCCCCGATTAATAAAAAATAAATATATAAATTAAAGTAAAGAGTAATTAAATATAATGTATTTAATTGTGTTATAGGACCAGTTCGCCTTGATCAAACCACCAACAGACTGGAAACCACAAACGTAATCCTGATTCGAAATAAAATTGATAAACCTATGAATGATTGTAACGATTAGTACCAATCAAAAATGACGGGTACTAATTTTAATAAACTTACCTATTATATTTTAAACGGTGCGTTTTTTTTTATCGATACTTAAGGCGACACAACCGTATAACGTCATTTTTATACTGATATATCTAATAAGATAATATTATGATTTTCGATGACGAAATGTCAGCAAATATATGCGTTATACGTATAACACGTAGTATTATAGTCTTATACCAAAGTGATTGAACATTCAAGATGCCTGTGTTCTTATCGTGGAAAATCACAAAGGAAAAAAATACGTGGTCGTTGAACTCGTATTCGAGTACGTTTTTGGTTTGTCTGTAAATTTGATTGTTTTGAGAGATTTAAAAATTTGCAACAATGAACGAACGAACTCAGTGGTGGGTCTAGATTGAAATTAAATCGTTACCATTTTTTGTGTCTCGTACGATTATACGATAAAATATTGCTATTTAATCTCGGCCGAATAAAATAATTATATTTAACTGCTTATCCCGCCCGACGTTGCCCATACCAATTTTTATTATTTTTTTATCCGTATTCCTTTTTGATATCGCGCTTTCATGTTTCATTTCATATTACCCACTCTTCTACTAGTTTCCTTTAAAACTACCCCTCCCCCCCTAAACCGTCTAATGATAACAGCAAACAATGACCCATCCTTTCAATTATAAAACACAAAAAGGAAAATGATAAGCAATAAAGAAATAGTAATAGTCATAGGAATAACAATAGTATTAGAGTTAAAGTTAAATATTAAGTTATCGCTAACAATCCATTGGTTTATTATAAGTAAAATATATGTTAGATATTAGAACACTCAATTTAAACTGGGCTTGTCCCGTATTTTTATAATAAATAAATATTTATTAGTAATGGATTAATTTTTTTTTTTTTTTGAAAGGAGTGGCTGAGTCAACATAAAATTATAATAGTATTTAGCCAATATTATGGAAAATATATGAGGTAGGGTTTAAACCCACAGTGGAACCCTCCCGTAAATACGTCTCTGTATAATAATATTATATCGTCCACTTAATTCATATTATTTAAAAGTGCATGTACTTGAAGTTAGGGGACTGTTTTAATAAACAGTGTCTTAGAGCTAACTTTAGTTGCCTATACCAGGAGTATAAAGGAGTAATTATGTTATGGATTTTTTGAAATGGATTTCCCTATGTGTTTTGAGAAGTTATAACACTGCGTTTAGTGCTCAAAAAATCTACACGAGTCACTGATCTAGCCCTCTAAAAATCTAAGAAAACCCTGTTACCGATCGGGAGGTACAAGTTTTTAAAATTACTTCCCCCCTCCGGTGATCACGTGTTTCAATATTACAATTATTCTGGAAAAGGATTTATAATAGGATAATAAATAGGCATGGGAGAAATATGAATCAGACAAAAAAAAACATAAATCATAGTAAAACCAATATATAACCTAATATCTCGCTACACTCCGAATTTAAAACGACTTTCATACTTACCAACTAGATTAAAAATGCAACAAAAAAGGTCGTATTTTGTTTTCCTATTGGAATAATATGTTTGTAGAAAATATGAGTTGTACAAATTTAAAATAAAGGAATCTTTGCGCCTTAAATCAGTTTTTACTTATCGTCATTTTTCAGTTTTTCTAACTATCAAAAACTACAAAAAAAAAAAAAAAAACAATTTACTTACTCATGAACTAGATTAAAAATGAAATAAAAATAATGGATTGGATAAAAGATTGGAATTGTCTATAAGACCATCAATAAGGCGTTTAAGAAAGGGTAAATTTGTTATAAACCTTCCGTCGGCTAAAGTATCAATGCCTAACCTATTCATAACAATATTAATATTTATTAAAAATATCATAAAATCATACATAATATTATATAATAATAACAAAATTTATATTAAAACTAAATAAATTACCGAACAAGTTTTATTAACGGACAGGTGTCCTCTAAATAGCGAACGTTTTTTTGGGAATTGGGATATTTTCGCTACTTACTTTTAGGAAAGCCTCTAAATACGGAATACTAAATAACGAGACGCTTTCTCTCTCTGAATAGTGGATACCTCAAAAAAGCTGATAAAATTTCAGTGACTACTGACCGAGAGTGTCTAGTATTTAGAGATTTCCCTGTATTAATATTTTAATATTTTCCATTTCATAATTTTTGTAACAAATTACTGCAAAAATGAGAAAAATATCTTGGCTTTAGACTTGCTTAAGAGTGATGATATCACTCACATCACCCCCCTTGAGTATGCTACTTCTAGTGCACATTATGCACCATACGTATTTGATATTTTTAATCTGGTTTTCAGCGACTACCTACTGTTGCTTCCTTTCTCTATTTCAGAACTTGCTCCCGTGATTGACCGTTGAGGGTGCCAATTTGTTTTTTTTAATTAGAGTTAGGTTACAGTTAACAAATTGGGATTTTAACTATTGAAGGTTTATGTGACATTTTCTCTACAGATTATTTACTCAAGTCTAGGTGCTTGTATTTATTTTTATTTTTCGGACAAACAACGAAACTTTTTAGTTGTTTTTTTGGTCTCCGGAAATTACGATATCGACTACATTTGTTTGCATGCCCAGCACAATTCGCGCACGTTGAACACGTAGACCAGTTTAAACAAGTTTGCTATTTTATTCCTACTTGGGTGCGCTACTATAAAGTTGAGGAGGTCCACTGCATAAAGCGCGTGGCTCATCCGGAACGCATACAAATTTTAAAAAACCAATCAATACTCAGTCGTGAAAACAGTTATTACCTATACCTATTCTAGAAATCTTGTATTTCGATGGTCGATTAAGTGGAGTAGACAACTTTCGTACAATTTTTTCAGATAGTGATTTTTTTAGGACATTGTATGATATTTAATTGCATAGTAGTTTAAAGCTTGTGGTCCATCCGGGACGCATTTGAATTTTATAAAACTGATCATTACTCAGCTATGAATACGTTATGTACGTATATAATATCCGTCGACCTTGGTGTCCAATTATGTTGCGAAAGGAATTTTTATAAAACCGTAATAAATATATGTGCAATATTTTTCTGTGGCCATTTGAAACTAGAAATAATGAAATATTATTAGCCGCCGTTATTGCAATAAGTAATATTTAGAATAGGCTAGAAATATTATATAATTTTGAATGATAGGTATACATTGTTATAACTGTTGTTTAGTGCCGGTGGAATGCTTCGATTAGCTTATACAACGTCCCTAACAGCAGAGGAGTTCCGTTGGAGTTTCCAAATTTCGTTGAAATCCTTCTGTAGTCCCGTTTAAGTTCCGTAAATAGTGTACCTACATTCACGGTGGATTAAAACTACATTTTAAGTATAGGCATTTAGACATTTATTTTATTGTTGAAGACCTCACTTGAATAATTTTTATTTAACAATAGTCAAATCTTTATTTGTAAGTCCTCATGACGAGTTAACAATAATGGGACTATTAAATTGTTTGGATCCAAATATTCAAAATGATTGTTACTGATAAGAAGTATGACGTCACACTATTGTTCGTTGATCACATAATCCAAGGTAGTTACAATACGTCACGGTAGAACAACTTCGTTATCAAAAATCAATTACTGAAGAGTATATAAATAAAACGGTCGCAACAAGCTGGAACCAATCAAATTTTTATGAAATTACCACGGGAAATTTAAATATTATTTTAAAAATAACATCGTATTATGTAACATATAATCGTAATATTTATGATTTTTTATAATTAATTATAATTACCTTCACATTATCTATACGTACCACACATCCCTACCCTACCATAGATATAGTTTATTTATACACCATGGCACCATGCTACAACAATAACCTGATTGTTAGTTAACTTATTATCTTTATAAGTTACTGTAGCGACGGACATATTGCCGATTTAAGAACGATAATGAAATCAGAATTGAGTGGACTAAGTTCCGAAATTATAGCTTTTTAAAGTCCTGATATTATACGAATATTATATGTTATGTTAATAAATAAATATTGTCTTCTCTAAAGCTTGTTTGTCGTGGCTGAATGGTTATTCCTTATACGTATTATCTAGTTACATCCTAGGGTGCTTTCCCTTTTACCTAAACAAGGAAAAAACAAATACATTTTGGGTGTACTTAGAGTCCCAAGCCATCGTTCGCTCGGACTATTTTAATCGCAAATACCCCTCAATTTGTTGTGCAAACTTTTTTATCAAAACTCTTGCTCCGATGTATCAATTGTAGCTTATTTTCTGAAAGTAAATTTTATCTCCATAGTAAATTGGGAGGTCATTCTTAAGAATTTTTCTAATAAATGGAAAAAATCGTGAAAAGGGAGAAAAAACTAGATAATTTACAAAATACATTAGTAAAATATTACGATTTTTTTCTCTGTAGACAACTTTTCTACCAGCAATTTTGCTCCGATTTTCAACGATAGCACTTTTTCTAAAAGGAAATCTGACTGGAGAGGTACTTCAAAGGGGTAGTTTTTTGATTTTTCTAAGAATTTTCCCAGCAAATATGAAAAATCGGGAAAACACATGGGAAAATCGGTACATTAAATAAATATTATTGAAGAAAATATATAATGCCTATTTTATTATTTTACCATAATATGGCATATATATTGTTTAAAAACCATCACTATCAACTGAACTCTGTTCAAAATCTTTTTTTGTTAGCAATGGTTTATCGTTGTTTACATATACATATACATTAAATTACCTATAACAGTGGCTGCATCCGACCCCATTATCCTAGGACGTATTTTTAATATTTAACATACCTTCCAGTTCAAATTAAAAAGGGTACATCTAAAATAATATTTTTTTTAAATAAAAAAAAAAAACCCATTTGCCTGTTTTAATATCAATAGTTTAAAATATGTGTTTTAATTTTATAAAATTCGTTTTAATCAATATTAAATAACATATTGCAGAATATTTAATAGTTAATTTTTGATTACAACTCTATAGTTTGGTCACCTAGTAGGGTTGGTCCAATACAAAATCGTTTTTTTAAGATTTTTGTCATTTAACTGCGACACTTATTGAACCATTAATGATATGAAGAAAAAGATTAGATCTCTGTTTTATTTTTAAACTACTTAGTGTACAAGTTTATTATCCTGAATTACTTTCAAGCTTAAATTTGTTGGTCTTTAACCGTAGCACTAGACAACTAAATAACTTTAATGTACCATTAGAGTCTACCAATTATGGTGGAAATTCTCCTATGAATAGATGTATGGAATTAGTCAATTTATTTCATACAGATAATTAATACATAACTTTTTTTAGTAACAGGTAGCATTTAGTGACCAAATTCAATCATAAAAGTGACCAAAAACTGACCTATATAAATATGTTTCCTAACAACTTACTGTTATTAAAAATTTTCCTTTGAATCTCTAAGTATAATTTAAATGATTTTTTCTTAATTATTTTTGCATAAAATTTCAAAAAAAAAAAAATCATAATAAAAACCAATTTTTTAACCCATATTTAAAGTATGTAACTTTAAATTAATAATGTAAAATTAAATATTCATGATCAGTGTCAGGAACTTCTTTTATTTTAATTTTATAACAATACCATGTATTGCATTGCAATTAAACAAAAATAAAAGCAGATTACCTGCCAGCCACACACATACACATATTTAGATTAGGTTTTGTTTTATGAATTATTGTTAGATTTAAATTAAATATTATTTGTGAACTATGATAAGTTATCCCAATGAAAATATTATGTCAATGTACAGCAAAATAATTACCTATGTGGATAATACTGTTTTTTTCAAAAATATTGTTTTGGCTCATATAGCCACATTTTACCTGTACATCTAGTCTAGATTACCATTTTTCTTTGTGTATTATTTATTATTATTTCCGTGTGTCATGTTACATTAGATATAGGGTAGCAGCTGGCCAGCAGTGCACTGACAAAATATACTAATTATACAAAATAAACTAAGAGTTTATTTATTATTATTATATTATATTAGGCTTATTATTATTATTATTATTATTATCATTGGCATTGACAGCTATATTTTTATCTGTTTGGCCAAAAGGACTTCAGTATTGATTAAATGTTGATTTATTGAAAAAAAAAATTATTTTCTATAATAAATTAGAAAAATTGAACAAATTCAAAACAATTTTAAGAAAAAAATTAAAAGTGAATTAAATTTTAAAAAAAATCTAATAAAATACGAAAAGCAGTATATTTTGAAAAGAAAAAAACCCAAAAAAATACCAATAGAAGCAGAGGTTCATGAAACAATAATTGTAGATAAAAATTTGTGAATTATATAAAAATGAAGCAGAAAAAAAAATGAATAATGAAATAGAAAAATAAAAGATTTTTGAATCTATTCCCAAAGGATTAATAAAATTTAAAGAAGCTGTTAGAAAAACTGATGATGATATTAAATCATTTTTAGCTCCTGTGAAACCATTAACCCAAACACCAAATTTTATTACCAGCCAACAAAAAATGATTAGAAATAGAGATAGAAAATATTTCTGGATATTCTACAGTGTCTATTGGAATAATTGCAGAGATTACATCAATATATCAGATGATGAATTTGGGCTATATTTCAACAAAGCTAAAAATCAACGAATAATTGGTAATGTTAATGTGTCTTAAAGATGATGATATTATTTTACTTTTTAAAGGTAATAATCCTACATTATAAAATAAACAAATTATAGGTACAAAAGGATTATGAGAATTGTTAACAAATAAAGATTTTAAAAATAAACCAGAGTATACTCCTAATGATTTGAAAATATATAAACAAGTTTTAAATTTAACAGATTCAATACATAAAAATAATGACAGAAAAACAAGAAAACCAAAATCAAATCATAAAGAAAACCAGAATTGTTTGATTTGATCTTTTTGGGATGAAAAGAAAAAAGCACAAGCTGTATATGAAGGATCTGGTTTAATAAATTATACAGAAAATCCAATACAATATAATTACATTAATAATTTAAACAAATTGTTTAAAAGATTATATTTTATTGCTACAGAAGTGGCAGGGAATAATAATTATCACAATGAAAAATTAAGCATTTTTAATGTTGTAACTAAAGAATATAACAAATTAGTTGACTCTTTATAGCATAGAATATTTAATTTTCTTAGTAACAAGTTTATCAAAGAAAGTAATCAGCGGATCTGGACTTGTTAATAATTTTTTGAATAATAAATGTATGCCTGAAAAACATTGGCCTGGTTATAATTATCTCAGACCTTTTACAGAATCTAAGAAACCAATAAATAAATTGGATGAAGCCGCAATGGAGCATGATTTTTACAATAAAAAAACATAAAGATACTGAATCTAGACATAATGCTGATTTAATTTAAGAAAATAAAGCAAGGAATATAAGTAAAAATCCATAAACATCTTTAGGTGAAAAAATAGCTGCTTTTATCCGCACCAAATATAATAAAAGTAAAACGAAAATAAGAAATGGGTCTTACATATAAAAAAAAAAAAATTAATTAATTTTATATAATAAATTAATCTCTTTTTATAAATTATGAACAATTGAATATAATTAAATCTGCATAAAAAAAAGTTTAAAAATTAATAAATTAAACAAATCTAAGAAAGAAAAAAAGGATAGTGATTAGAATTGAAATTTGAACAAATTAAACAAAGTGAATTTCTTCCACTTGTTTTTGTTGGAATAGTAGCTGCAAGCGCTTTAGCTGGAAGATTAAGTGATATTGCAAATATTATAATAGAAATAAAACATAAGAGAGCAATAGCAAAGGATAAAGAACAGCATAACAAAGAAATAGAAAACATTTTTAGTAATACTAAAACTTTACAAATTAAATCTGGCATTAAAAAAAAGAAATTGTATTATGGTACTACTGTTAAAAAAAAAAAAAGAAACTCATTCTGTAAACTAATTTTATAAACATGTGTTTCTTATTATTAGGGAGGGTTACTATGATAAATTAACTTAATAAAAAAATCAAAATAAATCTAGTAGTCATTAGTTATGTAGATAAAATAATTTGATGAAAATTGTAAATATTTGAAAGTTCATCTTTTCAATTATACAATGAACAGTGCAACAAATAGTTAAATAATGAAGTAATTTTTTATTTATCACAAATAGAAAAAAAAATTATACTTTCTAAATTTAAATATGTGTTTAATACTTGTTTTTCTTCTCTGTCATTGTATTAGATTTAACATTTGAATTATCTTTTGTTTTTAGCTATTTATTGTCAATATAAAAGATGATGCAATAATAAAATTCAATAAAATAAATGCCCAATGTGCTAAATACTCTAAATGAAAATACTTGTTGATGATAGTTTGTTTAAAATAACCTATTAAGTTTAGAACTTAATTGACATTGAAAGGTTTTCATGAATTGAATTATACAGACAATTATTTGAACGTGTTTAACTATTGTAAAAGTTATGTATGATAATATAACCTATTGGAATATTCTAACATCACATCTATCTCAGTATGATGATATGTTTGCACTATATGTTTTACAACTTTATGTGCATTTAATTTATTTTTGAAAAACCTAAGTGTTACTTAAGCCACTTATTTTACAATGACTTGTACAATATTTTATACTAACACACAAATTTATACATGGTTAAAATTAGAAACAGTAGTTTCGAAAAAAAATAGTAGAATACAATAGAATATAATAGAACTTAATATTCTAAATTCCAGTAAAAACTAAAACCAAAATATTACTACTAAACATTTTGCAACAAATTCATTACATTATCATTTTAAAAATATTTATAATTTATGTAAAATATAAGTAACTAACTAAAAATTGAAAATATTACAATTGGGTTTCAAACAGTTCATATACTAAAAATTAAGAGTTTAAAGCTTAGAGAAAGTTTACAACTAAAAAACAGTGTCCAATATATTGTACATAAAAAAAGGCGCCATAAGCATTTCTTCGAGTAATTCAATGAATGATAGAAGATTAATAACAAAAATTATAGCATATAATGTACTGTGCAAATAAATCATGACAAACATAGTCAAGATAAAAATATCATAAGTATGTGACCTACTGAGCGAAAAAAGACTATCTATATTATTATTATGGGTACAGACAACCTATGCTTGATTATCTTTATAATTTTATTATATTTATATTATATGCACTGGATTTTACCAATAGATATTTTATAACATACATAACATATATATTATTTTCTCATACAAAAATCAAAGAAATAATATGTCGGGGAAGCTTAGCCACTAGGTCATCCTCTAGATCCATCCCTCGTATTCTGTTGTCCATGTATTAATGTGGATTAAACACACATTAATCCTGTAATTGTTTATGTTTAAAACTTTAAAATCTTGGCAGTTGAATTGTATGCGATTATTTTTTCTGAAAAAACTGTATTAGAATTTTTAAGAAAAATAATAAACTATTACCATAAAATAATGAAACTAATTTATATCATAAATGTCATGATGAACCAAAGATGTACGTAAAAGTTTTTTTTTTGTTTATTGATATTTTGTTGATTAATTTTGAATGTAATCCGTAATCTGTAATAATAAAATGACCTAATTTTATTATTTTTAATTTAACTACTTTTAAATTAACTAACGGTTCAGTAGGTCACACACTAAAGGAATAGCTTTTATTCTTTTATGACTCCTTTTTCAAACTTGTTTGATTAATGAATGATAAAAAACAATTTGACTATAGAATAACCCTGGCCATTGCACCACTTAGTTCATAATTTTGTGCCATGGATTACAAATTCATTGAACATTGATGAAAAATAACTTTTTCTATTTCTGAATTTTTTTACATTATTTCCATCTATAAAAGATACAAAGAACCATAGTTGTATAAAAACGAAATATAGTAGATGAGAATACTATTTATATTTTATACCTGGTGATTGAATTTTTATGTTGGTACAGTTTATAGTTCCTATGACTTTGGGAAATCTACTAAAAAAAACAGTAAAAACCAGTGACTACCTTCCTAATGTCAATATCATTTATTTGAAACTAATAATACCTCAATGCCATGTACGACTTACAAGGTACTAATATTTCTCTGTTTCTGAAACAAAAAATATATATTTTAAATGGAAGAAAAGAAATTACAAATTTTTACATACTGTAACTGTAGGTTAGTCAATGACACTATCATATTAAAAAACATAACATAAACATTTAAAATACCTTATAACCTTTTGGAAAAAGTTTATATTTTTTTCTACCAATCTTAAGACTTTCATAAATATATTGCTATTGAAAGAAAAAATCGATTTATGAAATCATGATCATTAAATAATTTTACATAATTGACTCTTTCATAGATATGTTGACCAGACATATTCTTTTTTGTAAGACAGTACTCTTTTTTGATGCATTGTCCTATGTCCTTAACAATAGAGTTAAGTACATGAAATTGTACTATTTTTTTGAAAATATTATGGGCTCATACATGTTTATGATTTTGTATAATTTGATTATTCATTTATATTTTAATATTTTATGGTTCGACCTAATGCATTCCAAATGTCTGCAAGTGACTGACAATGGCAGTGATTTCTGGAGAACCACTGTTTGGTGAAAAAAAACTTGTTGTAAACATCATAAATACCAGAAATATGTTAATAAAGTTTTGTATTTATTTATTTAAATATTTACCTTTGAATATTAATTTAAATATGTATACTTTAAGTTCACTTAAAATTACTTTAATTTCAAAGTATTTTCATCATAAAGAAACAAACCAAATGAGTTGACATTATGATTTCAAATAATTAGTTTTTATAGTTGATAATAAAAAAAAAAAACAATAATAGAGTAATCAGATAAAACAAAAATGTATAAAAATGGAGATGAGCTATGGGCAAAATGGGTAGAATAGTATAGACATTGAACAATTCTTTCAAGGGAGGGGGGGGTTTTTTTAATGGAGGACCTTAATTTTAAAACTAACTTTTTTTGTACTTTTATATGTAGTCATCATACTCATAGAAGATTCGCGGTCATAGTTACATGGCAATTAATGAATTCTTCATCAATCTCGTTCTCGTTATCGAAGATTATTCTATGATACATTTCAATGTATTACGTTTAAGCACAAAATCCGATGGCACAATTAGCTCAAAAACTAATTACGACACATAATATCCAAAATTAAATTTGCATAAGCCAAAGAAAAAACACATTAACGTTATCTGTATACTATTATCATACACAATGTCGCTTCTGATATCGTGATCTTAACTGGTACCTATGGTCCGGGAGTTAGGTCGTTATTACCCAGAATTATCGGTAGTTAAGATTTCCATTTTCCATTTCCATTAACCTGGAGTCAACACCTAACTCGAGGTGGTAAAATAATTTTTTTCGGCTACTTGCACCTAAACTCTCGACGGTGAAACCGGTGGTTTGCATTAACCACATGTACTTATTTATCAATTATCATAGACTTATACATGTAGGTACCTAGGGTATTTACAGTAACTACCTATATATTTATATGTAGGTACTAACCATAGAATATAGACGGTACTAGCTACCTAGGTACTACATCAATATTATATACTGGCGTAATATTGTTGAGATTAAATGTATTTATAATGACAAATTTAGAATAGAGTACATTTGTGGTTAAAGGGTTGAAGGGGGCGAAGCTATGTAGGTACCTAAGTACCCACACACGTTTGGTTGACCTACAAATTGTTCGCATACCCGTGACAGTGTAACTCAATTATTTACTTATTATCATTTACCATTATCATACTATTTATTAAAAATAAAAATAAAAATATTATAATTAATAAGTAGAATAGGTACTCTAGAAATACTTTTAGAAAATCAGCGTCTCTGCATTTTAATATACCTCATTACCGTGAGAGGCTATACATGCCCCCACACTTTCATTTACGATTTCATACGAAACATTAATACAAAACCATTAAACATGTCGTAGGTATCGTATTAAAACTGAATAATTATGATTTTTTTTTTAGTATAACTTAGCTTTTTCACGGTTCCGGCCCGATAGATTTCGAGGCCCCGCAGAATTTATTTATTTATTTTATTTTCTAACGGACTCTCTATGTTATCATATAATTTTGTAAACTTTAAAGTCTTGTTGGAAATCTAAATTTGTGTTTATAATGCATATAATCTAATAAAATCAAAGTTGTATTTTCATATTAGACACAAAATGAGTAGGTATATAATATTACCTAAACATTATTTTTTCGTGCTTGTTTTGGTGCAAAGAGTTTAATCGTCTTATTGTAGCCCAAAGAATCAGCAATACAATGTTCGGTGGTGATAAAATATTTTTGAGTGTTTTCAAACCAATAACAATAGGTATTTAGCTATGTATAAATGATACAATCTTGATTTTCGTTGATAACATCCCGTGTCCTAAGAAAACCGCACGGCCTCACGGGTCGCAATTTGCTTACTATTGGAACAATATTATTAATTGTTTATAGATAGTGATATTTGGAATATATAATTTGCGGGGCCCAGTGAAGTCGCAACGCTTCCCCCCACCCAAGGACCGACACTGTTTTTTCAGAACACCAACTTCAAATATACAAAACAATTACAAATTTATTTTTATATATAATTCAATTTTAAAAGACATCATAGATAAGAATATTGATCATTGAGTTTGAGTAATATGAACTACTATTTATTCAAAATTGTGTTACTTTTACTGCTTTATCGGAACCAAAAAGTCGGTTAGGTACCCACAAATATTAAGATAATATACAGGATACCGAACGAACATGTGATAAGTGAAACTCGAACCTTCTCACTTTTGGCAAGGCCACTAACACCATCTAGTGTACTCTTTGCAAGCTATGTCAAAATTTATTATATCAATATTAATATATAATATGCAATTTTTTTACATACCTTACTCTTCTAATCAAAGCTTTAAACTAATTTTAGTTGATTTTTATACCAATTTTGTCTTAAAGAACCGGGCGGATTTAGAAAAATATTGATAAGGCCTTTCCGTTCGGTATTTTGTATATTATTTTAAATCGTGCTATAACCATAGACTATATAACCATGATATAATAAACCAGGTGCGATCACAGAATAAATGATTAATATACATTCCTCTTCCGTAACACATCACTTTTTGGTGGATTACGCCAATACACGAGGTTTATCGTCCGCCACGAGCGACGCGCAGCGGGAAGAAAGAAATGTGGGTCCTCTCGGAGAATGATAACGTTGTGGTTCGCCACAACTTAATAGATTATTATTACTCTGTGTCATAGACCGATATAGCGCTGGTCTTTCACCATTTCTTATTGGTTGTGATTATGTATTCTATATACTGTGAGTTAAATCGTGATATCAAATTATGATCTAGCTTAATAACATACCTAATTCAAAATATCTCCAAAAATTATGAACCAAGATCAGCGCCATATTACGTCTGTTGATAATCATACCTATAGTTTATTATATTCTGTCTGTAACGACTTCTTATCCGTTTAGCGTTCTGCTCTTTTCTTTTTTGATCTCGTGTTTGTTGCATGTTCCGCGCTGTCTTACCAATTGGTCATTTTTTTTTTTTATAAACATTTCCATTTAAAGTTATCGATTTAGTGATGACTATTAATTAGTATTACCAATAGTTAATTGATGCTATTGTCGTTGATATTGATTTTGTCTTTTCCACGTCAACAGTTTATAGTGCACGCGAACAAACGGCGGTAGAATGTCTGAGAATATGAACCACGTGTACACTAACGGTAAGGCATTTTAAATTTAGCCAGGATTTCATTTTTGGGATCCGTAGTTAAATAATTACATATTATTAGGTATATTAGTTTGGTTTTAAAATAAAAATTTTCGAAGACGGGGGATAGGGCGAAGAGTTTTGAATACGAATGTATTTTGATACATCATTGTTCCATTTTCCCAGCGACAAGTATCGAATTTGATCCAGACCCAAGACGCATCGGAATCTGGAATGGAAAAATCGGAAAATCATTATTCTAAGTATTCGTTGGGTTGTTAACGAAAAAAAATGTAAAGTGTTTTTCAATATTTTGACATTTATTTTTTCAAAACCCAAGAGCTAGACTTACATCGAAGTAATAAACCCCTTTAAAATATTTTGTTCTTCAAAACACAATACCTATTTCAATCTTATTTTATTTATTTTCTTTTTAATATATTTCAATATTGAATTTGAATGTTTGGAAAATGGCATTTGTTTTATTTAACAGTTTTCTGTCTTTTTGATTTTATTTTATCCATTGATAAAATTATATCTCGATATAAAGAGTTCAATCATTTGTTTTCTCAATTACCTATTTTAAACATTAATTTATGTAGATGCTGGATAGGTAGGCCATTTTAGTCTGTGGATATAATGCAAAGAATTCTCAACAATTATTAATATATTCATTTCTTGTCAAGTTTCCTGTGTACCTATTAAATTATAATTTTATATGGGTTTTTTTTAGCTATTTTATTGCGAAAATAGATAAACATGGGTTAGAAAAAAACAAATACCTATCACCTTATTGTACAAATCATTATTTCATTATAAATACTTCACCTTGATCTCAACTATTTGGGGTTGAGACCACCCTTATTCTAAATTTCTATTTGACCCGATCTTCCACCTCGCATATACCTACTGTCCTAATATCATTCTCAATCGCATCCAACAATTTGTCTTCCCCTCCACCTTTTTCCTTCTACTTTTATTTTTATTTAAACTCTTACTGATTTAAATTCTTCTCTTGCCACGAGATGCTCAAACCATCTCAGTCCAATTTGCTCTCATTTTATCTACTATCAAAGCCATTGTTAAGCTACCCCCTACCTCTTATATACTTGACCCTTATCCTATCTCCTTTTGTCACTCCATTCATCCATTTAATTATTTGCATCTCTGTTACACTCATTCTCTGTTCTATTTTTCTGTCTACTGCCTAATATTTTAAACCATACAACATAGTTAGTTTCACCAGACTTGTATAGAACAACTTTTAGTTTCATTGGAATCCTCTTGTTATATATAAAACTTCTGATGCTTCTCTCCACTTTATCCAATTATACTTAGTCTTGTTTCTTGTTTTTTATGAAAACCAACTTGTACAAGAGATCCTAGATGAAACTCTCGAGCTCATTTATAACCGCTTATTGTCATTAGCAGTTTTGTTCTGTTCCTCCAAACTCTTAATAATAAATTATCCTTATAATATTAATTTGTATTGCACAGAATTTTATTTTTACTTTTTACAATTATTATGTTTACTGGTAAATTATCCACCACAAACAAGCGCTTTCTTTTCTTTGTTACTGTACACACTAATTATTATTGTAAAAAATAATATTTTATTTAAATTGGGAAATAATTACATTGCATATTATCAAGGCTGCTTTAAATTACATTCTGTCCTAATATCCCAAATCTTATACACCGTCTTCATAAATAATGTTTTTGATGACACATTCTTAAATGTGATTAATGATTTTTTATTAAAGTTCACAGACCAAGATTACAAAATTTAAAGTAAATTAGTGGACCCCTATGAAAGATTTGCATTAAAACATACATTTTTAACTTTGATTTAAACAAAGAATAAATTGTACAATAATTAATTAAAAATTGATCAGAAGAGTGATTAAAGTAGTACTCACCTAATTTTTTTGATTTTTAAGTTCAGAGGGATATAAAGGATATTACAAAAACTCTCCTTTTAGAAATAATAAAATAAAATTACCTAACCAAATACTACTATGTTTTATGAGGACATTTTACTAGTAGGTACCTATTTTTTAAAACTATTTATGGAGTAAATTTTAAATTCTAAGATATAACACTTCATAATATATTATAATTTATTCTTCTTATCCTATTCACTATGATTGGATTTATTATAATTAGTGAAAAATTGTGATATTGGTATTAATTTTTACTATTTATTGGGTTTACAGAACAATCTTCAAATAATGGTGTACATATCAAAATGTCTAACAAGGAAGTCTCTAATGAAGATCAGGTATGTTTAAAATATAAATTGAATAACTTGTTTCTTATAATATAATAATAATTATTGTTATAACTTAAACAAAAACAATAGCATAAAATATTATATTGGAGTACAAATAAATACATACAGCTGTGATTGTATTACTTTAATTTCCTAGTGATTATGCCTTTAAGAATATCTTGACGATTACTGTGCAGCATTCATACCACCATTTAATTTTTTTTTATTTTTAATGTACATTTTAAACACTATTATATTTTATTTTGCATGAAGCATGCTGTGGAATTTACATTTCAAATTTTAGAACACTTCAATTTACTAAATAACTTTATTAAAACATCATTAAAATAATTAATTAAAATTGTACTTTGAATATTTATTTTTATTCAATAATATGCACCAATATTTTACGACTAATTACTGGTGCAACCAAGACAAATGGATCAATAAAATAAATAACTATTTCAATTAATTTTTAGTGTGGAGTCACCAGCTATTAAGAGCTTTAACAATAAAGTAAACCATGCTTATCTCTTAGATAAACTTCATTCTATTGGTATTTATAATCCATTTTTATCATGGTTGATTTCATTTGTCACTTAGAAAACAGATTGTTAAAATTAATAACTTTATTTCAGAACCTTCTAGTATTCTATCTGGTGTTCCACAAAGCTCACACTTAGCTCCATTGCTATTTATATTATTCATTAATGATTTACATTTTATAAAATCTTATAAACTGCTGTTTGCGGATGATATGAAATTATCTTGAGTAGTATAATCATCCTCAGATTCAGTGTTTTTACAAAATGATTTAAATCTTTTATCAATCTGGTGTAAAAAAAAAAAAAATTATTGTTGAATATTAATAAATGCAAAGTAATTTCATTGGCCAAATCTTGTACACTGAATCTTTATAATTATTATTTAGATAATATTTTGCTTCATTAGGTGATTGAAAATCTTGATTTAGGTGTTGCGTTTAGTTCGAATTTATCATTCAAATATTATTTAAATATTTCTAAGAAATCATCATCTATTCAACGATTCATAAGTAGGACGCGTGTAAAGATTTTACTAACCCCTTTACATTTAAGACATATTTTTCACTGGTACATTATATTCTAGAACATAATTTAATAGTCTGGTCACCCTCTGAAAATACTTATATTCAATGTCTTGAAGCTATACAGAATAGCTTTCTTTGTTTTATCTTGAATAAATGTGATATTCCACATCAACCTCATACACTTTATAAACCATTGTTAGAGACACTAAATATGACTAGTCTTGCTGTCGGAAGAAATATTAGTGATTTAAAATTCCTATATAAATCGGTTAATGGTTATATACTCAGCTCTAAATTATTAAATTATTTAGATTTTTATGTTTCTCAGCTCTTCCTTAGCTCTTCAAATTAATAATAAATAAATAAATACTTGTAGTCCGAAAGAAATTTAATTTAATATAGTATTTTTTATATATATATATATATATATATATCTAATATCAAATTTTGATGAATTTGTTAATATTATATCCTAATTTGTAGGTGAATGTTAGATACTGGATACTGGTCATTTATTTTTTCGATTACCTACTGTGGTCTGTGATAAACTGATAAATTATAGCAAACACTTAAGCTGCGCTATCTATTTTGTTTAGGTGTTTGAAAATACGGAAGGATGACAGAGTTCAGATTTGATAAGGTCAAGGTTGTAGTGTGTTAGCACTTATATGTGCCAGATGGAATACACTGAGTGGGAGTACCTGAAGTGTATAAAACATTCAACCAGAATGTACCCATATATTGTAGGAATAGCAAGGGATTTCACTATACTAATTAATAGTTTTAGTTAAAGGAAATGGTTTTTCCAAAGGCACTGTTTAAAAACGACAAGTGTGCTAGGAGGTTAAAAACTGAATCTAAATTCAAAAATATTCAATCCATTATACAGTAGAATTCTTATAAAGTTGAATCAAGACTTGAATTACTAAATATACAAATTTAATCAGATCACACTATCCTATTTCATGTTAACTATTACTTACAGTTGAAAATGTTTATTTTTACAATATAACCTCATTTTAAAATTTGATTATTCCTACACACATTATCATCAAGCTCATTTAATATATAATTGATTGATTTTAGATTCACAGAGGAAGAGTGATTTATTAATTAGTTTTACTTTTTTTAAATTTTTTTTTTGTATTTTACCAACTTTTCTACCACTAAATTTGCTCCAATCTACAAATAACAAGAGACTTCTTGGTTGTATTTTGGATTTAGTTGTTGCATTGGGAAGATTAATTTTTGATTTTCCAAAAGGTTTTCATAATAATTTAGGAAAACTGGGAAAAAAATATTAGACCCTACATTATTATTTTAGATTAAAAATATTGGTTTTTCCATATAATTTGGGGAGTTTTAAAAGAAACTGATTAGTGATGTATTTATATTGTGTATAGTGATTTTAAATATTTTCCTGTAATCTTATATTCTTACACACCTAGTGGCTAATGTATCTCTTGGTTAATTTTTATCATAATTTAATATACCTAATTTTTATTTCAGATTATACTGAAAGTTAACCAACTGAAACCCAGTTATTCTAATAGAAAAATTGGGGAAAAATACAAATTAAATGCTGAAGATACAGGTAAGATAAAAAGTAATTTACTTAATTATTGTACTTAGGATTTATCAGTCTAGAATATAACAGGGGTTATCTAGCGAACCAAAGCTACAACTAAACAAAATGTTAATTTAAATTATAATGTAAATGGGGATAAAACCACTAGCGATGGAACACTCTCTGGTCAACCCAATCTCAATTTAAATAATGCCAAGGAATTCCCATGTCTTCCCACAAACGTGTCTCACCCACAAGATAGCAAAGACAAAACAAATTACTACAAAAAAAATTATTAAAATTCAAATGTTTAATACTCAGCTCGATAATAATCTAACTTCTCAATTTTCCTCATTCTTATCAGAATTAAAATTAGTGATAAATCCTTTAATCCAACTTCTCACTACGGTCATAAATAAACTAGTCCTAAAAGATGTTAAATAAACAAGCGAACATAAACTCCCTTAGAATTTTTCTTTGGAACGCAAATGGTCTTAAACGTCATGAACCTGAACTGCTCATAAACATATAATCAGATTTCTTGATAGTCCTTTACCAATGTCTCTCCCAGCAAAACACACAACCCCAAATGAAATCAAACATTTAATTAGCAAACTAAAGCCAAAGAAGTCACCTGAATATGACTTAAATACAAACAAAATATTACAACACTTACCCAATAAAACTATTACTTCTCACATTTATTTACAATTCCATGTTAAGACTCTCTCACTTCCCTCAAATCTGGAAATTTTCTATAATAATACTTATACATAAACCTGGTAAACCCAAACACCTACCGTCATCCTATAGACCTATAAGTCTACTACCAGTTTTAGCTAAATTGTCTGAGAAAAGTATCCTTAAAAGAATTAGACCACTCATTCATTCAAACAATACAATACCCCACACACAATTTGGTTTCAGGACATCCCATTCGACAATACATCAAATACACAGAATTACTGATAAAATTCAAACTTCATTTGAAAATAAAGAATACTGCTCAGTTTTCCTAGATGTGGCCCAAGCCTTTGATAGAGTTTGGCACGATGGCCTCTTATACAAGTTAAAATTATTCCTCCCAGCTCCCTACTATCTAATAATCCAATCCTACCTCTATGATCGTACATTTGCAGTTCGACAGGGCGACTCAATATCCTCCTACTTTACAATCTCTGCCGGTGTTCCACAAGGAAGTGACCTATCACCCAACTTATTTAACATATATACATCAGATATTCCAAAAACAGCAAACACAACCTTAGCAACTTATGCAGATGATACAGCTATACTCTCCTCCAATTCAGACCCTATTCTATCTTCAAGCTATCTCCAAAATCACCTCAATTTAATAAATACCTGGGCAACCAAGTGGAAAATTCTAATAAATCTTTCCAAGTGCCATTTACACTGCGTAAACACAACCTCCCCTCGCTCCAACTTCAAGGAGTCGAGAATCCTTCATCGAATCAGGTAAAATACTTGGGAATTTTACTAGACAAAAGATTGACATGGGGACTTCATCTAAAGTCCAAATGTAAAATCCTTAACTACCTCCTTCATCTACTCAGGCCGATTCTTAAATCGATTCTAAACTTGAGACACATTTTGAAAACATTTGTATGGCATGGCACCTTCAGATATCAAGAACTTCATAGTTTATGACATAAACATAAAACATACAATACAATAATTTAATAAATTAGAAAATTCAAACACTTAAGTTTTAGAGAACATGCATTATTATAATATATAGGGTCGACACCATTGAATGCCATTAGTGTATATAAACAATAATTAAGAGCTGTCTAGACTAATCAATACTACTAAATTTATTATGGCTCAACAATTTAGTGATAAGTTATAATTTTTTTTTTTTAAATTATTAAAACTTTGTACCCATTTAGATATCATTCCTTTTTTCTGGAAACTTAACCCATTTTTCTCATTTAAATTTTTGTGGGATATTAATACTTTATGTAATTAACAATAATAGTGTAATATTCACATATTAAACTTTGTAGTATAATTACTAAATAATATAAATCCCAAAATAGAACCTAATAGCCAGTTGATATATTATAATTATATATGTTATAGTATACCTTAGTTATCTGGATAATATAGGCTAGCCTTAGAAAATAAGTAGCTAGATTGATTAAATAGAGGGATTAGAGAGGAAAATTTGGTTTGTGTAAATATACACTTAATATATGTTATACAATTATTTATTTACTCAGTTAAAATATACAACTCCAACTTATTCTATGCAATTAATTTTTTTTTCTAATTCTTCGATGTTAATTTGATTGGCAATTTTATTTTTGAATTACAGAAATACACAAAACAAAAAACCCAAAAAGTGCAACAATTGTTTTAAATCAATTTGATGACAATAGTATGACAAATAATGATACTATGACATATGATACTACGATAAATGAACCAGGTAATAAACTCATGTATAAAATTAAGAATAATTAATACTTTAGTGTAAAAAAAACTGTTCTCACTATAATAAACAATATATTTTAAATTTAGTTTATAATTGATACATCAATGGCTGTTATCAGCCATATTATACTCAGTTTATAAATCTGATGAATGTTTTTGTTTACATTAGTGAAAGTTGAATTAAAAACATTCTATAAATAGTATTACATAAATTTGTAGTATATGTAAGATTAAATGAAGTTTAAAAAAAATCAAATGTTTAAATATAAGTGCTATTTAATTATTTCATTTTCAAATTAGTACTGAAATTCTAATTATTTATTGTTGTGTAATTTATTATTTGATTGAGTTTTTTCTTCTTTAGAAAGCATTTCAGAAGATGTGTTATTGGGAGAAGTTTGTCCAAAGAAAATAAACAGCACTCATCAAGGGTCAACAGTAAGTGATATTTAACTGTTGTTTTAACTACAAAATACTGGTTAATACGGTCTAAGATAATGTGTGTCTTAACATTGTATTGATCATCTTGTATAATATTAACAGGTTCATAAACTAAATTATTTTTATTTATTTCTTGGTTAAATTTGTTTTATATTATTTATTATATCTCTAAATCTGATTTTTAATAATGTTATGCTGCGTCCACACCGAACAAACAATTAGAAAAACGTTTGTTTGATCTAGAGGTGTTTCCAAACAAATTTGTTTGTCAATAATCCAAACAAAAATGTTAGCTCACTAAGCATTTTGAATGTATGTTTGTAAATTATATAATATTAATTTAAATAATAATCATAATTTATATAATTTAATTATTTAATTAAATGTTTATTAATATAATTTAATAATTTTAAATTCTGAACAGTGTGAGGTGTGTCAATAGCTTTACTATTTAAAGAATATACTATTTTTAAATTATTGTGTGATATTCCAAATGTTGAGCAAAGTGTAGCAAAATTACTAAATAAATCACTGTCATGTAAATCTAAAATGAAATTCTCACCACTGTAAGTCTTTCTTCTCTGAAAAAGTTGTCTTTCCCACCACCTTCTTTTTTTATTAATTTTTTTTTTTGATATTTTATTACGCATTATAACAAATGCAGCAGCGCCAATGCAGCATGCGACTTGATCTATACCTGACATGGTGTGATGGCAAACATATAGCGAACAACAAATTATAAACAAACATTTGTTGTCATTAATAAAATGTTTGGCAAATGTTCGACAAATGTTTTTGTCGAACATTGTTTCACAAACAATGTTTCCCCAAATGTTTGTTAGGTGTGGACGTAGCATTATAAGATCGAGTTTTTAATTTTCTAAATTTTGATTGTTATGAAAAACCATATGAGTACCATTTGAACATTTTTGAAGAGATTTCAAAGTAAACTGTTCTAACATCAAAAATATTTGAAAATTCTAGTTGTATAAATTGTTTTTATTATTTATTTATTAGTTGAATGATTTGGACGAAGAAGAAAAAAAATTAAAATTTCAAAATTTGCTCCAACTTTTAGATAAAAGTTTAAAAATAACAAACATTTTTGAAACCAGATTACAACAATGTAAAGATGAAATTATTCAGTAAGTGATAGAAGTACAATATATTAAGTTAGAATATGATAAATTTGAAATAAATAAACAACTTAAATTAGTATGTAAATATTGTTACTATTTTAATATATAATATAGTATTATTGTCACATTAGATAATACAAATATTAAATATAGTAATTGTAATCAGTGATGAGCAGTAGAGTATAAATTTGACACAGCTACAACATTTTAAGAGGTAATGGGTGGGGTGCACTTGGATAGTTATTTTGATACCTGTTTGTTTAATATTAATACTTTATGTATCTAATATTCTAATATTTAAGTTATTATCAAATATCACAATAGTATCAAACATAGACCATGGGTACTAAATATCTACATAGCCACTGTTATAAGTAATATAATGTAAACAAATTTGTATTCAATGTTGAAAATAAATAATTTTATTTCCTTTATAAATTGAATGCATTTTATCATTAATATCTTTACTATAGTGTTAAAATATTTTCATTACATTTTATGTAGACGAGAACTGGAAAAAACTAAAATTTCTCAAACAAAGAATCCAAAAGAAACAACTGATGTAAGTAATGTACCTTATTAACTAGTATTATCTAATATGAATGTATATGAATAGTATAAGCAATCTATTACATATTAACCTTTAAATAATTTATATAGTAAAAATACAATATATATATTTAATATGAACTATATATATCTAGGATAATAGAACATTAAAAGTGAAACATTATTTAAATTTATTTCAACAACCCAGATTATTTAATGGACAACTTAAAACTCATCAGATTGAAGGTCTTTTGTGGATTCGAGTATGTATGAATTTTCAATATATATATACACTTATTTCTTGTAATTTTTTGTTTAAAATCAATCTATTTATGAAAAACCAAATAATTTTCCAACAAAATGTGTATTGTAATATTCTTTATTATTGAATTCACATATTCTTTTTAGACTTTGTATGAAAATGGTCTGAATGGTATCTTGGCTGACGATATGGGACTTGGAAAAACCATACAGTCCATAGCTTTCTTTTGTTTCCTCGTAGAAATGGGCATAACTGGACCATTTCTTGTAATTGCACCACTTTCAACAATACCTAATTGGTTAACTGAATTTATTACATTTGCCCCTCAAGTAAGTAGCTGATTTTAGAACCATACATAATTTGTTTTAAGATATTTATTTTTATTTTAGTTATACACACTTTTGTATCATGGTAACAAAAAAGACCGTGCTGAAATAAGGTCAAAATTCAGAAATATACACAAAGTAAATAATAAAGACTGCTATTCAATTATAGTTACTACCTATGAAACCATACGGTTTGATATCAAACATTTACAAAGTATCGATTGGAAATTTATCATTATGGATGAAGGCCATAAGTTAAAAAATGTTGATTCTCAAATTTCTCAGTGAGTAATATTTTCATTGTAGTATTTTAATTTATAAAAATGTATTGATAATTATTTTGTAAAATGCAGGGCTATGCGATTATTAAAATGTCCAAACAAATTAATACTTACTGGAACCCCAATACAAAATAATATGACTGAACTTTGGTCTCTATTAAATTTATTAATGCCAGAGATGTTCAATAAATTAGAGGATTTCAATTCTTGGTTTAAGACTGATGACTTTTTTAGTTCTAATGACAAAATTGTAGTGTTAGCAAAAAAAGATGAAATATTGGATATTATATTAAAGGTAAAATTAACTTGATTTTGTTTTATTACAAATATTCAATTATTAAAGTCCAATTCATCCAATTTATAACTAAGTGTATAGAATGATAAATTTGTTATACTTAAAGGTTTGCATTGTATTAACACAAAAAAATTGATTTTTGGAACAAAAAATAAAACTTCCTAGATTAACTAATTACTTTCTCCTAATCAGAATCTAATCAGTGTTAGCTATATACCGCTGTCCTAAGAAAAACCACTGTAAATCAAAAAATCTTGATTATACTAGAATAATATGTAAAATTATAATATTGAACATAGCAAATACAGAATATAATCTCATTTTTTCTTTTGATTTATGACATATTTTCTTAGGGCAGCAGTATAGTAATTTTAGGCATTTATATCATTTCATACACTAAAGACATGGATTTTTTTTTAAATTTGTACTACTAATGATGTTTTCTCAACAATATATATGTCATATTATAGTAAAATAATTAAATAGGTATTATATATTTTCTTTAATGATATTTGTTTTGTTTTGTACAGATTTTCTCAGTATTCCTACTTTTTTCCTTTGGTTTTTTCTTTGTTTTATCCTGCTTTCAAAATCGAAAAATGACCTCTCTAAAGTACCTCTCCAGTCAGATTTTATTTTATAAACATTGCTATCATTATAAATTAGAGCAAAATTGCTGGTAGAAAATTTATTTACAGGAAAAAAAACCGCAATATTTTAGTAATATATATTTTGTACATTTTCCCGGTTTTTTTTTTCGGTTTTTCAAATTTGATGAGAAAACTTGAGAAAATCAAAAAATGACCTTTCCAGTCAAAAATGAAAGAAAAATTATTCTATATCAATTATCTATAAATTTTAATACATATTTTTAATTTATTAGGTAAAAAATTAGGTATTCTCCAAAATAGTGAAAGTAATAATTACAAAGTAAAAACAGTGAAATCCAAGCAAAAAAAAAAAAATTAAATGTTTATATATTGAGAGTTAAATTACTTGATATGTTTTTAAAGGAAGTTATTTTATCATTCTTATCATAATTATTGAGTAATGTTTTATCTCTCTTTGTAAAGTTTTTATTATTATTATTTTTTTTTTTTGTGGCTGCTTACCATCAAAATTTGATGCTTATTTTGTTTCCTCCAATGAACTTCTAAATTATTGAATAATATGAGCCTTAAAAAAATAATATAAATTTACACATCTATCAGTTTTGAAAATCCTCCATGCAAATCTTCAATGTATTGTTTGTGGTTTGATGCTCATCTCTATCTGTTAACCAAGGCTAGCAGATATTAGCACGGATATTACAGTTCCATGTTATTCTTGTTATTAATGTTATTGTTTTACATACGTTTATCACTTAATTTGATGGGACACAACCAACATTTGAATGTGGTGCCAAACGCACTTAGGGAAATGAAAAAACCTCTCTGGTTGTGTAAAAATGTCTGAAATACATATTTTCATTCGGGCCAACAACATATAATAAAACATTAATATTATTAATATAAATTATTAATCTAAAATATCTGTCTCACAAAATGTTTATCTCAATATAAGTATTAATAGTATTTATGCAGTTTTAGAACATATTATGGGATTATGAGATATTACTTTTACTTGTATTATTATTATTACTAAAATAATAACTAATACCCATGTACAATTCAATATTCTCAATGGATTATTTTTTAATTGTGTATTTAGTATATGAGTATTATAATCATCATCATCAATGTGCTGTCTAATTCATTTACCCACATCTTTTCCTAGCCATTGTTGCTTTGGCTAGTTTAGTTTTTGCTCTTATTACTTTGACCTTTTTATTTCACTATTTATTATGATTTCACTGTTTTGGCCTAAACCCAAAAAATACACAACTTTTTAAAATGTTGCTCTACAATAATATTTTTTCATGTATACATATAATATTACTGAATACTACTATACAATACTGACAATAATAGTTATTCTACTAATCCTTAAATTATGAATTTACTTTTTAGATATTAAAACCATTTATTTTAAGAAGAGAAAAAAAAGAAACAGATTTAAAACTACCACCCAAGAAGGAAATTGTTGTATATGCTCCAATTACTGAAAAACAAAAAGAATTATATCAGGCAACATTGAATTCTCAAATGGAAATACTAAATAAAAAAGATAAGGTAATCATTTTCAGTTATGATAAATAAAAATATTTTAATTAAGAAAAATATTAAACAGAATATACAATTTTCATTTTCTACATAATAAAACATGTTATAACTTGTAAGTATGTAAATGTTGTTTTAAACTAAATGGTTTGCTAGTAAAAAAAATGTATATTAAGTAGATAAAAGTACTGAATATTCTGTATAATTAAAATATATATTTCAATATTATTGAATTAGTAGCTAAAAACAAAGGCCTCTGAAAGTTTATTGCATTTTATTGTAAATTAAAATATTTTTACAGTAGAATAATGATTAATGAACATATTATTATTGCAATTTGTTAATGGAAAAATATCTCGTTCACATTATTTAAAGACTAAATTAACATTTTCAATATATAATAATAATTTAAATTTCATTATATATTTTTTCTATATTCTGTTTAAAAATGTTTATCTGTATCAAGTAATTATTAGTATTTTTTAGTGTTCTAAAAGAGTTATAAATAAGAACAATTGTAAACCAATTGTGTTTTTGTTTCATTCAGAATCTAATGTTTAAAAATAATAAACCTATACCAGTGGTTCTCAAACTGTGGTTACTCGTACCATTGGTTTTACATGGTACAAAACATGGTGGTATTAGTACAGAAAATAAACAAATTAATATTCCTACAAATGTTTTTTAATGGATTTAACACTATATTTTATAAAACATTATGAATTGTTCAATTTTTAGTTTTACATGGTTCCTAAAAAATCCATAATACATATAAGTGGTATGCGAAATTAATAGTTTGAGAACTTCTGCTATATACAATAATACATAATTTGTAATTATAACTATTATTTTCAGGAGATAGTTGATATTATTAATGCGACTACCCCCAAAAGAAGCTGTGTACAACGAATAGTAAAATATACATATAATAATGCTATCAAAACTAAACCTGTTAAACAAAAGTAAGTGTATTACAAAATTGTGTGGTATTTAACCCTTCATATTCATCACCAGTATTTTAATACCCCAGACATTAAAAATGTGGAGATAAAAACCATGAATCTTTACCACCATGATATAATAAAAATAATATAATCTACAAAAAATTACATTAACACATGGGGTATTATATTAACCCAAGTGGCTAAAATTGTTCAAATTTTTTAAGAAAACTAACTAATGATTAAATTAAATTATCTAAAAATTGGTCTAAAAAAAAGTATAATTATTAATGGCAAGTCATTTTTTTGTACTCCTTTAAATTTTCATTAACAAACATTATTAATATAAGAAATTTTAATAAATATATATGGACATACTTAACACTTGAGTATAATAACTGTTATAAGTGAGGAGTTGGCAGTGTAATAGAGGAAAAATTGTATGTATATCTCTGTAGGTAATAATAAACCATTGTTAACGAAAAATAATTTTGAACTGAGCTCAGCTGCTTTGTCAACAATATATATATACCATATTATGGTAAAATAATTACATAAGCATTATATATTTTCTTTAAGTTTAATATTGGACCTATTTTTCCGGTTTTCCCTTGTTTTTTCTTGGATTTTTACATTTGCTGGGGAAAACAAAAAAATGACTTCTTTAAAGTACCTTCCCAGTCAGATATCCTTTTTAAAAAAATGGTATCATTATAAATCTGAGAGAAATTGCTGGTAGAAAAGTTATTTACAAGAAAAAAAAGACTGTAATATTTTTTCAACCAATACCTACATATTCCCCCAAGTTTTTCTAATTTACTGGGAAACTTGAAAAATAACCTTTTTAAAGTAACTGCTGAATCAGATTATGTTTTAGAAAAAGTGCTGTACTTAAAGATCAGAGTAAGGTTTCTGGCAGAAAATTTGCACTGTTAAAAAAAAAAAAATTATATATATATGATTTTTAATCTGAAATCACACAAAAGAGCCTGAAGTTCTTAGACATAGTGTATACTGTAATAAATATATAGTGAAACCTGTATATGGACAGTTATGTGATTATTAACAGGTGTCAGTAATAAACGGGCATGGGAGGTAGCATTTTCATGAAAAACATAAAATGAACAGAAAAAACGTACAACATTATAATACAGAATAAAACACTGAATAGTCCTAATAGTTTTTTTGGTTATATTGATCCTCACAATTAACTTTATACTTTTTATCAAACATGTAATCTGGCATATAATGGGTATTCGAAATACAAGGCGAGGCTGTCATGTGGTCTGTATGTACCTAGTACAACATATTTAATTTTGAACTAAGATAGTCTATTATTGATGTATTATCAAAAAAAAATTATTGTTGATATCTGTAATAGAAAGAGTTCATTATAGACATTTAAATGGCTATTTTTTTTCTGGGATCTTATTATTTTGTTCATTAAGAGAGGTGTCCACTAAGACAGGTTTCACTGTAATTATATTAATAGTAATTATTTAGTATTAATATGGCTATAACTATTTTTAATAATTTTAGGGTAGATAATTCAAATATAGCTATTTCTTTAGTTATGACAAAACCTTATATTCAGTTGAAAAAAATCGCAAATCATCCATACCTTGTCCACATGCCTTTAATTCCAGGACAAAACAAAATTCTTGTTGATGAAAACATTGTAAAAGCTAGTGGGAAATTTCAAGTTTTGGATGCGATGTTACCAAAATTAAAGTCCCGTGGACATAAGGTAATATACATATATATATATATAGTTACATATATTATACATAAGTTGATTTCAGTATTTAATTACTTTTAGACCGAAATGTATTTTATTCAGTATTATACCTGCTTAAAAATAAATAATTATTGATTACATATTATTTATATATTCTTAGTTTTTTTTTCCACAAATATAGATTTTCATTTAATTTTTCAGGTGTTACTATTTTCTACTATGGTACAAATTTTAGATGTAATTGAAGAGTTCTTAATATTACGAGACTACAAGTATACCAGATTGGATGGTACTATGCAAATTGAACCTAGAGTAAATGCAATTAAAATGTTCAACACTGATCCAGAATGCTTTTTGATGATGATATCTACACGTGCAGGGGGACTAGGCTTAAATTTGACATCTGCAGATACTGTCATTATATTTGACAGTGACTGGGTATGTATTTTTTAGTATTATTATTTTATATTAGTAATTACAAATTACAACTCTTATTCTGAACCTTATTTACTATGCTAGTAGAAAAATAATGTCTACCAACAATAAATTCAATATTTACTTATTTATAGGTCTATATTAAACATTCTCTAACAATCAATCTAAATCTACTATTTTTAAACCTGAAGAGATGTACCATGGTTCAATTCCTTGTGATCTTAATGGGTTAATGATTTAGTATTGATATTTAACTATTATTATTCATTTTTTTTTTTTTTTTTTGCTTAACAAGTGGAAATAAAGTTTTTATTTATTTTATATTACAAAATAAAATTATATGTACATTTTTATGTCATAGGCATAAAGTAAAATCTTTACTAAATGTCTATTTTAAGTCAAGTAAATAATAAAAATTCAACATTTTATATCGTTCTAAAAACTAAACTATATTTTATTATTAATATTATTATTATTATACAACAAAATAAAAATAAAAATTTCACAGAAGTGGTTTAACTTTGAAAAGTATTATATCTTATCTATATTGAATACTGGACCAATTTAATTCAAATAATGGCTTAGAACAGGTTCCTCAGATTGTATGTTGTGACTCAAAATTGGGTCACGATCATATTTTTAAATAATATATTTTTTAGATTCTGAATGAAGCCAGGGATGTATTAATTTTATAATATTATTTTTATTTTTTTTTATCCGTGAACAACATTTTTACTAGAAATTTTGCTACCATTTACAAGCACTTGTAGTACTTTTTCTAGTTTTACTTCTTTTTACTTTTTTGACTGGAGTAGTACTTTGGGAGTTAGTTTTTAATTTCCCTAAGAGTTTTCCCAATAAATGTACAAAATGCAGGTATTAGGTTAAAAAATATAATTGCCATTATTTTTCTCTGTAAACAAATTTTCTACCAGCAAATTGGATCTGTACTTACCAATGAGAGTATGCCACTGAACAAACTTCATGAATCCCCAGAAAAAATAATAAACCAAAAAAAAGTCTTAGGATAATGAGGTCGGGTGCAGCCACTGTTATAAGTAATTTATTGTACACCTGTAAGCAATAATAAACCATTTCTAATGAAAAAGACAATTCGGAGTGGTGTTCAGTTGATAGTGCTGTTTTGTCAACAATGTCATATTATGGTAAAATTCCAATTATTCCAATTCCAATATTAAAATGGATTTCGTTTTTCCTCTGATTTTTTTCTCGGTTTTTCACATTTGTTGAGAAAACTTCTGGGAAAATCTAAAAATTACCACTTTAAAGTACCTTCCCACACCAATTTCCTTTCAGAAAAGATGCTACACTTAAAATCCGAGTAAGATCTTTGTTGGAAAAGTTGTCCACAGAAAAAAATTAAAATAAATATCTTTATAAAACCATACGCTTTTGTTCCACTCAGAATCTAAAAAAGGATCATTGATATTATTGTGGCCACCAAAAAATTTAGCTTAGAATATATCAGAGTACTCAAAGACAAATTTGTATCCATAAATGAAGCTGTAGCAACCTTATCAAATTTTAATGGCCAAGGTTTTGTTAAATGATAGGAAAATGGCAATGTCATTACAGTTAATGTTTGTGTTTTAAAAAAAGTGTGAAATATTTTAGCAAATACTACTAAACAATAACAAGTATTAACTAAAAACTTAGAAAAATTTGTATCTATAATAAAACTTTTTATTCATTTTTTTTTTATATTCCTCTTATATCTAATTAGTAATTACTAATTACCTATATTCATTTGTAATTCTGGTCAATTTCAAAACAATAGTACCTTAGGACAAAAAATTAAAAATATTTCATATACTGACATATTTTATCTACTTATAAATTATACATAATTTTTACATAGAATAGCAATAAATAACTAATAATAAATATAATTTAGTTTTTAAAATTATATGAAACATTTTACTTAAGTTTCTGAGTGGAGTGAAGAAGCTTATGATTTTACAAAGATGTTTATTTTTTTTTGTTGACAACTTTACTCTGATTTACAATGAAAACACTTTCTGAAAGGAAATTTGGCTAAGAAGGTAATCTAGGAAATTCATATTTTGATTTTCCCAACAGTAGCCTGTATATAAATATATATATATATATTGATAGTCCTATAAATGAAGTAATAGTTGAAATAAATTTTGTTGCTGAAATTTATTTTAAATAATATTAAATCTTTTTATGGGATTTTTAATGTAGGAAACAACTTAAATGTTCTAGAATACAAATTTTGAAAAAAATTTAATACTTTCTGAGATAATAAGTGTCTTATAATAGATTGATTACCCTGTATATTATTAAAAAAACATCACTGAACTCTGCTCAGAATCACTTATTAAAGCAATTATTATTAAACCTAATGGTAGGAGGGTTTAAAAGTCCCTTGTCTAAGGAATCTAAATTATTAAATATAATTTTCTAAAGCAATACAAATGGTTAGCAAAAAGTTATTTTGTTTCAATAAAATTGTATGTATTATATAAAAATAACTTTTGGTTAATAATTTGTTTAGCGTTAGAAAATTGTATTTAATAAATTAGAGCTGTCTGAGAAGGGAAACATTTTAACTCTTTTACCATTTTTATTTTTTTAAATATTTCAAATTTTCAAGTTTTTTTGTAAATTTTAAGTGCAACTAGGTCCAAATCCTACTGATGAGTATTATAGAATACATAAATAATTAAAATATTGTTTCAGAATCCTCAATGTGATTTGCAAGCCCAAGATAGGTGTCATAGAATGGGGCAAAAAAAACCAGTTGTTGTTTACCGTCTGTGTACCAAAAATACTTGTGATGAAAAAATATTAGAAACTGGGGCTGCAAAACGCAAACTTGAAAAATTAATTGTTGGAAATGGTAAAATTATAGTATAACAATTCTTATTTTGTAGTACAAATTTATTTTTCTAATTATGTGTTATTTTTATTTGATATTGTAGGAGTATTTAATAATGATTATAAAAAAATGACCACATCAGATATTGGAGAACTATTGAGTTTATTAGAATCATCGGAGTACAACAAAAAAATACAATCTAATGGTTATAGTATGTGTTAATAGTATTTTATTTAATAAATGGCCAATTTTTTTTACTTTCTGGTCAATATACTGTAAACATACTTTTGTATTTCAGTTTTTACAGATGAAGAATTAGAAATTTTATTAAATAGATCAGACATGATAAACCCATTATCACAAAAAGATAAATTAAAACAACAAATGGATGTACAGTTACAAGCTGCTGAACATTTTAAAATATTATCAAATTACTAAATGTGTAATGTTACTTTTTTATGTATTTGTTTAAGTATGCATTTATTTTATATTACCATACAATATTTATTATTTAATTTTTTTTAGCATTCTGTTATTACCATTATTTTTTTTTAACTTTTAAAGAATTCATTTTTTGTAATTTAATGTTTAATGAAATTGAAATTAAAATCTTATTTTATAACAAGCATATGAACTGTGATGCATACAAATGATGCAATATTGTTTCAGTGTCTTTAATTAATTATATTTATTTAATTGTTATTTAAAAAAATTAATGTTGAGTTTTAAAAGAAATTAAACATTCAACCACAAATAGTATTTATTATTTTGAACACATCTAGTATAAACATTTCCAGTAATAAAGACACTTAGTGATCATCAAAAGTCAACTATATATTATAATTGAGGCCTTCAGTGCCATAATGAACTAACCCAAAAAATGTTCACGTTGAGTTAATACCATCAATACTCACTAAATGGCAACATCTAAACTTAATTATATATTTTGCTTATTTTTATTCTGAAATGATATGAAGCTCTACAGTTTATAAAATTGATAATGCTTTATTGTGTAATTTTTCAATTGATAGAATATTATTTAAAATATAATTCTGTATTTTTTATATTGAAACTGAAATATGTAAATTTTTATTTAAACCTGATGGAATTTCATATTTTAGACCATAGTGCATTAGGGAGATCATTTTTCAAATTTCTAGTGAGTTTTCATAATAATTTGTAAAAAAAACTGAGAGAAAATTATAAGGAATGGGCAATTTAATATTTGCAACTCGTGTTTTCTGACAGAAATTACTCCAATAGAAAAATGACAAGAAAACTTTTTGTTAAATTTTGGATGTAGTTGGTGATTGAGAGTCAGTTTTTGATTGTCTGTGAAGTTTTCTTAATAATTGAGCTAAACAATTACAATTCAATAAAAATTATTCACAGACTTGACATTTTGACAGAAACAAGAAATGTATGTAAGTAAGTTACCTTTACTACATTTGGGCCATTTTTAAGCTATTAAGAGACATTTTATTTTGCCAGTTTTTTACGTACATTTTATTTAGCAGGTATTTAGTGGATAAAAATGTTAGTTTAAAACAGAAATGGTTGAAAATTGAACAAGTTCATTATAAGTCATACTTAGTGGTTACAAATTGAGTTTGATGCAGAATTTTTTTAATTAGTTTTAATGTCAAATTTTAACAAAAATCATAAATATTACAACCTTTCAAAACAAATCATTGCTTGTAAATATAAATAAATTACCCTCTATATTCTATCTTCCCAACATTTCATGTGCAACAGTGGCCTGTAACTGATGCACTTTTTTTGTTTTGAATAATCAGATTTATAAGCCTATAACTTTGTGACCTTTTTTTTATTTATTATAAAAAAAATGATGTTTAAAACTTTAAAATAATAAAATCTAAAAAATAAAAATTACAATTCCAAAAAAATAAACAATGTTAAAACATAAAATTAGGTATGGAAATTACAATTGCTTTGATAAAATTTGAGTTTTGCTGTTAGAAGTTGTTCACTATAAATCATAATATTCTATACTATGGATTATTATGATTTACCTGTACAAAGAAGTACAATCCAATGTAAATATTTATTCATGCATACATTTGTAAGGTTTTTATAAACATGGCATATTCTTTATTATTAGAAATAATTGCCATGATTCAATTAACTTACCAGAAAATCTAAGTATATCTAGTAGTATGTATAAACAAAAACATCAGGTATGTAGAAAAATATTATTTGACAAAAATATTGAATATTTGGGAGTTGAATCTCTCAATCACACAATGAACAACTCAGCTGATAATTCAATTTTAAAGTAATATTACCATCCATCTGCAAGGAAGATGGCACCTGGACTCGTAGTGAACAAAAAAATCGAAATTTAAGCTCGAAATCTTGAACGCATGTTTCTACCATACAGCATAGACTCGGAGCATGATATTGTGTGATGTTAACAACTTAGTGCAACGCGTGAAAAGATTAAACATTTCACTCCATTAGAAGTTGCTAAAGTAAGAGATAACAACTTAAAATCTAAAAAAAACACCAGACCATGATGAAATAGGTTCAAAAAATACTTAAAGAGCTCCCAAAGAAAGCTATCATTCATCTTACGTACATATACAATGCTATTTTGTGCACGGAATACATTCCAGAACGATGGCGACAGGCACAAGTGATTATGTTGCTCAAACCACCAGAAAATGTCGCATCGTACCAACCAATATCACTCCTTCCAAGTTTGTCTAAACTCTTAGAGAAACTTCTACTCAAACGTTTAAAACCAATCATAGAAGAAAAACAGCTTATTCCGGACCATCAGTTTGGATCCCGCAACAAACATCAATTAAGTCGATCAAAGTTGATCAAGTCCATAGGGTCACTAACGTGATAAGTAAAGCTCTTGAAGAAAAATTCCTGCGGACTTCTGTGGAGTGTTCCGTGACGTAGGTCAGGCTTTTGACAAAATCTGGCACAAGGGTTCACTCATCAAATTGCGTGATCAACTGCCACATACCTGGTGTGCGCTTTTTAAATCATATTTCACTGACAGTCAATTATGAGTAATATATGAAGAAGCGGTAACCGAATGAGAATATATATCAGCTGGAGTCAGGCGCGGATCCAGCTGGGGGCGGTATGGGCGACTACCTCCGTTGGTCGTATCATAATGTATTATTTAAATTTAATATTTTGTGTTATCCTATGTAAATGTATTGTTATTGTTTTTCAGTCACAAATTGTCGTATTTTATTTTAATAAATAACACACATTAATAAAATGTTGATAACGATATTACGACGGAGTGACGGTGACCGTCGATTACCAGCCGCCGCGTGACGTCTAGGCGGCTCATAGAGTTTTCTCCTAAAAATCTTTAAAAATATCTCCATATTCGATAATATTTGTTGTACTGATAGAATGAACTAATAAAGATAATTCTGTCAACAGTTCAACACTCGATAACCGTCGATGCACACGTATTACGTTACGCGTATATCATTCGCAGTTAAAAGTGACGCGATATATTGTTTTAATTTAATTGGTGACTTTTAAGTTTTACTGTTATTATTAATTAATTTAATTTATTGATTATATACAAAGATGATGTCGATATTATAAATTTTTTTTAAAAAGAAACGTATAAATATTGTAGAAAATAATGACCGAATAACATAATCTGAGGAAACTAATGATCAAATTGCTGTTGATCCAAATTCTCCATCTTTAAAAGGTAAGTCGTCTTTATTAATATCTAAAGAAAAAATTAAATTAAATATTTTTCAACCACAATCGTCTGAAATTAATTAAAATAAATCACTAGACATAGGAGATTTTTAAACTCAAAATTTCATATCAATAATTTGATTAAAAAACAAATTTTTGAGAATCACCGGGGACCCAAAAATATGCTTATGCTTTTTCTACTTACAAAAAACGTGGTCATATTGAAAAGATTTGTAAAAAAAAAATACAGAATTTAGAAAAATATTTTTGACTAATCGTATCGAAATCTATGAACAGTTTATTCTGTAATTATTGTTCAGTTTTTAATCACACTAATACTGGCACTGGATCAAAAAATACAATGCCCCTTAAGTGAATAATTCAATGAAGACATTCAATTCAGTTTATGAAAAAAAAGTATTCATTATAATTAATAAGCAATTATTGCATTAAGTACTTTTGTATGTGTGTTTATATACTCGCATTTACCAGAATGTAAATAGTAAATATATATAGATATTTATAATCCGCTCCTTTCGTTAATGTAGGCTGGAGTGTCGTAAGGTAGTGTTTTAGAACCTACCCTGTATCAACTGATATACCAAACGATGACAATATAACGATAGCTATGTTTGCCGATAATATTGCAATTTTGTCGTTAAGAATCAGCTAATTGCAAATGATAACTCATAAGAATCATTTGACAATATCTGTGCCTGGACGAAACGTTGGAAAATTAGATAAATCAGTACACGTCAGCTAAATGTTACGTAAAACCGAAAAAATCTAAATTATGCTGAATCATACATTCCCACAAAGATTCAGCGAAATACCTTGGAATGCACATAGATTCCCGTTTATAAACTGGAAACACCATGTCCGCCAGAAAAATATACAAATTAAAAGAAAATTGCAAAAACTATTGGTTAGGTGCACCTCACTCCGAGTTAACTATAGAAAACAAACGTCTACTATATATAGGTTTCATAAAACCAATTTAAGATCGATTGATAGTGTAGTTTAAATTGAGCAGACTGAAATTGTTTCAAAACTATAGCTTTTTGAAGTTCTGATATTATATGTTATGTTAAATAACTATATTATCTTTTCAAAGAATGTTTGTCGTAGTGTAAAGGTTATACATGCCTATTGTCATCTTAGTGGTCGCGAGTTCAAACCCGGGTTTCGAGAATTGTTTGCATTTTTTCTCTTTTAACTAAACAAGGAGAAAACCTCGCTAATAGTATCTCGCTCAGACTATTTTTATCGCAAATTACCAATCGATTTGTTGTGCAAACTTTTCTACCAGAAAATCTATCGAATAGGTAGCTTATTTTCTGAGAGGAAGTTTTGTCTACATATGGTACTTTGAAAAGGTCATTTTTTTGATTTTTCAAACAGTTTTCATAATATCTACGAAAAACCGGGATAAAATATTGGAAAATGTACGAAATGTAATTATTAAAAAAATATATTATTCCCTTTTTGTTTCTTTTCGCAACTTTTCTATCAGCAATATTGATCCGATTTAAAAAATAATACCACTTTTTCTGAAAGGTAATCCCACTGGGAAGGTGTTTTAAGGTCATTTTTCAATTTTCCTAAAAATATGAAAACTAGTACAATATTAAACAAATTTTTATTGAAAAAAAATATAAAATACCTGTTTAATTATTTTACCATAATGTGACATATACATATATATATATATTGTCGACAAAGCATCACTATCAACTGAACTGCACTCAGAATCGTTTTTTTGTTAGCAACGGTTTATCCTTGCTTACAGATATACATTTTACCTTCTATATCCTACCTTCTCAACTTCCCAGCCTACATTAGTGGCTGCACTCACATGCGAAGTATGACAGTCTTTTTTTTTATTAAAATCTTTAATAAATGTCTTATACAATCTTTGTTCTGGTGTACTAAAATAAGTAACAAAATGTAGATTAATTTCTCATAAGAATATTAATTTAATTTTCAGTTGCAACTACTTGATGTTAAAAAAGAATTGTATAACTTAAAATGTCATTGAAATCATAATTAACTAAACTTTTAATATTTTAATTTATATTAGCTTTGCAATACAGGATTTTTCTTTTTTTCAGTCTGTATATTATCCCCAAAAAAACTACTAAAAAAAATGTCTAAATTCTTTAGTGTTGATATTCAAATTTTTATAAAAAATTATTTTACTTAAACACCATTAAATAATCGTAACTTAAACATATCGCTACCTGTAGGAACCACTATGCATTACAAAGCAGTTTTCAATTTCATTTCAATCTATCAAATAGTTTTCAGCTGATTGTAACAGAAATGTTAATTGTGAAATTACCAATTCATAGGTGCAGTAAAGGTACTTTTGGTGTGTAAAAATTATAACCCATATGACATACTATCTATCATTTATGTTACAAAAAATTTGTATACCTACATGACATGTAACTGTGAAATTTTTTCATTTGAAACAAATACAAAATAAATAATGATAATATTATATGTTTAATTAATACAATAGTGACATAACCAGGACATATTAATAATATAATGTAAATCATAATAATTATTAATATGTGTACAATTATATAATTACAAATTAAATCATTATTAGTTTTTAAATGACACAAAATAATTATTGTAATTAATATTCACCAATGATCAATAAGAAAAAGTTCGGCACAATAGTTAGCAAAAATACACAACAAAGATAAATTTATTGTATATTTTATACCATTATAAATTATGATGAGTAGCAATCGGTTGCAACATTTTCAATTAACTTTAAGTCTGCAAGTAATTAGTAACAAACCATTTTAATATACTTGAATTTAATCACTTTAGTTTTACAAATGGTTTGTACAATATATTTAGTTTTTTTTTGATTTTGGCATCACTATAAAATATACCAAGCTAGCTTGAGTATTTTTAGACATAAAAAATATTTACTGTGTCAATTTATGTAGTAATAAGTATGATTTATGAACTTAAATACAAATTTAAGAACACAACATTATACTTAGGGATTGGCATATCTATTATACAAACATTACAACATTTTTGTTTTTAACTAGCATAATAATAATAATAATAATAATAATAAAAAAAAATTAATGTATATATATAGGAGTAACCATGAAAAGTTGTGACATAAAGAAATTAATTAAATAAAAGCTTAATATTAAGACAAATGTCTGTGAATAAAAAAAACCATGAAGTCATTAATTACCTTAATTTAATTTTACAACAGAAAAGATAGCGAAGCTTTTCTGTACTATTGTCATGCAAAATAAAATTCTATTACTAATACTACAGTATATTTATAACTTAAAAGAAACAGAAAGTGAAAAATACTATTATAATACTTATTTATAAACAATGATCAAACACATACATTTTGTATCCTATTGACACACTTATATATAAATAAGTAATGTACTTATTATTAATGTACTTTATAGAGTACCTACTATTTAGTGAGTACTATTATAAATAAACTTACTAAATATGAACACACAAAATAGAAACAATTAATAAGTCGATTAATAATAAATATAACCTGTATTTTTTTTTTTTTTTTATGTGTATTTATACTAGTGTTAAAATAGCTTGAGTATAAACATAAAACAACTATTATCCTCAAACTATTAACTTCTTTATTTTTAATAACATGAAATTTGATTAATATTACAATAAATGTAAACTAATATAACTAAAATTTGTAAACAATCTAAGTTGGCTAAATTATAAATTTTTACCAACTACCAACTGCATTTATAGTAGTTTATAAAAGTTAATTAAAAATTTCATTAATATCATTTTAATCAATAGAAATGTTTTCAAAAATCATTAATATGATTAAAATCGGTGACTTGGTAAAAGAAGGATTAATTTCAAGAATAAATGTATTTATTAGGATAAGTGTAGACTTTAAATAAAATGTTTGGAAATAAATTTGTTTTTATTAATTAATAATTAATAATTTATTTTCTTGGAATTGATTCTCCCGTTACCCAGGCACAGATTAATTTTCTTGGAGTATCATTATTTTTAGAAGTGCCTTGATTTCCGTAAATTCTATTATATTCTTCAATGCCAATAGTTTGAGAAGTTGTATGGGGAACAATTTTATCATTTCCTTTAACTTCATCAAAATCAAAAATTGTTTTTGACTTTGTTTGCTCATTTGAGACTCCTGATTCTGCATGATTAATGGGAGTTTTATTATCATCTTCATCCTCATCTTCATCTTCCCAATCCTTTAAAAGTTCAACATGTATTTTAGTTTTTTTGGCTGGAGTTTTATTTATACCACTCTTTCGTTTATTCTGGGTTTGGAATAGTGTTTTAGTATTAATTCCTTTTTTAGTTTTATTTTTTGGTGCGCTTTTAACATCTTCAACAATTGTTCTGCATATAGCCATATGTCGTTTTAGAGCATCATACTGATGACTTGTGAAATTGCATCCTGCTTTTAACTGGCAAGTATAATTACCACTGTAACCACCACTACTATTTTGTGTTGCAGAAACAAATGATTTGTACTTGGATTGAACAGTGGTTGAATGTGGTCGGTTAACTGTTGGTTTCAAACTTAGTGAAGCCTTTTGAGCTTCTTTCTTTTTAGTATCCTTTGATGATGAGAATAATTCTTTGATAAGCTCTCTACGCGGTGCAAGTTCATCTTTTTTGTTTTCAAATTGTTCAAAAATTTTTTTGTTACCATTCAACTCTCCTTCGTATTTGATAACATCCGCTACAAAATTGTTCATATCAACAAGAGGGGTTTTCACACTTTGTTTTTGTTTAACATATAATGCTGTAATAAATACAATTAAAATCAATAGTAATAAGAGTGTTGAGTACATAATTAAAATGAGAATACTTACAGTATCCCTTTTCCAAAAACTCCAATTTTCTAGGACAAGAATACAAGAATACCTTATCCATGTTAACAACTATATCACTATTAATACAAAATAAAATATAATTACTTATATTATATGAATATGTTATGAGTAATGTTAACATTTGGATAATCTCTTTAGCTATAAGCTATAGGTCATGCAATTTGGATAGTACTTAATTATTTGTTTATAACTGCATAATTTTAACATTATTCATTAACCACAACATTACCCAGTTAGTGTTAGGTGATTAAAATACCAACTAAAGTTTTTATAAACCTTTTGTACAGATACTATCCTAATATTACAGACATACACAAGCATATAATAGGTATCAGAGAGGAATACAAATATGAGAACACCAACATTTTTAGTTTTTTTTTCTATAATATATTTGAAGAGCTCCCATAAACTTACAGTAAAAAATATTTTTAATCAAATTTTAGATTCTGAGTGTAGTGAAGAATGTATTGGTTTTACAATTTTCTTTTTTTTCTTTTATACTGTCACAAAAATATCTACCAGAAATCTTGCTTCCACATTGCACCATTTCTGAAAGGAAATATTGTCTCAATGGTAGTTAAAAAAGAAGGTCATTTTTTGATTTTCAAAGACAGTTTCATAATATCTGGGAAAACCCAAGATTAAATGTAACCATAAAGCGAAATTTACGAAAATAATGTTTTTTATTATTTTAAATTTTGTTTTTTGTTATAATTTAGTCAAAAATATTTGTGTTTATTTAATGGACCTGAAATTTGAGACACAAAACTTTTATTTGCCTTTTCTAGATATGGTAAAACTATAAACAAATTTTAACCATTTTTGAGTGTTAATAGACATTTTAATGTTGCAAGTTTTGTACAGTTTTTTATTCAGTAGGTACTGCTGAATAAATTACAACAAAATTTAAAATAATAAAAAACATTATTTTCGTAAATTTCGCTTTTTTTCATAAGGTTTCTTGGGTTTTTCCAGATATTTTGAAACTGACTTGGAAAATCAAAAAATAACCTCCTTTTTAAAGTACCATATAGACAATATTTCCTTTCGGAAATGGTGACACACTTACATATGGAAGCAAGATTTCTACATTTTAATTTTGCAAATTTTGTATAGCTTTTTTATTCAGTAGGTACTACCGATTTGGTTTTTTCTAGAAATGGTAAAATTGTTAGAATAAAAAGACATGCTTTAAATTTTAATTCATTTAAAATTCATTAAATTAAATTCATTTAAAATTCAGGGTTCATTAAAAATCCATACTTTTTGATAAAAAAAAAAATTGAGCTTAATCTAGTATTTATTTTTTTTACACAGGAACTTTTATAACAAATGAAAAGTAATTTTATTAATCAGTGCCTAAATATCACCTACAGCCTTGCAGTTAGCACCAGTGCTGAGAAATCACTACTACAGGAATAACCATTATCTTGCAAAACTCATAATAATTGTAATCATAACGAAATATAATTTTCAAAACTGCTGTTTTTAATTTTTTTTAATGTTATAACATATCATAAAATATAAGCTACAATTACATATTATTTATTGAACATATCTTAGCTGTTTTTGCAATATCAATTTTAATCAAATCTAGGGTTATTTTTGTTAGTTTAATTATTTGTTTTTTATCTCTTTACCCATCAGTGATTTTTCACAACAAAACCAGTGAATCAAAAATTAGTCAGTGTGTCAATAATGCTGTATTATGTTAAATTTTGCAGCTTTTTGAATTTCTGATATTATATCCATACTATTGTCATTCTAGGGATCGTGAGTTTAAACCAGTCTTTCAAAAAAAATGTTTTGTATGTTTTTTTCCTTTTACTTAAAACTGGGGAAAAATGATTTTGGATGTACCTACAGCCCCTCCATTTGTTGTGCAAACTTTTCTACCAGAAATCTTGCTCCAATGTATCAAGTGTGATTTTCCGAAAGAAAATTTTATCTATATGGTATTTTAGGGATACCATTTTTTGATTTTCCAAGCAATTTTTATAATATCTGGAAAACTAGGAAATTAAGTATAATATTAAACAAATATTATTAAAGAAAATATATAATGCATACATAATTATTTTATTAAAATATGACATATATATTTTTGACAAAGCAACACTTTCAACTGAACTTTACTCAGAATCATTTTTTGGAAAGCAAAGGTTTATTTTTGTTTACAGGTATATATTAAATTTACCCTCTACTACATTCCTAACTTCTCACCTATAACTAAGGCTGCAACGATTTCCATTACCCTAGGACATCTTTTTTACATTTTAAATTTGTTTCTGTAATTTTTAACCATTGAATTAAAAATTAGTTTACTTGTGTTTCAACATCTATACTAATTATATACAAACAAATATTAAATAAAAAGTTAATAAGATAATAAGAAGCACATTTAATTGTTCTTTGAAATTAAGAAATTAAACCAGGGTTAATATAATATAATATAATATTAATATATTAATATATATTAATATAATATATATCACATATAAAACTGTATGTTATATTATTCAAATGTATATTATGTATATAAGTATAATTAATTTTAGATTCTGAGTGGAGCGGAGAAGCTAATAGTTTTACAAAGGTATTTATTATTATTATTTTTTTTTTTTTTGCTGCGAACAACTTTTTTATCAGAAGACTCGCTCAGATTTCTAAGTGTAGCACCTTTTCAGAAAATAAATCAGTTCTTCTCAAGAGTTTTCTCATCAAATTTGAAAAACCGAAAAAAAAAAAACAGGAAAATATAAGAATTGTAGGTATTAATTAAAATATATTACAGCCTTCTTTTTTTCTGTGCACAACTTTTCTACCAGCAATTTTGCTCCAACTTTTAATGATAGCAATGTTTTTAAAAAGAAAATTTCACTAGCAAAGTACTTACGAAAGGTCAGTTTTCGATTTTCCCAAGTTTTCTCAGCAAATGTGAAAAACCAGGATAAATGTAAAAAAAAACTTGGAAAATAGGTACAATATTAAACAAATATAAAATATAAAATGTATAATGCATATGTTATTATTTTATGATAATATGATATATGCATTGTTGACAGAGCATCACTATCAACTGAACTCCGCTCAGAATCCTTTTTTGTTAGCAATGGTTTATCGTTGCTCACAGGTATAAATTAAATTATCTACATATAATAATGGCTGTACCTGTTTCCATTATCCTAGGATGTCTTTTTGTATTTGATATTTTTAAATTTGCAAATTACAATTGTAATTTTCTTTTTATAAAATAGAAAAAAAAAAATAAGGCATAAAAAAATATTTCAACATTTAATACTAATAGCACCACAATATAAGTATAAGAGTTAAGTGAAAACCTCATCGTGAAGGTTTTAATACTATATGTTTTATGCACACACTGTGGGTATTGGAGTTAAAATTATAAGTATTATAATTGTTGTTTATACGATACTTATTAATTAATTAATGATTAATAAAAGCTTATAGCAAGGTTGATAATATACACCTATAAAATGTGTTACATATTACATATATAATATCCCATGTATATAACTTCATAACAACTAAGATATAAGGAATGTTAAGCATACTTTTTTTTTCTTCGAGATTTATAATTATTACTAGCCGACCCGTCACGGTTTCACCCGTGATTGGTTGTTTAATTTGCCTTTGGATAATGATATATAGAACTTTTTAATCAAATTCTATCGTTTAATAATATCGGCAAATTAATATAAAAAAAAAAAACGGTTAATGAAAACGTATTAAAATGTTTCAAGCGGGATAATGACAAATATATTTTTACTAAAAATGAATGCAGATACAAAAGAAATCCTGAGTAATTTACGGTTGATAAAGAATTTTATAAAACTTCTGAGTATATGGCGTTTTTTGTTTTATCTCCTGTTGAAATTAAAATCATAAGATGCTTCGGGTCTCCAGTTCGAGAAAATCCCACGTATAATTGTCCATGTGAAAAGCACTGTGTTCGAAGACCTACGCCAACGTACCTGTATGTTTGACCTTGAGCTTTGTTTATCGTGATTGCCAAAGAAACTTTAACAGAGAATTAAAGCCGTTTGAACGGAAACGGCAAGTCCGACGGAATCACGGGAATTCTTGGAATAAATGCAATTTCTCCTTTTGCCGGCCCCGTAAGAATGACGGCTCCTATAACACTATTCTGCAACGATTTTATTTGTCATCTTGTACCGTTACATAACTTCGGTGGTTGAAGATTACGTAATAATGTAATCGGAGTACCAATTTTTAATTTTAGCTTATGAAGAGGAAATCCCGAAGGAGAAAGAGAATTGAGAAATTATTGTAGATATAAATATATAAAGATATAGATAAAGATTAATACGAATATTCGGTATACATGTTGTTTGGTGTGCGTGCGATAAACTTCTCGGAACAATTCGTACCTACACGCCGATGTCAAACACGATACAATTTGACGAACAAAAAGGTCAGGTCGCGGGTAGCTGTAAACCCGCGGGCCGCCGTGCCGCACAATACGTATATAATATGGGTAGACAATTTTTTAATTTTTCAAGAACTTTATACTTATTTTNCGGTGGTTTTCTCGGTTAGCGCGGTCGTAGAAAACCCCTTACAATTTTATATAATAGTATAGATAACGAAGTTATAATAATAACAATATAGTATAGATATGAATATTGGGTATACGTGTTGTCGGTGTAAGTGCGATATACTTCTCGGAACGCCGATATCAAACACGATACAAAAAAAAGGTCAAGTTACAGGTAGCTGTAAACCCGCGACCCGCCGTGCCGCACAATATAGGTACAATTGTTTTTAATTTTTTATGAACTTTTATGAACTTTTTTACTGACAAAAGTGGTACTATAACCTTCAGCAGAGTGTCGGGTTTCAGCCAAATCGGTCCAGTAGTTTTCTCGGTTAGCGCGGTCGAAGAAAAACCCTTACAATTTTATATAATAGTATAGATAATAACTATAAACTTATAAATTAATATAAAAAATTAAAAAATATCGCCTTGAGGAATTTTCTTCAATTTAGCATAAAATAAAAACAAAATAAATTTCTTTTTTGTTAGTATAAATAATAATGTAGTTATTATTAATGAATAAAGATAAAACTTTTTAATTAATACAACAAATTATCACATATACCTCAGCCATAAAAAAAAAAACTTATATATAGTATAAAATGTATTAAAATAAGTAGTTTTATTTTTACATATAATACATGTTTTATACTTTACTGTATTATATGCACCAACCCTGATTTATAAGTAGGTATACATATTATCTTTGATTATATTTTGGTCCAAAAGTTTGGTAAATTAACATTTATCACAAACTAGTTTTCAAGATGATCACTTAATAGACTAAGAGCTCACACGGTAACTTCAAAGTCATTTTCATTACAAGGTTTGATATTTTTATTAATTTTACTAAATATTTCTAATTATGAATCTTAAAGTACTTAAGCAGGGTACTTAATAAAACACCTTTTAAATTACACTGAAGTCACGGTTACTTTTATAATTATTAATTAGAATTAAATGATAGTATAACTTGTCATGATTAATTATTTACTCAGCCATACTAAAATAGTTAGTGCTTTCATAGAATCAGACTAAATAAAAACTTCCAAAAATTGTACTTAACTTATGCTATTTTTATTATAGTCTAAACTAGAACCAAATTATTCTACTAAACCTGTAGATTATAAATATAAAAGACAGGCTGAATATTTTGGTGTTTTACACTTAATGGAACACATACTTTACTTACATACATTTCTTATTTTTACTGTGTTTTTTATTTTGGTAAAGTTGAGTAAATAATTAATCTTGATAAGTTATATTATCATTTAATTCTAATTACTATTGTAATAAACATAACATAACTTCAGTATAATTTAAGGGGTATTTTATTACACAGTAGACCACAGTAGATATAATTAAATCAATAATAAAAAAATATTTGATATCAATTTACATTTATTTGACAAATTAATTTTAATTTCATAGCTTTGAAATTTAAAAATATCTACTACCTAACTATTTAGATTTTAAAAATTACAATTAATTATATCATCTATCAGATTTTATTTTAAAGTAATTTACTGTACAGTGTACATCTCATAACAACTCATTATAATAACTATTATTATTTCATGTACTGTATATTATATTCTACCTAGTATTGTCTGTTGGGTTTCACCAGCTATTCATTCTGCCACAAGCCCACATGTTTAATTGATTATATCAATCTTTTATTTCAACTTAATCTTAGTCCATATATATATTATTATTTTTTATATTAATCTGTCTGGTAGTTCAACCAGCTGCACAGTACACACTAATTGTTTTAAACTTTGGTTTTTCAATTAACTGAACAAAATGTAAAAATATAAATAGTTCACTGAACAGATAATGGACTAGGGAGTAAGGATGGAACTAACCAATCACTAAAGTGAACAAGTTTGTGCGCTCACCATTTATCAAACAGTGGTAGTGTAGTACTTTCATCTATTCTGAGATACTACTACAGAACTATACTAATGAATGATGAACGATTGAAAGGTTATCTATTTTAATTTCGACAGGTAATTAACTCGGTTGATTGTTTGAGTAATTAGTAGTGAATGGTATACATTTAAACCAATTATTAATGATGATATTAATCTAAATGTGAAATAGTTTCCTACTCGACTGTGATAAACAATGGATTACTGTTATTCGTATAACAGCATGTTTTGGGGAATTTCTTTGTAGCAAAATAAAACTATAATGTAATTTTAAAAATTGGTTTGTTATCTAGGTCAGGTAGGTATTTTGTTGATCAATTCAATTATTAATTTAGTTTAATAGGTTTTCAATATTATCCAGTTGTTAGCTAATGTTAATTTTATCCGATAAATTGATGTTGGCACTTTATCCATATGTTAACATAACCCATGTTATATAATTTAATTGATATAATATTATGAATACAATCTTATTAAAATTTAAACTTACTATTGATCATCTTTTTCAAAGTGCACCACAGCAATAGGATTCTTCTTTCGTTTAATAAAGTTTTGTAGATCTTGTGGAGTAGAAGTTGGATCAACCACTCTACCAGGCCACCATAAACGATTATATGTTTTTACCCATACCAATGTACCTGGAGAGTAAGGTATTGTCTGATCACACATTTTTGAGTAGATTCAACTAAAATAAAAATAATATTTAATTAATTAATTTTATGGCAAATATACAAGCACGTTTTATTTTCATTTATATTAGGTAGAATTTACGTATTTCTATAGGTACAATACTTACACTAGCAAGTAGCAACTCAATTAACAATACTTATATTGCCAGAAACTTTTTAAGTGTTATTAACTATTCACTATTGTTAGTTTATAAAACTAGCCACTAGGTACTTGGACAATGCTACACATATAAATCGATTGAACGTTCTAGTTCTTCCCAGATGTATCAACAATACAATACCATAAACCAGCGGTTCCCAAACTTTTATATCCGTATACCATTTACATATTTTGAAATTATTCACGTACCATTCGACTTAATAACCTTTTTAAAGTTAAATTAAATATGTACAAGTATTATTTATGGATTAATATACTACATAATAACTAATAACTTATTTTTTAATTTATCAAAAATATTGTCCGCATACCACATACGAAATTTTACGAGCCACTTAGATACGCTACCATAAGTTGAGAACCTCTGTCATTATTAGTAAAGGACCAATCGTATAGTGTTTTCTATCTACCCACGCAGTGCAACAACTGACACTGTATGAGTTTTACGAGTTTTGCTCCAGTGCATGACAAAACAAATATGTATGATGGCAATATCCCAGTTCTATACGATAACCGGATAACGTGATACTGCAGACATTTTATTAAACACATTGATCGCCTGAATAACAGGCTGTTTAAACCACGACTAACAAAGTCTTGATAACGAAATTTGATTAATTTGACCGTTGCTTAGAGGCAACGCGAAAAACAAATTAATGGCGGGAAATCATTATCATCACTCGTTATCTAATAATTTTGTTTATGTGAAATCGTATCGTTCAACAACTTTGAAATTAAATAATAAATGATTAATTTCTAATAAACTACTATGGAAAACCATAATTTTTTTCAGTTTTACAGTGACAACAATGTATGCATTACAATTTCAAAAATCTGTGTTCCAAACCATAAACTCAGATGATTTTGATCGTAAATATTTGAATAGTAATGTTGCTTCCATAAAGCACAGGTTAGCATTAATTATTGAAAAGAAAAATAAACATTTTCATTAGACAAATGAACAATATCTAAGTCTCAAGATGTTCTTTGAAAACAAATATTATATACTCTGAACACTAATGAACACTAATTTTATCTTATTTTTAAGTAATGTTACTAATATTTACATTTAAACACATAAAATAATCGTGAATTTAGCAATAACAGTGTTTTATTAGCGACCGGCTATCCACTATCTAGCTTGGCCAATGGCTGAGTTGGCGATGGTCAAAGTAAATAATAGTTGTTCATGGAACACGATGTTTAAATGGCTGGATGGTTCAAGCAACGCCAATAACGCAATTAATGGCACTTTGGCTGATGTTTTGGTAATGTGTCTATTATATACATAGAATATAGATAATGAAAATTCTTTAGAATCTATGAATATATATTAAATGTTCATGTACTTATATAATTACAATTGATAATAGGTTGTTGAATGCCATTTTGTGGCACAAGTAGTTAACATACCTATTTATTTTATTATTATTATTAATTATTTTTTCATGTTTCAGTGCAGCAATATCAATACTTAGCTAGAACATGAAAAATCATAATTTATCGAAAATCTATAATAATATACCTATATAATATAATTAGAATTTCTCCAATTTTAGTAATAATTTAATTTAAAAATGTTTTATTATAGATTGTCTATCACTTATATTTTTTTAAGGGAGAAATATATATTACCTCTACTTATTCCAAGGACTATAAGAAAGTATTTATTTTTGATAAATATTCAGTGTAGTTTTGACAAACTATTTTTTATTTTTTATTCTATAAACCTTGCTTGCCAGTTTTTGATAGATTATGATTTTTCGTGTTTTATGATATACTTTATTTTCAGTATTTTCTGAATATCATTGGTTTTTTAAATTAATGGCCATGCTATTAATACATTAATTATTTCTTGAACAATAGTTTTTCATGATATATTTAATTTATCTGATTATATTTTATATTATTAACTGATTAATTATTTTGATCTTATTTGTATCACATTGAACTTTAAATTTAATTCTTTAATTGACAACTTAAAGTTTAAAAAAAATACATTATTACTATAACTATTGATATGATTAATATTACTATACAATTATATACTCTACACACCAGCAGGTAACAATTAAAGTATATTTTACCTTATATTGGTTCTTTTAATGTTCTTAGAATTTATTAATATCTTATTAAGTAAACTCTGTCTTGTTGGAGTTAGGATAAACCCAACATACTTATTATTTTTTACTAAAGCTCTTTTTTTATACATCTTAAAATCTGGAAATAATAAGTTACATCTTTTACACCTTTTCTAGAAGTATTACTAATGGTTCAAATATTGATGGAAATTTGCACCTTTTTTCAATTGAATTTGAGTCTACGGGTATAATACCTGAAGATATTTAATCAAAATACTTTAATATCAGTAGGTATATATAATATAATTTGGGCTCGGTTTATTATGAAATTGCATATTATTTTTTTGTTTATCCAATTCAATGTTGACCTGGATTTAAATTTGATTCATGTTCTACTAAATCAAATTATACTATTTTTATTTTGCATATTTAAGGATTTTAAGAATATAAATGCATATTTCAGTAAATTTTCAATCTTTCTTAAAAAAAATTTTAATAAATAACAAAATATAAAGCAAAAAAACATACAATTTGAATAAATTAAAAACCCCATTGTATCACACTGTAATGCCTTTTTTATAATTAATATGTAACATTAAAAAAATAATAGATAAAAAAAACTAATAATAAAAATTAAATACTTAAGGTAAAATAAATTTGTTGTGCATATTTCGGTGTTATTTTAAACAAAAAATACATATTTTATGTTTTTTGTGCATATCTGATAATTTTTCAATGCATAAATACATACATATTACAGTTGTTTTAAGTGTATAAGCATCTGAACCCCAAATATAATATATATTACCTATAGTTATTGTATAATAGGTATCTGATATTCTTATTTTTTCTTCAGTTTTTTTTTAAAGTAATTTATCGTAGTTTTACCGGATAGTAGTATTCTTTGCCTTCGTCTAGTGTATGAACTCCCTGGCCCCTGCAGAAACTAAACGATTTGTTTGTAAATTTATTTTATAAAACATAATATCAGGATTTGTCTACACAAAATTTTCTTGTTGAATGTTTTCTTTAAGGTGTGTATGAATATTGAAAATACATAATTAAAATCTAGATAAAATATGAATATACATCCAAACAGTTTGAAATAGTAACCTGAATTTAAATTATTTTTCTTTGACATTACAATTATTGAATGCTCCCTTAAAAAGTTACCTATCTACACTACATTGATTTTTACACCCGCATACAACAACTAATAACGTTTGTTGTTTATTTGAGTAACTCCACCTGTCCGAGCAATCAAAATAGATTTAGAATTATTTTTTCGCGGGCTTTGATAGTTTTTTTACTCCTTAAGGAGTTAAGTTTCCTGATTTATTATCATTAGAATAAATGCTAATAGTCCTAATTAAGTTGTATAAAAAGGTGGAAGAACGGTCACTTTAAGTTAAAACCCCTAGAAAGTATACATTTTTAAAAATTAGAGATCAAGTAAATTTTCTACGGGAATGAAATGTTTTTTCGGAATAAAAAGTAGTTTATGTTATCCAAATATCTTTATTCAAAAATCACGCCAGTAAGTATTTTCTGGTAAAAAAGTTGAAGACAGACACAAAAAAAAAGATACGGATATACTTCGCACGATGGGTGCGCCACGTTATAGGTGGGATAATAGAAAGATAGAATACAGACGGGCATTTAATGTATACCTGTAAGCAACTATGAACCATTGCTAACAAAAAATTGATTCTTAACGAAGTATAGTTGATAGTGATGCTTTGTCAACAACGCATATATCATATTATCACAAAGTAATAACATATGCATTATGCATTACTATATATATTTTCTTTTTTATATTTGTCTAATATTGTACCTATTTCCGTTTTTCATATGCTTTTTCCCATGTTATTTACCAGGTTTTCCTATTAATTATGAAAAAAACTGGGAAAATCAAAAAAATGATCTCCTTAAAGTACCTCCCCAGTCAAATGTCCTTTCAGAAAAAGTGCTATCATTTTAAATCAGAGCAAAATTGTTTGCAGACAAATTATTCACAGATAAATAAAAAATAAACATTATTGTAAAACCATAAACCTCTTCGCTTCACTCTGAATCTAAAAAAATACAAACTACAATATACAAAACACATCATAGTAAAACTAATAGATCTAAAATACACGTATTAAAATGAATACATTCATCGCTATACTTATAATCTATCTTTTTTTAGTTTTTATAATTTTAATTAAGTAATAGTAGTAATACATTAGTTAGAAAATAGTTGATTAAAGAAGATAGTTAGATAACTTTTCTACCAGAAATCTTGCTCTGATTTTCAAGTACAATATCTTTTTTGAGAGAATTTTAAAAGTGGTTTTCATAATAAATGACAAAAAAGTAGGAAAAACTAGACAATTTATGAAATTTATAATTTTCAATTTTGTTTATTGTTGTGATTCAGTTTAAAATATTCTTAAAAACTTGAAATTTTGAGACAACACTTATATTTAATTTTTCTAGACGTGGTTAATTTTTTAACTATAAATAGACATTTAAATTTTTCTTTTTGAGTCTTTTACGTAATTTTTATGTAATAGGTACTCTGTAGATAAATTGTTAAACTAAACAAAAATGTTTGAACATTGATAGAAGATTTATTATAAGTCTTATTTAATGGTCAAAAAAAGAAATTTATTTTAATGCAGTATTTTTTTTTTTATGAAGTTTTAGCATTATATTTTGACGAAAATCATAAATATTACGGCATTTCAAAACATGTAATTTTACCGAACTTAGCTTCGAATCTTTTTTAAATTATATAACTTTATGTATTCTAACTTTTAAGCTTTCCATATACAATAGTGGTGCACTCTCAGCTGTAAGAGCTTGATTTTTAAATTTTATTTTTTTATAAAATTGAGTATTAATAATAACTAGGTTAAAACTCCTGCTCTCTGCGCCATTTCTTTTTTTAAATTTACAAGTTGTATCAACTAGGTCTAAAGATGATACTATTATTAGAATAGATTTGAACGATTATGTATTTTTATTCCAGAATTGTATGTAGAATTTAGATACTTGATTATGGTCATTATGGAGGGAACGATTGCTAACAAATTACGAGTCATTGTTTATTGTTCTGAGAAATATTGACTGGAAGAATTTTCTAATTTATATATTTGAGTTTTTGAGCTTCTCAACATTGGGTTCCATAAGACTACGGAAAATCAAAATCTTAAAAAGCTTAGAATTAAAAAAAAAGCATATTATATCATAGAAAAACCTATACGCTCAGAATTTAAAAAAAAAGTTTTACATTTTGCTGAAATAAAGATAAAAATATAGAAATATTGTTTTAAAAAGGCCGTAGACTATTTGAATATGTATTTCATGATTTGCCAGGGGATTTATGGAATCCATTAAAAATAAAAATTTAAATTACTAATCAAAATTGAACCTTTTGATGGCGCAAATTTACCGTTCAGATCACTGTGCGTAGGGTCGCCTACGACCTAATTCTTAACCTTATCAAAACCTAACTCGCGAAATGTATAATGCGACGACGGCGACAAAAAATTACCGGGGTCAGCGGGCAATTGAAAAATGTGAAATACGCGTTGGAAAAAAAAAACACGCGCCCTGCACTACGGCACTACGTGGACGGTTTAGACAATGCACGTAATCGAATATCGCTGCGTGTTAGCGGCGCGCACGCACCGTCCGAATGCCGATCGATAAACTGACAGATTCGGTATAATGGCATTATCGAACGTACAGAGTGATTCCCGAACTATTGATTATCTATAGCTGTGTTTTTCAACCTTTTAGGATAATCGCGGTCCCTCTAATTTTTTTTATAGCATCTGAAGGCGATTTTATTTTAAAAGCGTTTTTCTCACAGTTTAGCCTTATTTCTTGTATAGGTGTCTGCACCGTAAACACTACATAATACTTGGAACATTTTTATTTTTGAGTAACAATACATATTTTTAAACTCCAGTACGAGAAGTACTTATAAAAAAAAAAAAGGCCGACATTTCGCACCATTGCATAAGTGTGACACGTGGCCAATGTTGTAGGTGGAAAGCTGAGAAGATATAGGATTTATTAGGTAGTTTAATTTATATATCTAATATAACGTTATTATAATCGTACGGTTATAACCATTTATTACTAATTTATCACTACAAAATAAATTTAAATTGTCCATGATTTTAAATCTTTTAAGCATTTTTATGATGTCAAAAATAGGTAGTACACAAAAGGCTGTGATATTCATTAAAATATTCAAATGCTTATGAAAAAAAAAAAAATCGTGACTACAGATTTTCTATTTTTGTATAGTGCCATAAAAAGAACTTATGATTTACTTTGTATCAAATTTCCGAATATTTTTAAGAAACCAAAAAAATTGTATTAAAAAAATGTAACTTTATTATATTTTAATCACTTAATGCAGAAAGGGCATACGTTGAAATTTAAAAATTGTTCAAAAGAGAAACAAATTTAAAATTCCTAAAGCACAAAGTTTAAAAATATTTCATAAAATAACTATAGAAACGTATAAATGATATCTAACTATATAATTTATAACATTAGTTATTGACATACAATTTGTTTTTACACTATATTCGGAAGTATAGATATATTGTATTTTTGCCTTTCTTCAACATTTTTAAAACTTTAACATTAATTGGCCGATTCATTTGGTTAAAACCAAATAAATACTAAAAAGAACTGATACAGCTGTTTGGTGCGCCACAGATAGGAAGTTGGAAAGATAGGATACATAAAGTTATTTAATTTATATTATTAAGCAACGATAATCCCTAACTAATGAAATATGATTCTGAGCGAAGTTCTGTTAAACATTTTCTAAAATGCCACGAATTATACGATTTTCATACAAATTATAATATAATACCAAACTGTTTTTTTTTTATTCATATAAAACCAAAGAAATACTAAAACCCCGAAAAATGTTAAATGTCTATAAATAGCTAAGAAAATGAACAGTTTTGATTATACTACGCTAAAATAGGCCAATATAAGTTTTGTACCCAAATTTGAGGTCTAAAAATATTTTTGACCAATTTACAAAGTAAAAACAAAATTGAAAGTGATGAACCCTTTATTTTCGTAAACTTTCCCGTTTTTTTTAAGTTTTTTCCCCGGTGTTGTCCAATTATAAAAAAAAAACTATACGGAAAATCAAAGAATCGTTTATTAAGAACCTATTAGATTCAAAATGCAACAATTAAAAAGATAACGCGGTGTCTGTCAGACGCGTCCCTGAGGGGGCGATCACCCCCCCCCCCCATTAAGCCGTGTGATGTTATTTTTTATTATACAAAATATCCATAATTCTTGAATACAAATAAGTACAAATGCAACTGGTTCTAAATGTCATAAAGATAATTCCGGATCTTGGAAATACTTTGATTGAAACAAGAATGAAACATTTCTCATTTATAAATTTCAATAAATATTCTCTTAAGGATGAGATAGAACTATGAAAAACTAAGTGGGAACAATCAATTTGCACAGATATAATAAAATAATATATTTTTAGAATCAAGATTAGAATTGATTAATTTAATTTAAATATTAGATTCTGAGTGTAGCGAAGAATGTACCTATTGGATTTATAATGATGTGTTTTTTTTACATATATATATATACTGTGATAAAAATTTGTACCAGAAATCTTGCTTTAATATGTAAGTATAGCACCTTTTTTGAAAGGAAATATTGTCATATTGACTAGATGGTGCTTTAGGAAGGTTGTTTTTTGATTTTCCAAGCAGTTTTCATAATATCAGGAAAATCCAGGATAAAACATAAGAAAAACAAGACAATTTACAAAAATAATTACCTTATTATTTTCAATTGTGTTTTTTATTGTGATTCAGTTAAAATTATTTGTAGAGACTTGAAATTTAGACAGAAAATTTATACTTGCATTTTCTTGACATGGTAAAATTTTTGAGCAATTTATAGACATATTAATTTTGCGAGTTTTGTATGTAATTTTTATTTGGTAACTGGCTTATCACTTTTTAATATTCATCGAAATGAAAATATTAATATAGAAAATATTGTTGATCAAATCGCTTACAAAGAACTGGTTAAAATAAAAGTATTTTGGACTTGGTCATTTAACTTGTTAATTATTATTATTTTTTTTTTTAATTTTCTTTTTGAACTTTATTTTATAAAAATATGGAATTTTCCATTTGAAAATCTATAATAATCTAGAATGTTGATGTGTTTATAATACATACGGCAAAAGGGTAAATTTTGAAAATATCATTAAAAAAAAAAGTGACTGTCGGAAAAAAAAATCGAAATCCAATCTACTATAATTGTATGTATGTATCTATATACAGTGATTATTTTATCGTTGAACACTCATTGTTTGGCAAAGTATAGACGTAAAAAAAAAAAATTGTTTGATAATTTAACAATTTATAAAATAGGCAGATCTAAAATGTTACACCACTATTATTTTTTGTTATCCTTATTTTTGAGGGTGAATTGACTACCAAATTTTGATTTTGAAATGGTAACCTATATTAAAAGTTCCATGTATAGATTTTACGCCGAATAAATTATAAAAACACGTTATTTTAGTACGTAATAATATTTAAAGAATGTATACTTAGGGTATGGTATAATGTGTAGAAAAACACCTGCAACTGTCGGGCTTTTGGAATTTGAATTCGGATCGGACCGGGCTTTTTTTTTTTACAAAATCATATTTACCAATGTTTATATTTTTATTTTCACCCTAATACCATCAGTCCTATCAGAGGATACGACCGGCGTACAGTTATTCTAAAATAATAAGCAAAAATCCGGACCGGGTCTAGCTTTTCCACGACAATAAAATACCGGGCCAAGCTGGATTATATTACAACCTGGCCGTGCCGGACAGGACCGGAAATTGTCGGCTCTTGCATGCCTCTAAATTAAGTAGTATGCGGTTCTCTGATAAGATTTGATAAGTATAATAAAATCTGTCGCCTGGCTGCGCATAAGTGAATCGCTCTGTAGTTGGTTTGTAATTAGTTGCTTGGCGGCTATAATGACTACGACGACGGTTCACGGCTCTCTCGTGATCGGCGTACGCACACCGATTATTTCCCACCACAGCCTGACGGGTTCTGCGATAACGATGACGCCGCCGCCACCGACGACGACGACGACGACGACGACCACTGCGCCTCGTGTTCATAACCGCCGTCTATCCGGACAGACGTGTTGCGCTCGTGACGGCAACTCCGAGTAACCTCAAACACGGTTCTACAATCACTGTGTAGTCCGGTATAGTTTCCGGCTAGGTCGACCGGATGTTCATTCATCGACGATTGCGGTGATAATGACGATGACAACTATCCGAACGACCGGCGACGGCGTGTAACAACCGTGTAACCCGTCCTTCGATCCCCGCCGCCGTGATGGTCCTGTGTTTCGGTAAGTTTAACATGTTGACATATTGTCGATGCGATTACTCGTCCTCTGAGTGGAGCAGAGATTAAGAGCTTACGGTTTTTAAACGGTTTTAATTGTTTAGCACAATGCTGAACCGGAAACGATTTCGTTTCGGTGTAATTGAATCAGCTCTCTAAAATAGCGGCAGTAGATAAATTTTACCTATTGAATTCACCCAGTAGGTTCTTTTTCTTTTTCTGAAAATTAAACGTGCCTTGTAAATCGTATCGAATTATAATATTAATACAAATGTACAAATTCCTGGTAGAAAATTCCTTTACAAAACCGGGTACATATTATAATTTAAACTATTTTTGAAAATAATTACACTCATTAGTCAAAATACATAATTATTGTGAATAATTTATAATGAATTATAAATAAAAACGCAAAATATAAAGAAAATGAGTTTATAAATAGTTAAAGATATATATATATATATCTATATAAAGTTAGAATTGAGTGGACTGACCAAGTTTTAAAATTAGAGCTTTTTGAAGTTTTGATATGTGTATTTATGTTATGTTAAATAAATCTATACTGTCTTCTTTAAAGTATGTCTGTCGTAGTTTTAGATACTTATTGTCGTGAGTTCAAACCTGGGTTTTGAAAATACATTTTTGCATTTATTTTTTTCCTTTTACTTAAACAGGGAAAAATAAAATGCAATTTAGGTGAACCTAAAGACCCAGCTATCGCTCGCTTGGACTATTTTAATCGAAAAATATCCCTCGATTTATTGTATAAACCTTTCTACCAGAAACCTTACTCCGATTTTTAAGTGTAGCAGTTTTTCTGAAGGAAATTTGACTGGGGAGGTACTTTATTGAGGCCATTTTTTGAAATGTAGAAAAACGTAGAAAAAACAGGAAAATCGGTACAATATTAAACAAATATTACTAAAAAAAATATATAATACTTATTTAATTATTTTACCATATCATATGGCATACATATTGTTGACAAAGCATCACTATCAACTGAACTCCGTCTTTAAAAGACGCATTGTTTTTTTTTATTCACCGAATATTATTTAAAAAAAAAAAAAATATGAATTTCATAAAACCGACACCGAGAAAAAAATCTCGTAAAATTATTAATCTTTTCATACATTAAACAATGCTTTCATCATGTTTTCTTTATGTGTGATGACATATTATTGTGACGACGATTTAAAACCGAGTATCGTACGCAGTATGGCTTTTATTTGATTTTTCTTTTTTTTAATTGTCTTCAGAAAAATTAATAATATATTATAATATTTTTCTACGTTTTGTTTCACTGTGATAATATCATACTCAAGAAAAAATCAGTCCGCACATATATAATAATATAATAATGTAATATTGATTAGTTGACCACAGTGTCTTTAGTTTTATAAAAACAAGTATGTATAAAAGTATTTCTTGAGAGAAAGGCAGTACTTTTTTTTATAAAATGAGACAGGTGTGTAATTAGGTGATTTTTTTTTTATAGGGGGGCGACAATTAACCTTTTTCTGAATAGTTGATGCTTATAAAATGTGCAACTACTGCATAAAACTCAATTTTAGATTCTGAGTGCAGCGAAGAATGACTAATTATTAATACATTTATAATTTATTGTGATTTATGGTATAATAAGGCACTAATTGACAATAACAACAATAGTGAATTTCTTATCATACTGCGCAGAATGTCATCCGAAACGTGCATGCAAGGTTTAAGGATCAATGTAATCTAATAATAAATTGTATACAAATAGACCGTTTTAGATTTTGAGTAGAGTTAAGAAGCTTATGGTTTTACAATGTTGTTTTTTTTTTTGTGATCAACTTTTCTACTAGCAATTTTGTTCCAATTTCCAAAGATAGTACTTTTTCTAAAAGGAAATCTGACTGGAGAGGTACTTTAAGGAGGGAATTTTTTGATTTTCTCAGGAGTTTTCCCAATAAATGTGAAAAAACTAGGGAAAATAGGTTTAAATAAATAAATACATATTAAAAAAATATTATTAAAGAAAATATATAATACTTATGTAATTATTTTATTATAATATGATATATTTATAATTTGGACTGCTAGCTAAGGAGATACGACGGCAATCTGGAGGACTTTTTCAAAGCAACTCCGTAGACAGTGGCCTGGCTGGATTCTCTAGATGATAAAATTGTATGACATATTAAATTGATCATCTGTTGTTTAAATCTTAAAATGTTTATTGATTTATTATATTAGTTACTTAAGTTAGTAATTTAATCTAGTGGTATTGTTCATTTTAGGTAATAAGAATAAAAAAAAAAACGGACATACTTCGCACAATGGGTGAGAAGTTGGGAAAACCTACCTTCCCAACTTCTAGAAGAGAATTAAATTTATATCTGTGCATTACGATAAACCATTGCTAACGAAAAACGATTCGAAGCGAAGTTTCTTTTATAAATGTTTCTTTTTTACGTAAATTGTTTTGTTTTTCCTACGTTTTTCTCGGTTTTCCTAATTATTATGAAAACAGTTTTTAAAATCAAAAAATGACATTCTTTAAGTACTACCCAAATAAAATTACATTTCAGAAAAAGTACTTCATTTGAAAATAGGAGCAAGATTTTTGGCAGAAAAATTGTTTCCAGATTACAAAAAAAAAACATTGTATGTAAAACCAATAGGTAAATTCCTCACTACGATCCGAATCTAAAATAGTTGCTCAATGTTCATAATAAATTATTCGAGCAACACTACAACTTAAATGCTAGGACCTCGTATTTTTCGGATTTAATACTGTTCGGGCAATATATTTTTCGATTAAATAATTTTGTGGTTAAAATACTGTGGAGATTAAATTTTGGAAATCCGGCAGTAGTTCATAGTACGATGAATCGTTAAACTTGTTTCTGTGTGTAAATTTCCCGACCTATGCATGGGATTGATTTTTTTATAAATCGCGCAAAGACTTACACTTTATAATATAATATATATATTTATAAGAATAATAATATAAATTAGTTTTTTGGTTTTTAATTTTCAGCACTTCATGAAATAATAGTAATTGTTTCACTAACATTGGTGCACTAACAAAATATAACTACTCGTAATTTATTATTCACGGTGGTCAATGAAAAGACACTTATACTTACTTAGGAATCGTGTAAACAGTTTTTTTTCCAATTACAGATCTTGTTATAGGTTATTAAAATTATTCTTCTTCGCCTTTATTCTACGCGCAATAGTCATATTATACGAATACGATTAGATTAAGTTACCTTAGAACCCTACTTTACTGTCCTTAGTCTCCTCCTTTTTTCTTTCCTTTCTTGGGGAAAATTCATTAAATTTGGACAATTTAGTACACTTGATATTATTATTATAAACCACTTTCGAATATAAAATGACATATCTAAATTACTTTTTTTATTATTTATTTTTAAACGTATATAATATTATTTAGTTGATATTGTTTCATTATTTAATCCATTACAAATTCAATGATATTATAAAACATACAATTTGTGTGTACCATGTGGTTATGTGGATTCTTCGATCGGGTGTCAAAATATTAATTGATATTATCTCGTTATCTATGTATAAAAATGTACACGTGATTATAAAGTTTAAAATATTTTAATAGATCATTTTTTATTTTTTTTTTTTTTTTGAAATACTGTTGATAAAATAATATACATCCAATCGGTACCTAGTAATTAGCACACTATTACACTATATTATTAAATAAATTATTATAGGTAATATTGCATTGACTATAGACAATGGTAATATTTATCAAATATAATATGATATTATATTTTTAATAATCATAGCTGTCAGTGAAGAGGGATAAGGAAAAGATTCATTGGGAAGTTGAGAATGTTTTTTTTTTTTAATATTACCATTATAGATACGATAAAATAAGAAAGTAAATAAAATATTATACCAATTACAATTTGTGTTATGAAAGAATGTGTAAGAAATACAAATTTTAAATAAGCTAATACTGCTGATGTGTGTTCTACTATTGTTGGTGAGAAGTTGGGAAAGTAAGATATATAGTTATTTAAATTAAATATGTAATCAACTATAAATCATTGTTATAATGAAAAATAAAAACCAACAAATGAATTCTAGAAAAAATGCTACTTTTGAAAATTAGAAAAAAATTTTGGTAGAAAAAAAAAATTAAACAAATTTTAAATAATGCAGTACAAATAGCAAATGCCCATTTTTCGTATATGTTTTTTCTAATTATTATGAAAACCACTTGTATTTTCAATAAATTCCTTTTTCAATGCACCAATTTAATCCAAAATTCAACAAAAAAAGACCCTTGTCATGTTGGTTGGAGAAATATTTTTTGTAGAGAAATATTTAACAGATGCATAGTAAAACTAATATATTCCTAGTTAAGCTCAGAGTCTAAAATTTAATAAATTTAGTTATTCAGAACCTTGATTGTGAACGTAAAATGAAAAGAAGATAAACTATTTGGCTATAATATGTTGTACTACCTATAACTGTAACTGTAACTAAAAATACAAAATATTGGTTGCTATAATTGTATCAGTGGCGTATTGATAGGGTGGCATGATGGGTAATGAGCTTTGAGACCATGCCATTTAGGTGCTTTAAATCAGGGCGCAAGGCATAATTTTGAGTTGTGAGTTGATGGACAAAAATCTTGAATATTTTACCACGGGCATTAAAAATTCTAAGTACGCTACTGATATCTATATAGATAGGCCATATGATATAAAAAAAAATATATATGTGATTTAGTGCTAGAAAGGTCAGTATCAAAATAATAATTTAAAACTTGGAAGTTGGAAAAATCCATAACTATTGTAATGGGTACATATTTTTTTAACATTTACCCTTCTTGCACCAAGGTATGGCTAAATATTACGAATTTATAAAATATTATAAAAAATGTGGGTTCATCTTTATAAAGGTCGAGGGTGATGTCTTATTTTTACTATTTTATATGTCATGGTCGTGGAGTACGTGTTGCGTTTACAATTTTTTTTTTTTTTTTATACATTTTAGCCAATATTCCCAAAAGTCCTGGGACTGAAATTGTGTATAGTACGATACACTTTGTGTAATACAAAATAATGTTATGTGTACAGTATGAAATTAAAAAGTGTGTAGTGGCTATATTATGATATTTATTTGCATAAGTTTTTAATTTTATATTTTTTTGCACTTTAAATAATTATTATTAGAGAAAAAAAAATATAAAATTAATCTGTCTTAAAATTTTAAAAACATGTAAAAACTCTTAGAACATTGACATTTATCACATATTATTTATAAAGATCACGGGACAGATTAGAGGCACAGATTAGATGAAAGGTAGATACTTATATTATCGATGTTTAATTTATAAGTAATACATTATTAAATAAAGAATCAAAACCTGGTCAAAACTAATCATATGTGTAATTAATATGTATTATATTTATGATAAATAAATTGTATCAGTAATTAGTTATGTATTTTAGATTCTGAATGAAACAAAAAAGATTATGGTTTTATAATGACGTTTATTTTTTTTCCTGTATACAATTTTTCTACCAGCAAATTTGTTCCAATTTACAACAATAACACTTTTCCTGAAAACAAATCTGACTGGAGTGGTACGTTAGAGAGGTCATTTTTTGGTTTTCCCAGGAGTTTTCTCAATAAATGGAAAAAACCGAGAACAGTAAAATAGGTATAATTTTAAACAAATATTGTAAAAGAAAATGTTTAATGCATATTATTTTACCATAATGTAATATATATATTGTTGACAAAACAGCACTATCAACTGAACTCCGCTCAGAATAGTTTTTTCATTAGCAATGGTTAATCGTTGCTTACAGATATACATTAAATTCTTGTCTATATCCTACCTTCCCAACTTCCCACCTAAAACAGTGGCTGCACCCATCCCCATTATTCTAAGATAGCTTTTTTAAGAGTTTGAAATAATTTATAAAAACAAACAAACAAATATACTAATTAAGTCCCTCAGAAAAAATGTCTTTAAGGTAGGTAACTGCTATATAAATTTAGAATTCAGTATAAAAAAAAAATTGGACTATTTGTTCTTATATGATACACCACGGAGAACAATTTAAATTTAAATTAATTTACGAGTGGTTATCTTTTCGTTGATGCGCTGATCAAAAATTCCTCCACCACAACTATATAATGGTGGGGGTAAGAGGGTGGTGATACCTAGGTATACGAGTAATAGAGTAATAGGGTTTAATATAAAATATACAGTACGAAAAAGTATATGTTTGCATTTTGATCCGATCCTTTACACCGTCCTCGCATACCTATCATCCTCATATCATTCCCAACTGGATCCAACCACCTCTTTTTTTTTCTTGTTCCCCCCCCCCTTTTTACCCCTACGTTAATTTTCATTACAATTCTTACTACTTCTGATCCCTTATGACATGCCTAAACCATCTTAATCTATGTTTCTCGTTTTGTCTATCGAAGCCATATCTAAGCTAACTCTTGTATTACTCATTCCTTATCCTATCTTCTCCCGTCACTTCACTCATCCGCTTAATCATTCTCATCTTGTCTACACTCATTCTCTATTCTATTTTTCTATCTACCACCCAACACTCCGAATTATACACCATAGTCGGTCTCACCATACTCTTGTATATTGTGTAATGATAATCAAACTGTATTTATATATTACGATTGCGGACAAAAACATGTTTGTAAATCAAATAAACAAATATTCAAAAATGTATTTGGCCTTCTTGTGATTTTAAAAACTTACATTGTAAATTGTGCTCTTTTGACATAGACATGGAAAAGATTATCAGTGATAATATGCTTCTCAATCTCATTCAAGGTGTATACTTGATACACCTTGATCCCATTAATGTAGCGTAACCACTATAATTACGAGCTTCCTTCAGTATATTAATTTTTATTATTTATTAGTGATATTCACAATCGTTTGATTGTTAACGATTAATATCCTTTTAAATCTATTATAGATTCTACTCGTATAAATTAATATAATATACCTAATTCGAATAAATGAATTACCCCTTTTTAATTATTAGATTAGTGCAAATTGTTATTGTGATATTTTTAAAATTAATACATATATTATACATAGGTAAATTAAAACTATTACAAGAGCCTAGCATAAACTAAATTAACTCGTTTTGCAATTTTCAAATTTCAATAGTTTATATTTAAACGATTTTTTTTTTTTCTTAACTGTCTCATTGGTAATCGCTAAATAGGTATAATAATATTATAATATACAATAATTACTATAGATAGTATAAAATGATGGTATCTTATTTAGGTTATTTTAATTTAATTGGATCTTCGTATTTTTTTTATATTAATATTAATTAACAATTTTTTTTAATAGACTTCATGCACGTGTGAAACTGTGTATAATACTTTAAGTTTATTTAAGTTTTTACCTAACTGCACTGTGTACAAAGTCACTATAATACTTGTATCTTCGAGTGGCTAATACAACATAATAATAATGTGTCTAAACTCTAATTGACGATCATGTGATTTGGTTTAAATTATTAACTAATGTTATGTTGGATTATACGTCTTATGATATATATATATAATAACCACTTGTAGCGTAATCTACAGGTTAATATTGAGTTAACCACAAAAAATAAATAAATAAATACAAGATGAATAACAGGCAGTTCTTAATCTTTTCTGGGTCATATAATCGTTATGAGATATTATAATATAAACTATAAAGCATACCAAACGTGACCAGAACCACTATAGCTATAAAGATTGGCAAAACTGGCTCATGTAAAAAGTGCATACTTAAGAGCAAGATTCCTGGTAAAAAAGTCGTTCCTAGACAGAAAATAAAACAAATCATAGTAAAACCAATTGATTTCTTGTTTGGCTACGAATCTAACACTTATACCTAGAACTTCGTAATAATCAATTATTTATAGAAAATGTGTTATTAAATAATACAATTAACAAAAAACATTTTTAAAATAAATTACGAATGAAGAACAATAAAAACGATGAATACAAGTTGATATATTATTTTTAACGCAAATAGTACTAAATAAATAATTAGTATTTTAATTCAACATTTAGCTACAATATGATTTATATTTTCTTAATCTCTTTATCTTGTTAAATTTTCAATTCATATTTTATCAATTTATGCATAATTTCATAATCAATTATTACAAAAACAGAACAACTGTAAACTATGGTTATTATTAGGTATTTTACGAATATTTAACAAGATTTGAAATTTTGTTAGTCAATGGTGTATTTGTATCAAAGTAGCGTAATCTCCTGATTTCAACAAATTGATCTAAAAATTAATGGGGATCTCCTTTAAACTAACTAATTATTTAGTGAAACCCACATTCCAAAATACGAAACTGTATGAGAAATAGAGCGCAGGCGGATAGATGGATGCGGTCATATACATAAAGTAGCTTATGTTATAGGTAATAAGTTATTATTTATCATTGACTTTATTTTTTGTTCTTTTTTCTAATTAATCGTTATAATTTGACTTAACACCATCGTTTTTAAACGAATTTGATCAATTTTAATAATAAAACAACACAACGCTTATACGGTTTATCCACATATACAATACAATAATGTGGATCAAAGTCCATCTATATTATTTGTAAGACTTATTTTTTTTATTTATTGTTTTTATCTAAATTCTCTGGTTGCGTAAGTAAATATTATAATATGATACATTGACAGAAATTTCAAACACTTATTGTTTACATAATATTCGCGATAAACGTCAGTACACATGCAGTGGTGTTTAACTTATAGTCTACTCATATTGCGAAATATGCTGTGTTTGGAAGGAATAGATTCAAAGGAATTCGTTTTTCAAAGAAACAAGTTCCTTTGATTTCGTTCACTTTTCAGAAATTTATTGGGAACGGATCTGTGAAAGAACGTATTAAAATTTCGTTAATTTTTTTGAATAAATGCAAGAATGATTTTTGTTAAGTAGTTTATTTTTTCTTAGGTTAATTTATCTTATTTTAATCAATATAGTGAATAAATATATGAATAAAAAAATGTATTTATAAAAGTAAAATAATTAAATGAATAAATGCGTCACCTGGAGTATTATGATTAGTGTATTATATGACTGGTTTGGAATTAAAAATTCATCATCAGGTATATCACAGTCAAAAAGTAAAACGCGACTGAATGTAAAAAATTAAATGAAGGAATATATAAAAAAAAATTTACAAATTGGTCATTTTACCTAGACTATAGAAATAATTTATTTTAATAGGAAAGATTAATTAAAATGGGTAATTATTAAACATAGATATGTTATGAAATATAAATCATTTGGTTATTATTTATTATCTAAAATGTATTGATATATGATATTAGTTTTCTTTATTTTGTTGTATATATGTAGTTCTTCTAAAACTGAATTAATGTTAATTTTATTTTGAATATATAATATCTCTAAGTCTATACGAATATCAAAGTTTATATTAATGTTATTTTCTAAAACGTGTTTTTGTAAAATTTGAATTAGGGGCGGTATTTTTTTGATTTTATTTCAAAAATGTGTTCTTTATATTTTATTTTAAAATGTCTATTTGTCTTACCTATATACAGTTGATTATAGTTACATTTAAGTTTATATAAACCAGCATTTCAAAAGAAGGGGGATTTTTGTAAAGTTTTTAGTTGTATTGTTTATATGTTTAATTAAATTATTATTAGTCTTAAAAACGATTTTTACATTATTTGTATTATTGTTCAGAATTTTAGCGAATTCATTGGACATATTATTTTGTTATTTCATACTACAATAGTTGACAGCATTATTTGGTGAGTTGTGTATTATTTATTCTTTAATACGTTTATGCATATTTTTAATAGTATTTAAATTGAAATTAAATCTATGGGCTATATTATAGATAATATTGAACTCGGGTTGATGTATTTGTTTATTTAATGAAATACGTTTACATAATTAAACTATAACAAAATATACAGTCCATGTATAAAAGCATATTATAGATATGTTTATGACACGTTCATTTTATTTAGATATTAAATAGACAAGCAGAAAATTTAGTTAACTACTTGAACAAAATAAATAAAAACATTCAATTTTCACTCAAAATACAAATAAATAATAAATTAAATTTCTTGGATAATACAGTGTCCATAATAAACCATAAATTTGATTTTAGTATTTACAGAAAACCTACACATGATTTTAATCATCCTTTTTCTCAAAAGATAAAATGTATTTATTTATTTATTTTATAATTTTTATGTATTAACTTTCCATTTATATATTTATTTACGAGTATTAATAATTTTAATAATTTTGTTTTTAATTTATTATTTTATTGTTTATTTAAATAATTTTTAAATATAATATGAAAGTATGGTTATTTTTTTTTTTAGAATTTATTCTGGAATTATTTATAAAAAGTTTTATAATTTTTCTTTAGAAATTTATACATCAGAATTTTTTATTTATTAACTCTTTCAACCCAAAAATTAATATTTCTTTTAGTTAAAACTTTGTTTTGTTTCATAATATTATGTATTAATAATACATACACTTTTATTTACATCTATAAAAAAATAACAAGTATTTACTATTAGTAATACGGCATAAACTCTATACATTTTTCAACGTCTTTTTTAAACATTTATTATCTTCTATCTTCTAACTGTATATATTATATATAAATGAATGTACTATGTCTGTTTGTCCTTTATGCATTGCTACACCATTAATACGACCGCTATGAAACCTTAGGAATTAAGTTGTTCCTCGTTGTCCGGAGAAGGTTTATCGGTAGTTATTAAAATTCACCCACTATATTGACTACCATTCCCTAAAATTCAGTTTTTAAGTATTTTTAGTATAAAAATCTTTTTATGATTTTTTTGATGGTTTTTGTTGATTTATGGGCTAATTTGATAACACAGATGAGGGAAAAAAAACATTATTATTAATTTTTTTTTAATAAATTAATAAAGTAAAAACAAAATTATTAAAATGGTTAATTCTCGTAAATAAATAAAGTAATTTAATAGATAAATAAAAAATGTATATATAAAAATAAAATTAACTAATTAATGAATGCGTCGCCTGGATTATTATGATAAATGTATTATATGACCGGTTTCGAATTAAAAATTCATCATTAGGTATATCACAGTCAAACTGTAAAACGCGACTAAATATAAATAATTAAATAACCAAAGAATTTATACTTCTTAACATATCTATGTCTTATAATAACAAATTTTAAATAATCTCTCCTATTAAAATAAATTATTTCTATATTCTACGTAAAACGACCAATTTGTTATTTTTTTTTTCTTTATGAATTCCTTCATTTAATTTTTTATATCCATTTGCATTTTACATTTTGACTGTGATATACCTGATGATGGATTTTTAATTTTAAACCGGTCGTATAATACACTTATCATAATACTCCAGGTGACGCATTCATTAATTCATTTTATTTTTATATATACATTTTTATTTATATATTTATTTAATTTTTTCTATTGCAATCTCTGTGCTGTGAGAGTATCTATGGTAATAGAATATAACGATAATTTATTTATTAACTTTATTTAAAAACTTTTTTATTATACGGTTAAAGCCAGACGAAACGCTTATACATTTTTTCCAATATATCCCCTGTTGAGATTTGCAGATCTGTAGGTTAGGTGTTTGTAAAGTCAATAATATATTAAAATATAATAAAATATACATGTATGTGTGTAGCCATGTAAGTATATATTAGGGCTGAGTACCAAATCGAGATTACGATCAGAATCGATTAGTATTGAAACAAATGTCACAATTCGTTTGATTTGGATTGTACTAATCCGGATTAAACTGATAGAATCCAAATCTAGATTATGTAATTTTAATCCGCATACCGGATATGTCAAAGTATTGCTCAGCATTAGTTTACAATGGCCATCCGGAGAGCCGCTGATATAATTTAATATTTAACAAAATATCATATCTTAATCAAAATAAATAAATAATAATTTAAAGTCGTCGACCTTGGATGTTCGGATTGTTAGTATACCTAGTTTATATACTGAATCAACATTTAAATGAAAACACATTTTTTTTTCAATCATAAATATAGAACAATTGATGCAAATATTATATATTATCATATGAAATCAACATCTTTTTTTTATGTATTTTGAATTAATTTGACATTAAAAATGGATCTAATTTATATCGAATATTCACAAAAATGAATAAAATAACAAAAATGCAAAATAAACGGTTCAATTATAGACTTTATCCATTAAATTGCTGTCCAAATTACGTAAGTATTTATTGGAAAACATACATTATACACACATTTATTTGGAACACATTATCCTGAAACAGTAACAATAATAAAAAAAAAAAGGACGGGACATACTTTGCATGTAGGTGTAGCCACTGTAGTAGGTGTGAAGTTGGGAAGGTAGGATACAGACGAGAATTAAATGTGTGTCTGTAAGTAACGATAAACCATTGATAATGAAAAATCGATTCTGAGCAAAGTTAGGTTGATATAGTGGTGCTTTGTCAACAATGATATTGTTATATATACATATATATATTATAGTAAAATGATTACAATGTGCGTTTTCATGACATCAATGATTGTTTAAACAAATATTAAAATAAATATAATAATAATAATAAATATAATATAAAAACTCAATAATAACAATAGATAAATAAAAACGTTTTCCAATGATAATCTAATTTTTACCTTGCAGTCCTTTAACATAAAGAACCAGGTTTTTCTCACTATCTCAAATATTGATGAAAATTTAAAAAAAAATCACTTCTTTTAAGTACCACCCAGAGAACATTTCCTTTCAGAAAAGCTGTAATAATAAATAATCAGAATAAGCTTTCTGGTAGAAAAAATGAACACATAAAAAAAATAAAAAATAAAAGTAAGATAATGGGGACGGGTGCAGCCACTGATGTAGGTGGGAAGTTGGGAACGTAAGATATAGACGGTAATTTTATGTATATCTGTTAGTAACGATAAACCATTGCTCATGAAAATACGATTCTGAGAGGATTTCAGTTGATAGTAATGCTTTATCAACAATATATATGTTATTTTGTTGTAAAATAATTAAATATGCTTTATATATTTTCTTTAATAAAATTTGTTCTACCAATTTTCCTAGTTTTCCTACGTTTTTCTTGGTTTTATCCCAGTTTTTCACATTTTCTGGGAAAACTCTTGGGAAAACTAAAAATGACCTCCCTAAAGTACCTCCTTACGTCGATTTCCTTTCAGAAAAAATGTTCACGTAGAAATCCAAGCAAGTCTTCTGGTAGAAAAGTTGCGCATAGGTAAAAATAAAAATAAAATAAACATCTTTGTAAAACCATAAGGTTCTTCGCTCCACTTAGAATCTAAAATTAAAAAATCATCATTGTAAAACTAATACATTTTTTGCTAAACTCAGAATCTAAAATGTACTGTAAATTCAAATCTTGGACATCATCTATTCAATCAGTTAATCGATTTAGTGAAGAAATAAAGATTCTGAACACAGATTTTAATTCGGCGTGAAATATACATGAAAACATCCAGATAAGTTTTTTAAGTTAAAATTTAAGTTAAAGTTAACTCTGTTGGTATACAAAACATTTGATTTCACCTTGAATCAATACGTTAACAATCGTACTGTAAAAGTAAACAATAAAATAATATAGACATGAGAAATTGCAGATGAGCTTGTGAACACGTGATACGTGTTTTAGAGGAAAACTACTTATCGCGTACTTTACAAAAGTATATTCCCCTAACATACATTACGCATATTACTCACACATAAATACTCTGGCAGTAGAGGGGGAATTTAATGTATATCTGTAAGCAACGATTACCCATAGTCAAAGAAAAAACAATTCTGAGCGAAGTTCGGTTGATAGTGCAATGTATCATATGTGTATTTTATATTATGGTAAAATAATAATATATGCATTACATATTTTCTTTCATAATATTTGTTTAATATTGTACTTATTTTCCCCTTTTTCCTACATTTCTACCGGCCATCCCATGTTTTCCCGATTTTTCTCATTTATTGAGATAATTCATAGGAAAATAAAAAAATTACCACCTTAAGTACCTTCTCAATCAAATTTTATTTTAGGAAAAGTGCTACACTTGTAAATTAGTCCATGATTACTGGTAGAAAAGTTGTTCGCTCCGCTCAGAATCTAAAACAAAATTAAAAATAATACAATATACGTTTTCCCGTTTTTCCCCAATTATTATGAAAACTTCTTGAAAAATCAAAAAAATAACCTTTTTGTACCAGTGTAGCACCCATATAAAATTTTCTATATTTGATGTTTTTCAAATAAATTGTTGTCTAAACTTTAACGATTTATATTCCGAATTCCCCCTTACCTAAAATTATCCCGCCCGTATATTTTATAAAAAATAAAAATCATGTCTATCGGTATCCTAAAACCTCTTACATAATCAATGATCGCCTACATCATAATCATTCATCATGCACGGGACGGTTTATTTTTGTATAGAATTATAACTGAGTATACTCGTATTATATTAAATATCCGTGGTCCCACAATAAAAACCTTTTTATTAATATTAATTAGATTGGGTATTCATATACATATATTATATACATTTTTTTCTCATAGTTTATAGAGTAGATACAGGCCTAAGGATATTTTCTTTATCTAGGTAAAACAAATTTTAATTTTTCATTATAAAATATTAAATGACACAATGAGAAAGTAATTTAAAACACGAATTGAAAACAAAATATTTTAAATCATATATTTTATTTTCAAACGTTAACAATTTCTTTTTTAATTGTATATTTATGAGCTTAGTTCATACCTATAAGTCACCAATAGTCTTGTTATGGTCATATATGTATAGTCTAATCTTTGGCTCTATATATAACAATTTGGATTTCAAATGTTTATGTAGTGTAAAATACATCCTCTCTGTCTTATAAATATGCCCAATGCTGCTCATGATTTTAGTACTCCAGTCATTGTTGATAGTCATAATCAAACCAAGATACTCGAGCTATTGGTTCTTTTCTAAGGCATATATTATCTAACATTCATATCCTTCTCTTTTTTTGGTAGTAATTTCATCACTTCTATTTTTTTATTTTTGGTTTACTCTCGGATCTGCTGATTCAGCCTGAAGTGATCTTGTATTTAGTAATACTACATTTTTGCTACATCGTATCAGGTTAAGGTCATCTGTAAAGCGAAATCAATCCATACAGCAACAATACTAGTTTCTAAGATATTATCTTGAATACTGTGTATTACCTTTTATAAGTGTATATTAATTAATAGCGTTTTAAACACGAGTTCAAAACTAAATATTTTCAACAAATCAACTCTACTTTGTGCCTATACTTGATTCTTACTTATATTTCTGCGAATGGTATTAATGTGATCGCCACAAGAATAAATGATACATTAGTACCTACTTAAATTAAACAGTTACTAAATATTTTGAAATAAAGTCTTTCTGTATTGTAGTCGTTTTTTTTTTTGGATTCTGAGTGAAGCAAAGAATGCATTGTTTTTACAATGATGTTTAAATGATAAAAATAGAGACTTTACATTTGGACAGAAAACTTATATTTGCCTTCTTTAGACGTGGTAAAATTTTTAAATTTAAATTTTGTCAATATTGTACGTAATTTTTATTCGGCAGGTACTCTGTGGATAAAATTGTCAATCTAAACAGAAATACTTGACAATTTAACATGAGGTTCATAAAAAGTCGTACTTAGTAGTAAAAAAAATTGAGCAGTTTGTTTTTTATAAGAATTGTTATATCAAATAAATTGTACTTTGTGATCAAAAGAAAACAAATTTTATCTATAAGAATTTACTATCAAATTTTGATGAAAATTGTTTTAGTAAAAAATTATGTGGAACAAATCTAGTTACTGGTCCATACAAATTGTTTTAATGAATTATATTTATTTTACAATAATATATATATTATATATAAGTTGAAAAATCAATACTATTAAAATTTAATGGTATTTAATGAGTTCCGCTCAGAAGCGTTTTTCATTAGCAACAACGAATCTTTGCTTATAGATATACATTGAATTCTCCTTTATATCCTATACCTTCCCAACTTTTCGTCTACGGCAGTGATATTTCGCTGATTAATCAATATAGTATCAATAGCTAATATAAATATGTATAATTGCAGGTTGTTGTTCTCGTGGAAATTATACACGAATAGAGGAAAACGGTACACCGTCACAGCCAATTGACAATTTAGACGTGGAACACATCAATATAAAATGTGGATATTGTTACAACGATTTGAAAAAAATAATATTTCATGTTATCGCGATATGCATGCTCGGTGTACCATATTTGGTCGTCCACTGGTCAATTACATTGAAAACGTTTTTTCTCATGACGCCCAGTTTTCTGTCGACGGCCGACGCTGTTCTTGTTACTGTAAGTAAAACAAATAATAGAAAATATATGTATAATACATAATTATAAAAATTAAGAATTGTTTTTTGCCACGATTTTTATATACTTTTTATTATAAGAGTGAACAAAAACCAAAAGGAAAAAAGATCCGTCTGGGGACGGGTGCGGTCAATGTTGTAGGTGGGTAGTTGGGGAGGTGAGATATGAAGTTATTTAATTTATACCTATACGTATTATAATGAACAAATAAACTTCTTGTTAATTTTTCAAGAATTTCAGAAAAGTTTAACAGTTTTAGTTTTTATTCACCTATTAAATAAAAATTACGTGAAAAACTCGCAAAATTAAAATGTCTATAAAAATTTAAAAAATACCTTAAATATTTTAAAATTTTTACCACATTTAGTAAAAGTAAATTTAATTCTTATGTAAAAATTTCAAGTGTCTACAAATATTTTTAAATTAATTACATTAAAAAAAAAGATGGACATAATTCACAAGATGGATAGACCACTGTTGTTTATGAGAAGTTAGAAAGTTAGGATATAGAGGGCAATTTAGGTATAGCTGTAAGCAAAGATGAATTGTTTCTAACGAAATACGATTCTGAGCGGGGCTCGGTTTTATAGCTTTTTCAATAATATATATTTTATATTATAATAAAATAAATATAAATATTGAAACAATTCGTATGGACTACTAACTAGATTTATTCCACATAATATTTTACCAAAACGATTTTTATCAAAATTTGGTATTAAATTCTTATAGATAAAATTTGTTTTTTTTTGGACTACGAAGCACAATTTATTAACCTTCTGTTAAATTTTCAACTTTTCAAGCATTTCTATTTAGTTTAACAATTTTATCCACGGAGTACCTACTAAATGAACGTACAAAACTCGCAACATCAAAATGCATCAATAGCTCAAAATGGCTCAAATATTTTGAAAATTTTACCATATCTAGAAAAAGCAAATTTAAGTTTTCTCTTTAAATGTCAAATGTCTACAAATATTTTTAACTAAATTACAACAGACAACAGTATTAAAAGTAATAAAAAACATTATTTTCGTAATTTTCCAGTTTTTGTTAAGTCTTATCCCGATATTATAAACATCGCTTTGAAAATTAAAAAATGACTTCCTTAAAGTGCTAAACAATATTTACTTTCATAAATGGTTTAATGCGTTCATTTTGGAGCAAGATTTCTGGTAGTTACTTTTTTCACAGTATAAAAAAAAAAAATAAACATCATTGTAAAACCAATACATTCTTCATTACACTCAGAATTAAAAACAAAATTTAAAAATAATTATTTTCGTGATATACCCGTTCTTTCTATGTATTTTACATTATTATATTATGTACTTTAGATTCTAAGTGGAGCAAAGATGCTTATAGTTTTACAAAGATGTTTATTTTTTTTTTATCTGTGCGCAAATCTGAAAGGAAATCGGCGTGGGTAAGTACTTTAGAGAGGTCATTTTTCTATTTTCTCAAGAGTTTTCTTATCAAATGCGAAAAATCAAAAAAAAACCGGAAAATTTACGAAATATAATGAATACAATCTTACGATTTATTTTTTCTGTGAATAACTTTTATACTAGCAATTTTGCTCCAACTTTTAATTTTAATTATACTTCTAAAAGAAAATTTCACTAAGGAGGTACTTTTAGTGAGAATTTTTTTTGATTTTTCCTGGAGTTTTCTCAACAAATGTGAAAAACCAGGATAAAACATTGGAAAACAGGGAAAAACATAGGAAAACTGAGAAAAACAGTACAACATGAAACAAATATTATTAAAGAAAATATATAATACCTATTTAATTTTTTACTTTAAAATTACTTATATATTGTTAACAAAGCATCACTATCAACTGAAATCGTTTTTTCGTATTCAATGGTTTATTGTTGCTTACATGTATGCATTACATCGTCGGCTTCTTGCCAAAACTCGGTAACGGTAAATTTTACTATTTTGTGATAATGGTGCTATCTAGTGTAAAATATTATTTTCTAATAATTTGCAAGAGATATTTTAAGTTAAACGCTAAATTCAGTATCGGTGAAAAAAAATCAAAATTACCAAATAGCTGTGATAAAACTGTTGAAATCCTTAGATTTATAGAAATACACAGAACATAGTTGGTGGAGATTGTTACGAGGATTCAAATTATATTGATAAAATTAATATTATTATTAATTATTACCAATCTATTTGTACATATTCATCGGCTTCTTGCCAAAACTCGGTAACGGCAAAATAGTAATTGTTCAGAAAACGACTTAAAAGTTTTTAAAAATTTGATTTTTGGTCTCAACTCTACAAAATTCTTAATTCTTAAGATATTTACATAATTTTATTTTTAATAAGTTCGGCTTATATTACTGCATTAAAATATATTGGAGTTTAATTGTTTAATGCAACACAGTTTTTTCTATCAGTAAATTATATTGTATGTAAATAGTTAAGCCGTTAGTTTTACCAAATAGAAAAATAATTATTACTGTTTGTTTTGACTGGAAAAAATCTGTATTGGGATAATATTAAATAATATTTAAATACTAATTAATTAATTATTAATAATTATTATTTTTTTAGTAATATTTTTTATTTATTTTTTTGTAATATGTGTAATAGTTTTTATATTTGTTAATTTCATTTTTTTTTTTTTTTTGGTTAGTTTATAAGATATTTTTTTTTAAATGTACACCAAGTATTCTATATATAATTATAAAATTTCACCAAGTTTAAAAAAGGCAAGTATAAATTTTTTGTCCAAATTTTAAATTCATAGATACATAAATCGATACGAATATTTTTAAAAATATTAAAATTTGTATAAAAAGCTTAAAAATGGCTCACATGTTTCGAAAGTTTTACCATATCTAGAAAAGGCAAATATAAGTTTTATGCCCATATTTGAAGTTTCTATGAATATTTTTACTGACTTAAAACAAATAACGAAATTGAAATAATAAAAAAAGCATTATTCTCGTAAATATTCCGTTTTCTTACGTTTTATCTTGGTTTTTCTCAGATATTATGAAAATTCGCGATTTCGTTAGTTTAAATAAGTTATCTTTAATATTTATTGATTATTGGTTATTTATAATACTCAGTATCTACTAATTGTGCCATATTACACCAGTACACCACAATTTTCAATAAATTATTTATTGGTCACAATTAATTTTTGCATACAAATATTACAAGTATTTCTTAATTATCATTTATCAGATTGGTACCTAATCAAAATAATTGAATCATTTTTATATTAATTTACCTTTAAATAAATAAGTATTTGTTTCAATAACCCAGTATTAATTTATAGTAATTAGTGTCAAAAATTATCCTTAAATTAGTGACAGCTGTTATAGTGCATAACTGGAAACTAAGCCTGAGTTACATTTTAAGAAATTACTTTTATTTATTTTCTCTAATTTATAATTGTAAACAAGTGGGTATTCTAATAAATAATAACTAATAAAATAATTTATTATAATGATCATCATAAAGCATCTAACATTTACTTAAACATACATGTCTAGTACTCTAGTATAAACTTAGTAATTATTATATCGTTCTTAAGTAAGTACATGATAATAATTAATATTTCTGTTTAGAACATGTAATTTTAATACAATTTTAACCGAGTTTAAATATAATCATTAGGGTGGTCCTTATTTTTTAAACCTAATTATATTCAGTCCGTACCCACTAAATTTGTTAATTCACATAAGAAAGAAATTTGGGTAAAATTTGGAAGGCATTACTCAATCCTTCCTTGTGCCGACTTAGGGTTGAAAAATGGCAAAAAATTTAAAAAAATTAATATTAGCTTAAATAGTTATTGATAAAATGTATTTACTTGTAACAAAAACTGCTTTTGTTCTTTATTTTTCATAATTTTACAATTAAATTTTTCTGTCAGTTTAACATGGCATTCGGCGGTATCATTAACGACTTTTAATGATCCAATTGTCCGATTACTTTAATGATCATTTCCTTTTTTATACTCTTCATTTTCTTCCCAGCATATTGGATCCAGCGATAAAAAATTAGTCTTAATATCAAATCTATTAAAAATTTGTTTTGATTTGTATGTAATTAGATCCACTGACAAATCTTGGGTTAAGAAATAAGGGATATCTTCGATTTTTACAGAATGTTTTTTTTTTAACTTCTCCTAATTGTTCATAATCTTCATGCTCATTTTTCTTTTTTATTCAGTGGTAACACGATTGTCAAAAATAGAAAATACTACACATTTATCACTGAGGTACCATAAATGGTTTATACATTCTTTAATGCAGTTTTTTTCTTTAATGCTATTTTATTGTCATCGTTTTTATAATTATATATGTTTTTTATAAAAAGTATACCATTAACAGGAGCCTTTATTCAATCGGGAGTAGTTAACCACACTTCAGCATAACATTTGATGATGAAACAACTTATTCTTTTAAGTGACATTTCTTCTATTGAAGTTAACTTAAACTGATTTTTAATTAAAACAATTTTTAGTTTTAATTTTTAGTTAAATACCCTTTGCCATCCACCTTGCCAAATAATAAGCTTCAGATTGCCGAAAATTAAAATTCTCCTTAAGTTTCCCTCCGAGAAATATTACAACGAGCTGCAAAAACTCTTTTTAATCATCATGGTGGAAATAATTTTGAAGTATTTTTTCTGTAAAATTTAATATCTCATCACGAACGTTATTTAATATATTGAAAGTCATAGAAACATCAGTCCACACCGAATATTCGTTTTTATTAATATTTTTCCAACTGTTAACGAATCTCTTAAAAAGTTGTATAACTGGGCCAGATTATGGTGCAAATTTAGCTTCAACAAATACTGCTTGTTATGTTATTTCGAAAATATGATGCCAGCGAGCTAAAAATAATATGTTTCTTCCTAATTTTTGCTCTAACAGAACGCAAGCACCATTTAATCTACCTGAAGCTATAGTATCAAAACAAATCCTTGTATTTTTTCCAATAACCTCCAATTTTTTAATTCATCATATACTGCTAAACATATTTCACTGCTTGTGCCGCTTGACAGGTGAGAAACTCCCAAAAGCTGTACCAGGTTTTGCTGCCCAGGTTTTGGGATGTTATAACAACGGAAAGTCTATAACACTTTTCTTTTTCAACTAAAGTAGGCAGAATCTTAGAATCCCAATGTACAATGGCATAGTTTAAATTTAGATCAATAAATTTAGATTTTTTGTTACCTGTATTGTTTTTTCGAAATATTTGTTAAACATTTCTTATAGACATTCGGTTTACTACAAAATCGTTTGTATCTAATGACACTGCTTCGATACATGCTGTTAATAAATGAATATATTATACATTATTATTACTCATGTATAATATATTTTATCGTACATAAGAATTATTTTTAAAATGTATGCAATTATAGTACTATGTAAGATGTAAATAGGTACTATTATTACTTATCGTTCATAATAATCGTATAATTATTTAAAATGTAAAAAAAACATAAACAGCATAGAGCTCTGTCAATAAAGCCAAATAGTTCTTCTTCTATTTTGTATTTTAGAAATATGTTTTTGTAAAACAAATTACCGTATAGGTACTACAACTATACTGTGTAAACTGCTTCAAAAAAAAAATGGTGAAATTTGAGTATAAAAATAGTAGTGGTGGGAGTTGAAATTCGATACCCCCAAAAAGCCTATTTTTGACGCTAATAAAATATTTATAAAACATTTGGGAATAGGATTTTTCGGCAATAAAGACAAAAATACATGTTGCAGTGAACATTATTTTCATTGGTCATTATTGTAATGACTCATTACTCATTGTAGTATAAAAACTGTGTGATTCATAGTAAAATTATAACACATAATATTACATCATAATTTTTGATTAATACAATATAAATAACAATAATAATAAAAATGGATGGATATACTTTACACTTGGGTGCAGACTCTGTTATAGGTAGGAAGTTGGGTAGGTAGTATGCAGACGGGAATTTAATGTATACCTGTAAGCAACGATAAACAATTGCTAACGAAAAACGATTCTGAGCGGAGTTCAGTTGATAGTGTTGCTTTGTCAACAATATATATATGTCATTTTATAGTAAAATAATTTAAAAGCCTTTTCCCGGTTTTCCCATGTTTTATCCCGGTTTTGCACAATTGCTGAAAAAAATATTGGGAAAAATTAAAAAATGACCTCTCTTAAGTTTCTCCTAAATTAAATTTTCTTTTAGAAATATTGCTATCATTATAAGTTGGAACAAAATTGGTGGTTGAAAAGTTGTGTACAGGAAAAAAGAAGGCAGTAATATATTTTAACTAATACCTACATTTCTTATAAGTTCCCGTTTTTTTTCGGTTTTTCAAATTTGATAACAAAACTACTGAGAAAATCAAAAATAACCTCTTTAAAGTACCTTCCTAGTGAAATTTTCTTTCAAAAACATTACTATCATTAAAAGTTGAAATAAAATTTGTGGTAGAAGAGTTGTTCACAGAAAAAAAAAATCGTTGGATTATATTTATTATACCTCGTAAATTTTCCTGTTTTTTTTGGTTTTTACATTTCATCAGAAAACTCTTGAGACAATCGAAAATGACCTTCCTATAGTACCTCCCACGCTGAAGGTGCTACACGGATGCTAAAAATTCGAGCAAGTCTTCTGGGTAGAAAAGTTACCCACAGATTTAAAAAAAAATAATACATCTTCGCTTTACTGAGCATCTAAAATTTCATACTCTAGTTTCTTTAATTAATTAGTACCCACCTATACCATAACAAAATTGTACTTGTTACTAAATATTATTTAGAGTTTATTCGTTAAAGTTATAGCGGTCGGTACATCTTGCATATAGGCTGAGTGCCATTGTGGAGAGTGCAAACATATATATAGACTATATTATTTTATAAATGTTATAGTATGTAACTATAGATTGTGTCAGTCATATGTGGTAATAATGAAGACAATTTTTTTTGATAGATCTGTAATCTGATATTTTTCTAAAAATTAAAAGTAAGTTCCACAATAATAATATTATTAAAAATTTCATATCAATGCTATAACGGTAATTGGATGGTTTTCTAAAATTGTCACATTGTCATAGCAAAGTAACTTTAGTAGCCACATCCTCCCAATTATCCGCCCATGCACACTGTTATAGTGTTATTTCCTGTCCATTGTATCTTAGTTTGTGTTTATTATTTATTTACTAGGTATGTTATTTTCTTGACGAAAATTCGTCAGTGGCAAACGTTTAAAATGCTTGATAATTAACGTATAAAACATTTATATGGTGTAAATTTGACAGCGGCCGTTACCACGGTAAAACTAATCTTTAACTAAACTATGAAATAATAATAATTATAATTCAATTAATAATGATATTGTAATATGTATTATTATTATTACTATTATTATAATTGTATTATTGTCAATGTTCAATGACTTATTTAATATTGTATACTTCCTTACATTATTTTTTAATAAAAATAATTATAATAAAATCATAATCTAATAATTTATGCAGTTATTTTTTTACACAACCACGAGATGATATGACGTTATGTGACTGGTGAAACACATCGATAAATAAATTAACAAATTAAAAGGTGTGGGATTTAGACCTGTGATTCTTATAATTGAAGCACTATATGATCTCACTAGCGAAACCCGGGGGAGGGGTTAAATTCCCTCTCCACAATTTATTTTTTTTTAAAGTCTTACATTAGAATTTAAATTTCTTATAGATCAAAGGGCAGTATTTCTTAAAACTAAAAGTAGGTAACAGATTTTTGTAACATATTTTATTCGGGTTTTAGACTTTTAAACCTAGCGTACATCGATGAACCTATGAATTTTACAAAATATTTTTTCTTGTAAAACAATTTTTGTTATAAAAATACTCCAAATTTGTCACATCGTACACTAAAAGATGTGAATTGTTTGTTCTGTGATACTTTGTTTGAATTATATTTGTAGATTCCCAACAGATTATCTAAATAATTTAAAATAATTGTTAACAAATGACGATACATTACTGGTTTTCTATTGTTAATTTTTGGTTTACCATGATCACAAGGGAAAAAAAAACATCCAACACTTTACTAGATCAAATGAAAATCATTTTTTGTTCGTTATGATTTTCCGATGATCTCAGTAAATATATAAAACAAAATTGAAGGGAAACACAGTTAACTGTAACGATAGTGATGGAGATTGAAACAGAGAATCCAGGGAGAAAACGTTTTTATTCCACATTAGTTTGGCACGGTCAACGCCGGACGGAACAACTAGTATAATATAAAAATAATTAATATCCTAATATTGATTAAGAGGACGCCACACCCGCATTTATTGTCTCAATCCAACTACCTAACTAACTAATCTAATCAAACTAACAAAAACTAGCTTAATTATAATTTAAGAGTAAAACTATAAAAGTACCTATTATGCAATTTATAGAGAAAAATATTTAGGAGGCATTCTAACAGGTATTTTTTAAATTATAAACTATTAAAAAAACTAAAAAAATATTAATTATAAATTTTATATCAAGCTATTTATTTAGAATAATACAAAAACTCGATGAGGTTCTCTTCAAAATATTTTTTTTATATATTTTACAATAGGTGCTTCTACTCTAAAATCAAAAGTAATCTAGTTTTACTTGTCTGCGTAAGCATTGTTTTTGCATGTTGTCCAGTAGTTGAACTGAGATAATAGATAGTAGATGTTACTGTGACGTCCTTTTAAATACAATAGGTATTAATGATTAAAAGATTTAAATGTTAGGTATTGTCTTACCTTGGATATTTTATAATAAACTTATGAATTTTCAATTGCTAAATATTATTATATATAAGTTACATAGGTATTTATCTTTAGGCTTATCTTTTTTCCTGACATTGGATATCAAAATATTACACCAAATTTAATAAAATATTATTATCTCGATAACGCTAATATGTCATGTTTGATACCGTGTACTTGCAAACCATGATTTTTCTAATATACGCATAAATGTAAAATTAGGAGGGACATATACCCCCGTGTACTCTGCACTACATCACTGGGTAGGATATAGAGAGAAGTTTAATATATATCTGTACACAAGGATTGAAAGAATGTAAAAGAATGTTAATTCCCCCCCCCCCATAAGACATCTTAAATCCATTAGGTTAGGAACGTAGCGAGGGATCTATTGGATTTACTATGATGTTTTTGTTTTGTTTTTTTTTTCCGTCAGTAATTTTTCTACCAGAAAAATTGCTCTAAATTGACAAGAGATCAATTTTTTTCTCTTATAATATTTTACCTCTGACAGAAAAAAAGAAGAAAAATACGACTTTTTAAAATTATGGCACATTGATTTCATTATTTTAAATTTGTACAACTTATATTGTTACCATAAATATTATTCCAATAGAAAAACATCAAGTAAACTTTTTTTTTAAATTTTTAATCTTGTTGGTGATCAAGGAAGTCGTTTTATGATTTAATTTTTAATTTTTTTAACAATTGAGCAAAACTGAAAAATACGTAGAAAGAACGGGAAAATTTTGTTTTTTTAATGACTTTATGTAACCCACTTTTTCAAAATATTCACTTACAAGAGTGGCCGCACCTGTCCTCAGTATCAGCTCTTTTTTTTTTTATACATTGTTTAACTAATAAAATCATATTTAAATATTTTTATTTCACCCATAATTATTCACCATTAATCTCGTCTAAATAAAGAAATGTGACCAATCCGTAAGCAGTCACAATTTTTGATATCTATAACCCTGGTTGCGCCACTGCATGGTCTTAACATTAAATTCTAGGTGTTTTCCATTTTATGTATAGCAGGGTACATTTTTCTGAGTGATGCGTACCTGAATAACCTTGTCTAAGTATTTGTATTATTATTTTTTTTTATTTTCGAAAGGACGCAAATAACAAGGACGCCATTTATGACATAAAGACATCAATAATAAGAAACGTCAACGGCGAAAGAAAATCCATAAAATATTTCAGACATCAGTTACTAAAATACGTATGGGATGAGAATGAAAATGCGTTCAGAGTCCTGCAAGGTCTTGACAACGGAACGACTACACTATCAAAATTGTTGGAAAAGTGCCACGGACTAACTTCCGACGAATACGCCAGTCAGTACGTACCTTTTTTTCACGATTTCTTATATATTAGGTATACTACTTCACTACTTCTTAAATCCATCTTCCAAAAACGGAAGTTTGGTGATCTATCAATTGACATTGACAACAATCTCCAGAGCCCGTGGTTTTCTGCCGACCGAATGAAATCTTCCAAAGAATAGCCAGAGATGATCTTTATCTGGTCTATCTAACGCACTGATTTTCTCCCACATCACTTTTTCCCTTCTATCTCTCCTTCAATCATTACCTTCTCCAGACTCAATCCATTCCTTCATATAATATGACCGAAGAAGGCCATATTTGTATTAGAATTATAAATCACTAATATTCTGCTGCAAATATAATGATTTAGCGTCACATAATGACACTTGTTTTAATATAGCGTTTTGTCACGTTTATGTAAGCGAAAGCGATGACCTACTGTAGCATCCGACTAGGGCGATCTTAGGGTTTATTTTTAGGGGGTTTGGAGTGAATTTTTCTGACTTCTAAGAATACTATTTGACGACTGGTATTTCATAGTTTTTACTGCTTAGTGTAATCATTTTAGTACTATACAAAGCTGAATGATGGCCGTTGTTAAGATTTGTGTGGCCTTGGGTAATTTATAAATTGCGAGACCCTATGGAAATAAATATAGGCGTTTGCAAAAATGTATTCAGGGGGACAACATATTTAATATATTTCCATAAAGCCAATAAAATGCACAAAAATCATATGTGATAGTAAATTACTTGATCGCGTTATACTAGCCGAGAAAAATACATAAATATTTTCAAGAATTGATACAATTTTCATTTATATGACTAGCTTTAAAACTGTGCTTTAAAAAAGTATTGAATTTGTGAGTTTGACATGGAATATATGAAACTGTATGCCCAACCCAAAAATCTCAGATAAACAACGTTGAGTTCCTTTGTACATGTCATTCATACTACTTGCGTAATCCTATGATTAAAAAGCTACATTTCCAGTTTTAGTTCATGTTTTCTTAAACTTTCACATATACTTTTTGTCAATCCATTTCCAGTTTTATCAGTGACTTTAATGACATCAAGTAATTGTTCATTTGGTAGTCCGTTTTGGTCAACATTTCTCAAACAAACACACAATCGGTGAAACATTTAGCATGGTATCAGCTAAAACTGATAATATACCTATCAGGTTTTGTTACTTCTTGGACTATTGGTGTACATGTTTCTGTAACTAAAAGTGCAATAAACTTATTTTGAAAATCTATACTAATATATGTTACTTGGTGACAACGCTTAAATTTATCATTAAACCACCTTTTGAATATTGGAATATGTCGCCATAGTAAAAAAACAATTTCCATTTTGTGATATATTTTCACCTTCATTATGATTACGGAACGCAAGCCCTTTTCTTGTTAATGTGCGTGCTACATCTATCAAAATGCTAACTGCGTCTCTATTGAATGTTTGTTCTTGTTTCTCACGTATTGTAATTGTCGTAACTGCTGCATGTTTGAAGGTTGCCCTTACACTTTACCAAAACAAGTTCCAAACAGTGATAATATATTTAAAGTAATTTGCAAAAATTTGCAAGCCCAATCCCAGAATTTGCAAGTTAATAATAAAAGAATTATTTAGAGTTGAACTGAATAAAGGCCAACTTCACGTAGCCCTTACATGTTGTCCTAAATGCTTCAAACCGGTGTCAAAACACTCGTTATAATTTACAAGGATTTGAAAATCCAATTCCGCAATTTGCAAGTCAATCCCCAGCCCTTACCTTAGTATAAGTATTTTTTTATAAAGCCTCCAATTTCCAAAAAACGATTTTGGTTGTACTTAAAATTCTGTGGTTAATTGTTTATTTATTAGATTAGTGCTAAAAGAAATTAAATTAAAAAAAATTGTTCTTTTTCATCAACAATCAAATCTGTATGTAGATGTTAAGGTGTGGGTTTAAATTTTTAACCAATTCTGGCTTTTTTATTTTTTGAATTTTTGTATTCAGATTATTATATAATTCCTAGTTGCTATCATGTTTCCGAATGTATGTTACAAAATTGTCTGCTTCATAATGTATTATAGATATTAGTATGTACCTGTAAATGTAAAATGTTTTAAATTGAATGCACAATTTAATAAAATTTAGTTATAAGATAAATAAATTGATTGTAATTATTTATGACCGGTATAACAGCCAAATCATAGCCCTAGGATGACCATACCCCGTTATTAAAATAAAAGTAATGGGATAAAAATAAGTCCGGCTACGATTGTGCAGACCAATTAAAAACACGCAAATATCAAATACCTATAAATAAGTAGACCGTTTTGACATTTTTACCACGTCTTTAATATTTTAATCTGTGAACACTTTTTTTTCTAAAAATCTTGCTAAAAAGTATCAAGCATGGATCTTTTTTAAAAAAAAATGTTATCTAAGGAAAAAAAGTACGATTTTATGATATATTACGAAAATTATGGGAGCTATATAGGCATTTTAATTTTGGTAGTTTATACACACCTACTATTAACCTTGTTCAACTCAGAATCATCTTTCGTCAGCAATGGTTTATCATTGCTTAAAGATAAATAAATTGAATAACCTTATGTATCCTACCCTCTAAACTTCCCACTTACAACAGTGGCTACACCCGTCCGCGCTCGTCTTTTTAAATTTTTTTTTTTCGATTTGAGGGTGATATCAATTTATAAAAAAATATATTGTTTTTTATTCCCTTCTCAATTAAAAAATAACATTTTATTTGTTCAGTTTTAAACATTTTTAAATTCCATCAGTCATTTTGTATGAGATATTATTCTAAAAATTTGAATTTACTATATTTATATATCCCTAAATCGATGTCCCCCAGAAAAAAAACAGATTAGAAAACAATAAATAATAAACATTGAATATTAACAGCTCTAGAAAAATTCATCGAATACGGTAGAACACCTTGTATTTATAAATATATATATATATTAATTTACACAAAAATGTGCCATTTTTATAAAATTATTACTTACTTGTTGCTTTCAATATTTATTATTCAGGAAAATCTATTAACTTTTTGGTATTGCTTTCATCACCATATAAAAAATCAGCTTCAATAATTAAATGATTTTTTAGAATCCGATATGATGTTTTAAATCTTTTACGTTCCTCATTATAACATGGTTCTGTTTTTTATTTATATATGTATATAATTAAGGAGAATTTGTGTATAGTTTGGGATTCTGTTTAAATTTGTATTATTCAATATTATTGATGGCGAAGACTGTATTTTTTTGTTTTTATAATTTGTTGATCATTTTATATATTACACAGTGCTAGGGCCAGTCTTCTAAAAATTAATAATTATTTTAATGACGTTACATACGGCATTAATAGTTTTGACAGCAGGTATATCAAACAAGTTAAAATAAGTTAATAGTAATTTAAGTCTTTCTTACATAAATATCCTTGCTCTTTCCATGTTGAGCTATCTTGTTTGCTATTGTAAAAATGTCATTATTAGTATTGTCTAAAATAGATTGATATGTAGGATAATCATTATAAGTGGCAACTATTCCAACAATGTCTGCATCAAATGCGCAAGTATTTGTTATTATATAGATAGTCTTTTTATAATTACTGGGAGAAGAAATGTTTCCATTCAATATTAACACATTGACGAACACTTGTAATATAATTTGTATTGTTATATTAGTAATACTATACCTGAAAAATCTATGTAATTTGTCAGTGTAAACTGCCGTAATGTGGTAGTCCACTATCTTCTATGATTTGATATCACTGAAAGATTACTGCTTCCGCAGTATTGACGTAAAATGATATTTTACATATTACTGCTATAGCTGTAATGTCCATCAATGTGTTAATGTATTTAAGTGTGATCTCATCCTGGATGCATTAAGAATACGGTATATTTCTGGACATAAATCCATGTACTTCGAAGGACTGTTTTTTCAGTAACTTGATCTAATTTTACTAGTTTTTTCGTGTCTTTAATCCTCTCCACTCTCCTTCTTCAACAGTGGCTTTACTGGTGGACGATGACGAATCTGACCAGTTTTCTGTTATACTCGTATGGTCATCACCTAAAATATAAACAATATAGTATCTTAAGTAAAGTACTATATTATTTCAATATAATAGCATTCTACTACACCCCTCCTACCCAAATTTAAAAATGGAATATCTCGTCAATGAGTTGACGGAAACCAAAAATGTCAACACCAAAATTGATAATAAAATGAAATTAATTGATATTATATCTACGTACAAATTTTTTAGTATAGGTTGCTATTTGGGTGACAAAAATAATACAGCAGCAATAAATAATTCTTTATTGTAAATGTCATGCATATTTTATAAGATACAATAAGAAAAATTATATAAAGTCAACAAATGTTTTAAAAAAATCAATAATTTTTGAAATATTTAAATAACACAAATTAAAAATTAATACTTTGGAAAAAGTATTATGAATCTCGCTAGATTTTTCAATAAAAGTACCACAAGACGAAAAATATTTTATGGATAAATTAAAACATTAAAACACAAAGATTTATTTAAATCTAATTTAAATCATAATAAATTATCATTGTACGACTACTTAATTACCATCACTAGTGTTTATCTTGGAATTTGAATATTATTTTTGAAATTGACTCACAGCTGCTTTCATCAACTAATATACCTAAATAAAAGTATCTACACTGTATTCAGTAATCAAACACAGATATTACAGTAAAATTTTGTTCAATTAGTCACTACATTCTGTTTTTGGCTTTCTGTTATCATTTAGCATAATATACATAGTATTACGTACTAATCTATTTGGATTTAAATTCTGGAGTTTAGGCAAGTATATTTTTTCATATTATAATTTACACCTATTAAAATAACTACAGCTTTTATAATTATTATTGAATACCTAGTCAAATCCCAGAAAGCAAAAACAATTCTTTATCAAACTCTTGTCATTTTTCGATTGAAGCAATATTTTTTGTAGAAAATATCGTATATACAAATTTAAAATAATGAAAATATTAAACGTTTGCTATAAATATTATCCATTTCACCTATAATTTTCTTTCAAAATAAAATCAAAAACTGACGTCTTTAATGCACTAACTAAACAAAATTATATTTCAGAAAAAGTATCACACTCTATATATTGGAGTCTTGCTGATAGAAAAGTCGTTCAGACACAAAACAAATAATAATAACACAAGAACACACATGATAGTAAAACCACTATACATTCCTCGCTATCCTCAAAATTTAAAATAATTGTCATTATAAAATCAATATATTTTTGCCTATGTCTTTATATAGGCTAATGCCTATTTATCATATAAATAATTTCTATGCTAGTTAAAAATTAAAGTACCTATTTATCTATTAAAATATTGCATATAATGCCAAATGATGCAAAAATATAATCATTTTCATTAAGTAATAATAATTTGTTAAAATAATATTTTATAGTTTGAGAAATTGGTAGTTGGGGGCTATGCCCATGACTTAAGCTTAATACCGTGTAGAAGTTGGTGGGAATAAATTAATGTTTACTGCCACACAAACAAAAAATTAGTTCAGTGCCACTGATATCAGCTATATATACTAAGGGTTAGGTAGGTGTAAGTCATTATTAATAGTTTTTTTTGAATTTACATTCCTATTTATTTTTTGTTCAGGTTAGAACTGTTTGGCAAAAACGAAGTGATCGTGAATGTGGATTCGTATTGGAAACTATTTTTCGTGGAAGTGGTGAATCCTTTCTACGTCTTTCAAATATTTAGCATATTTCTGTGGTTTTTAGATGAATATGAATATTATGCAATATGTGTATTGATCAGCTCTTTGGTTTCAATCGGAACTTCATTATACCAACTGAAAGAGGTTAGATTTTTCTTATCCTTTATATAGGTATAGAATATAGATATAGACCTCTATGCTAGCTTAGTGCTCACCAATCTATGTAAACATTGATCTTATAAACATAATATATTTACAAGTTATAAGTATCACTTGATAACCTTGACCTGATCGAATGTATGAGTTTTTGACCACGATATGGGACAATTCTTAATAATTATGTAAATGTATGAGGTAGTTGTATAATGTTTCCAAATATTTTGAACATGATTAATTATGTTCGATATTTTTTTATCTTTTGGTGAGGGGATGGCAAACAATTTTTTTATACAGCATATAAAGTTTCATATCATAACATTTAAAAAACACCTTAATGACTAAAAGCTCTGCGTGTATAATAATAATATTTTATTTTTCAGCAAAGCCGATCTCTCAAAGAAACCGTAGAAACTTATAACAACGACATCTATACTGTACTGAGAAGAGATAGCGGTAAGTGCCTTTATTTTTTTTATATAAAACAAATATATTTGTTAATTATTTTTGCTATTCCTACAATTTTGAAACCTGTTGGTTTTACTATGATATTTATTTATTTTTTCTGTTTGTAAACAACTTTTTGACCAAAAATCTTGCTCCAATGGAAAATTGATAAAAAACATTTATGTTAAATTTTGGATCTTGTGGGTAAATAAGAAAGTCATTTTTTGATTGTGTACTGTGTTTTATTAATAATTGAGCAAAATCTGAAAAAATATTTGAAAGAACGGGAAAGTTAACAGAAATAATGGTTTAATTATTTTCAATTTTAGTTAAAAATATTCGTAGGAATTTGAAAGTTTGACAGGAAACTTATATTTATCTTTTCTAGACGTATTTAAATTTTCAAAACATTTATCTCTTTTTAAACTATTTATAGACATTTTAATTCATTTAAAAATAACAAAAATTACCTCCCTAAAATACTACCCTAAGAAACCCGCTCAGAATCGTTTTTTCGTTGGCAATGGTTTATCGTTGCTTACAGATATACCTATAAATTAAATTCCCTTCTGTGTCCTACCTTAACAACTTCTTACCTACAACAGTGACTGCACCCACGTGCCAAGTATTTCCAATAAAATAATAAAGTAAAAACAATATTATTAAAATGGTTAATACTCGTAAATAAATAAAGTAAATAAATATATAAGTAAAAAAGAGCTGATAATAAGGAATGGCAGCGATCACTATTATAAGTGAGATTTTGAGAAAATAGGATACATATGGTTATTTCATTTATAAGCAATGATAAACTATAGCTGACGAAAGACGATTCCGAGCGCAGTTCGGTAATACATAATTTGAAGTGCCGTAATTTTTTTTGCGATTTTTGTTTGAATTTGATTTCAAAACGCTTATTAAAATAAAAAAGTACCCTTACCAAGTCTAGGTATGTCCAAAATACTTATTATTACCAAGTTTGAAGTCTCTATGTATATTTATAACCGAATTATAACAAAAAACTCCCAAAAATTAAAATTCCCTAAAAAGCTCAATAATGATTCAAATATTTGGTTATTATTTATTATCTAAAATATATTGATATAAGATATTTTTGAAATTGGTTTGAACATTTAAAATATTATTAAAATTATTATTTTTTATTTTATTGTGTATGTGTAATTCTTCTAAAACTGAATTAATGTAAATTTTTTTTTGAGTATTTAATATTTCTAAGTCAGTATTAATATCAAAAATTACATTATGGTTATTTTCTAAAACATGTTTAGCAAAATTTGAATTGGGGGCAGTATTTTTAATTTAATTTTCGAAATGTGTACTTTATATCTTTATATCTTTATACTTTATATCTATCGGATTTTTATGAAGTTCTTTGTTCTATTGTTTATATGTTTGATTAAATTATTATTAGTCTTAAAAGCGATTTTTACATTATTTGTATTATTGTTCAGAATTTTAGCGAATTCATTAGACATATTATTTTGATATTTCATACTACAATAATTAACAATATTATTTGGTGAGTTGTGTATAATTTTTCTTTAATACGTTTATGCATTTCTTTAATAGTATTTAAATTTTAATTATATCTATAGTTTATATTATAAAATTATTGAGCTCGTATTGATGTATATGTTTATTTAATGAAGTATAATACACTTATCATATTACTTCAGGTGACGCATTCAGTCATTTATTTATTTTATTTGTGTGTATACATTTTTTATTTATATTTTTGTTTATTTTATAAAAGTATTTCCTTCTTTTTTTTTTTAATATTCTTATAGAAAACGTGATGGTAAAAGCTCAATATTTAGTTCCCGGAGATGTAATTGTAATCCCGCCGGGAGGTTGCAACATCGCTTGTGATGCATTATTGTTGTCCGGCAATTGTATTGTCGACGAAAGTCTTTTAACAGGTTCATGATGCATTTATATGAAAAAATACAAATTTAAATAGTTCTTTTTTTTCGAAAATGATAACATAATATATTTATTGTTACACATTCTCATCACGAAAACTAAAATCGATTACAGGAGAAAGCGATCCAATAACGAAAAGTCCCCCGTCTTCGATCGAAGAATTTTTTTACAGTAGTTCTTCGCACAAACAACACACGCTGTATTGCGGTACCAAAATTTTGCAATCGCGATTTTACGCCGGCGCTCAAGTAAGAATGGAAATAAATATTATTATTGCACAATCAAATTTTTACGTTTAAAACCTATCTTTAATACAACCTAAATCAACTTTGAACGATTGAGAACTTTATACCTTATTGATGGAACAATTTAAAACATTTAAAATTCACAAAGAATTCACCGCTAATCCAAAACACTATTACGATTGAGAATGAGTTACATGAAACGTGGTTATAACATTTATTTGGATATCGAACAATTCTCCACGTTTTAGTTTTTTTTAACTATTGATTTGTGGTTTAGTACTGCAGTCACAATAAATCAATCTTTAATATATCAATTTTACAATATCTTTATTTATAATTTCTTTTTAATCGAAGTGTAAATGAGAACAATAATAATATTTAATGCTAAAATATGGTATAACAACTGTTAAATTAGTCAGATAATAGCTTTCATACAATATCATACATATAGTTATCGAACTATTAAATTTCTTTTGCCAATTCCATGTTACGGTATGCGATAAATAACTGTTTAACTTTTTCCCACAAATGCCCACGATAATATTGTTAATATACTCGTATACAATTTTATTTTCCTATGGAAAGAGATAAGAATACTCCCACCGTACCTCTACCGGCGAAAAATGAGGCTGCGTCAGGTCTCTAGCTGGTGTAATATGTATGTTAAACAGGATGATGAATCCTAAAAACAAAACTTAGGCGGACTGTTTCTTGGATGTGTGCGGGTACAAGTGCACAACAGGTGAGAGGAATTGACACACCTCAAATAGTTGGGATAAACGTGAAGGAAAAGAAGAAATGTACAATTTTATGTAAAATTAGACCAGTGCTAAATATTTTACTTAATCGTTCAATAAAATATATTTAATATGGCAACATTGCAAAAAAAAATTAAAACTAATCGAGCATTATCAATAGTATTTTACCGACCTAAATAAATACGACCTTTTTGCAGGTAACGGCTCTCGTGGTCAGGACCGGAAGTTCCACGGCCAAAGGAAATTTAATAAGGTCTATAATGTTTCCAAAGAATATGGATTTCGAGTTTTATTTGGATTCGATAAAATTCGTCATAATGATGTTTTTCGTCGCTACCATTGGTATGATTTACTGTGCGTATCTGTACGTTGTACGAGAAGTAAGTGTAATTATAATAGTTGTTTTAGATTCTAAGTAAATTGAAAAAAGCTATTCATCTTACAAATATGTATTTTTTCAAAAAAAAAACGCTTTTACGGTTACTAAAAATACTCTTATTTTGATGTCGTATCTTAAAAGGTTACCCTGCTGATACTTTAATTCAAAAATTTTTTTAAATTACCAATACTATTTCCGAAAATAGCTATTTATATATTTCATATACATATAATTTGTTATATTCACTTCTTTGGTTAAGCAAATTCTCCAGTTTGTTCTTGTAGTAGGTAACATAAAAGATACAACATTTCTGCCCGATAGTAGGTACTTTATTTAAAACATGCATAAATGGCGCTCTTGTGGTAAATAGTAATATCTATTAGATACAAAAAAGAACTTTGGGAAGGTAGGATACATAGTTATTTAATTTATATCTGTACGTAAGCGTTTCAACGACGCTTCAAGATGTTCAACCATTGCTAACGAAAAACGATTCTAAGCAAAATTCAGTTATACATGGTTTAAAATATCGTAATTTTTAGTATTTTCGTCAAAATTTAATCTTAAAACGCTTATAAAAAAAACGCTGTATAGAAATGGTTAATTTACTCATTATGTGTAAATTTCAGTTTTTTACTATTTTTAACCAAATCGCGACAAAAACAAAATAATGGCACCGGTACCTTGTGGTAAACTTACTCGTCTTTCCTACAGTTTTTTGTTGATTTTCCTAATTATCAAGGCAACTATACAAAAAATGAAAAACAATTTATTTACAATTTACACACAAATGACAAAATTTTCTTTAATAAAAAATGTTACTCTTAATATTTGGAGCAAGATTTCTGATAAAAAAAAAACAAAATGGAAACAATTTTTTTCAAAAGGAAATTTTCCATGCTCAGAATTATATAAAAAAGAAACACAAATTATGGAAAATGTTAATAATTTATATTTTGTACATTAGTCCACCGTCGAGTATATTGTCATCAGAAGCCTGGACATTTACACAGTGGTAGTGCCCCCAGCTCTACCGGCCGCCATGACGATCGGCATTGTGCATTCGGTGAAACGTCTAAAACGACTGAAACTGTATTGTACGTGTCAGTCTCGCATCAACGTGGCAGGGAAAATAAAACTCGTCTGTTTCGACAAGGTGAGATTTTAGCGTGAAAAAAAAATTTAGCTGAGGAATGCTTAGGTACATAATTATAATAGCCGCAGTATTCAGTCCGTCCGTTCATCCGTAATCTGTACTTTTCCCATCAGGTCCAATGCGTAGATTTCTTTGCAATCGATTCCAAATTAAACTATGCGACAAAACTGAAAACATTGATAAATTACGAACCTCCTCAATACTCACCCTTAATTTTTTTTTATATTTCTGTTTTTTTTTCTTATGTAGACTATCCCACTAACAATAACGTCATCAAAAACTGTGCTTTTGTTGTCATAATGCATAAAATGTTTGTAGCCATTCGGTAAGAATACTTTTAACCGCTAAAAGCGATGAAACGTACATTTCGATAAACAAAATATGTTTATTATATGTCATATGCCAAAGCGTTCCGCGATATCACATAATATGTATACTTCCACGTATTTATTTAACCGGACTTTGACTATTTTAAGCATCATTTTGAATCTTAGTATATTTTAGCTTCCATCAATATTATTCGAATATTCTATGTAGTATAAAAAAGTATACATATATATATACAGGGCGATTCACTAAGCGTGCTTACCCCATATTTTTTTTTTTTTTTTTTTTTTNATATTCTATGTAGTATAAAAAAGTATACATATATATATACAGGGCGATTTACTAAGCGTGCTTACCCCATATTTTTTTTTTTTTTTTATTTGATAAATTTTGCATATATTCAAATTCTGATATTTTTGGAATTTTTAAGTGTGACTAGAGCCAATATTTTTGAATAATTCGATTTTTCATAACATTTAAGGAGTGTCCTGTGGTGGTACCAACTTTGGTTTTTAAAATGAGAACTTACATTAAAATGTTATAAATAGACGAAGTATTAATTTAAATAAATATTGGTGTCAACATTTTTGATTTCCGTCAACCTGTTAACGAGATCATTCATTTTTAAGTTTAGATAAGGGGAGAGTAGTAGAGCACTAATAAAACGCCGCCCCCCATGCCGCCACGCAAATGATACTCCACTATACTCTCTCTCTACTTAAACTTAAAAGTTAAATATCTCGTCAACAGGCTGACGAAAATCAAACATTTTGAAACCAAAATTTATTTAAAGTAATACCCCGTCTATTAATGGAATATTGAATATAGGTTCTCATTTGAAAAACCAAAATTAGTATTATTACAGGATACTTCTTAAATGTTGTGAAATATCTAAGTATCTGAAAATATCGGCTTTAACTGCACTTGAAAATCCCAAAAATGAGAATTTGAATATATGAGAAATGTATCCTAGAAAAAAAAATGGAGCAAGCACGCTTAGTGAATCATCTTATATATATACAGCACAGGTGTTCTATATAAATATCTACACTTGATGTTTTGAAAATAATTTTCTATATTTTTTTTGACAATTTAAGAAACAAACAGCTCTGAAATGTTGCATTACCATTCTTTTTTCATCCTAATTTTTGGAGTTGAAACGAAAACCTACTTTTGATTTTCAAAGAGCAGCCTGTATTAAAAATATCATAAATAAATGGAGTATTAGTTTAAATAAATTTTTGTGTTGACATTTTTGATTTCCGTCAACTCGTTGACGAGATATTCCACTTTTAAGTTTTGGATAGGAGTAGATCAATCGTGGAGCACCATTAAAACACCACGCGTGGTGCTGTCACACAAATGATGATCCACTACTACATACCACTTTAAAATAAAAATATACTACATTACAAATATGTTATAATTATCATCAATATTTTTAAGTTTACAATAATTTAATTGTTTCATTGCCACTATACTAACTAAATAATATTCATCAATTTGTCTATACCAAAATAATTTTATTAATGATTTTTGTAAACTACAAAAAAAAATGTAGAGAAATATCAATTAATATTTATAACAAATATTTTATTTTAAAATATATTTATAAATGACTATTTTGGATATTTTAAAACCAATTTTTTTTTTTTTAAATTTATATGCTTACTCTTAGTTTTAAACACATATAAAATATATGTAAAGTAGATGAATCAAAGCACAGGGCTGTCAAAATTATTATAAGAAAATTAAATTTTAAAATTTACATGACCCGGTAAATTTAAATAAAAAAATATTCGATGTAATTTTACTATGCAAGTCTCGTAATATTTTCTTCTATTATACCAACAGACATTAACAAGTAAATCACAATTTACATGATAATATTTTATTTTTTATTTTCAAACGATATTGTGGTTATTATAATTTTATTATTTATAGACCGGCACGTTGACTGAAGACGGGTTACATTTTTTCGGCCTTTTGCCGTACGATGGTCTACTACCTGACAAAACCATCTCCGACAACATAGTGAAAGATTTATCTCGAATGGACGTCACGTCTCCGTTGATGGCTACGATGGCCACTTGTCACTCTTTAACGCACATCCAAGGATCACTAGCAGGTGATCCGTTGGATTTGAGTATGTTTAACGCTACTAAATGGGTAAGATAAATAGTTCAATTTCTTTCTATAAAAAAAAAAAAATTATTTCGAATATAGAAGAATGAAATGGTCTGTACTAAAAAAAATATTACTGTCACTGTTGACTATACCTTATACTCTCTCATGACTGAACATATCAAACGTTGATAAATTAATCAACAATATTTTTGATATCAAACCGATTATATATATTATAATCGGTTTGATATTATGTTATTTGATAGATAGTTTATCAACATTTTCAAAGTATTCGTATTATTATGCGATTTTGCGTGTTCCTACTTATAAATAAGAAAACAAATTAGAATCAAAAAAAAATCCCTACAAGACAAACAATTATTGAAAATAATAAATATTATTACTTTACAGCAATTAGAAGAGCCAGGAGCAGACAGTTCGAGATTTGATACTTTATTACCACCGATCGTAAGACCGCCAAAAGAATTAAACACTGATGACGTAAGTGGTTTTCAAAGTATCTACCAATAAAATAAATATTGATCATGCTATTTAAGTGCCTACTAACTAAAAATCGACCATCCTTCTTACAATTATTATACTTTACCAATCACTTCTTCCTTAGCGTTTCTATAGATTAGTTTCTCATCAGGACTGACCTATATATCAACACTATCCTTCATTTTCTCTCTTCTCGATGGCTCTATTGCTATTATATCATTGAGATTTTCTATCTTTCATATCTTTCCATGTTCTGTCCTACCCCACAAGAAACCATTTCCTTTTCCACTTGTCGCACTATCATTCATCCAATGGATTCAATCACCTACTTCACAGTTTCTTTGATCGCACATAATGATATTTACTTATTGAATATACAAAATTACGATTTTTCAAATTTTGTAATAGATATTATATTTAATGTATATTATGTTTATCGTATTTGAATGATAAATGTAATTAAAATTACGAGTATTGTTACACAAATTATTTATCTTCGGTTTCTGATTCAGTCGTATAGTCATTTGAATCATCACTGTTTTCTTTGTTTACATTGAAATATTTAATAGTATTTTCTTTTAAATGCGTAAGGATTTAACTTGGTCGAGAAATGTTAATTAACTCTTTCAAGAGCTGGATGAATGTTTAATTTTTGTTAGTACTAAAATAAATTTTAAAAATTATAAAATTTACCTATAATTCAATCTTCATAAATTATGTAGACAAATAATTATTATGTTCCAAAAACGTGCCTATGTTTATTTATATTTAGAAATAAAAACTAGACATAATAAAACATAATTACATAATATAGGTACCTACTTTCTATCGGAATTTATCAAAAATTTTAAAACTATTTTTGGCGAGCTAGATTTCATTCTATATCATTGTCCGTCGCTTTAATTTAGCATATTCTGAGTTCTTTTTCCATCAACGTCACTATATTATAATAATTAGTTTTAGTTTTAAGCAACAATTTTAGCTTTAAGTGTTATGTTAAAATGAATGCTTGCCATTGAAGAATAAAAATAAAAATATCAAAATAGCGATTTTTATTTTACAGTCTCCGATCGAAATCGGTATTATACACCAATATCCATTTAACTCGAAAACTCAAAGTATGTGTGTAATCGGTCAAATATTCGGCTCTCGAAATTATACAGTGTACTGTAAAGGAGCTCCGGAAAAGGTTATCCAAAGCTGCGTGGGAGAATCTGGTAATAATTATATATTGACGAATATTATATAAAACATTTTACTATCGTGTATAATAAATGTAAATATTCGGTTTTTTTCCGTTTAATTGATTAATATGTTTATTTAGTTCCGGCAAACGTTTTTACCGTTTTGGAAAAATTTGGTACGTCGGGATATCGAGTGTTGGCATTAGCGTACAAAAACTTACCGAGGAAAGTTAATTGGAAATCGATATATCATCTTAAACTGGAAAATGTAATTATTTGTTATATAAGTACCTAATACCCTATATACCGTATATTATAATGTATGCGTTCATGTTTCTTCTTTTTCCGCTCATTCAACTTCATTCCAGCTATTTGGGACCCACAACTTCCACTTGACCTGATATCCCACCTCGAAAATACCAGTATCTTCATATAATTCTTAACAGCATCCAAGCACCTCTTTTTCGGTCTTCCCCTTCCCTTCTTTCTTCCTGTGTTTATTTGTATTACCAGTCTTACTGGTTCCGATTCCTCTCTTCTCGTAGTATGTCCAAACTAGCTCTATTTTCTCTCATTTTGTCTACTTTTGAAACAATGTCTATGCTATCTCTTATGTATTAGTTTTTTATCCTATCTTTCGTCGTTACTCCACTCATCCAACTAAGCATTCACGTTTCCGCTACACTCTTCTTTGTTTTACTTTTTTTCTTTATCATCCAACATTTCGAACCATACAAAATCTCACCACACTCTTATAGAACATGCCTTAGGGTATTTTAAGAATTTTGCGTCACATATATACCTGACGCTTCCCTCCACTTAATCTAACTACATATAATAATATGTTACACGTCCTTTTCTTTTTTTTGTGGCACCCGCGTACATCGACGTTTATTTAAATTATAAATAATACAAATTGTAAAATTAACGTTTTTGTTATAAATATTTACATTATTTATATATATAGGTTCAATGTGATTTGATTTTTCTTGGTTTTCTTGTTATGCAAAACAAACTCAAACCGCAGTCCACTCAGGTCATTCAACAGTTGAGAAAAGCAAACATAAAATGCGTCATGGTGACTGGTAAGTATTATTGCTATACATACTATATTCTGTTCGAGATAATAATCGTACAACGAAAATTAGACCGGGCCCAGTTTAATTATAATTACTGGGCCCTTTATTTTTGTCCATTAATTTTTTTTCTTATTAGTACTTAATTGAAAAAAACCTTCTATTAATTGAAAATTTAAATAGCTATACAAATTGAATAACTCAAAAAAGCTAGAATATTTTAAAAATTGTACCACGTCTATAAAGTACTAAGATAAATAATTGATAAAAATATGAATAAATAAACAAAATCGAAATCAACAGAAACTGTTATTGCATAAATATTCCATTTTCTGATATTTCTTTTTCTCCTCATCCTTAAAAAAAGGAGTAAGTACATGGAAAATCCAAAAATAATCTCACCAATGCACCAATAAGATAACATTCTGGGACTTAGGTCAAAAAGGACCAATCTTACTTTTAATCAATTTTGGGAAATTAAGAATAAAACATATTTTTGGGCCTTTTTGATATTGCAATAGTAATTTTTCTAACAATATTAGTCTTCTCAAATCTTACAATAATGATTATTGAGATACCTTTTACCACTAGAAAAAGCATAATATATAATTTTATATATTTGATCATGTAACTCATTTTCAACAAAAAGTGACATTGGGCTTTTTTTACCAAGCCCCAGCATAATTTCTACCAAAAATTATCCCATGGTGTTAATGATTAGAACACGATTTTTGGTCTAAAAGTTGTTCACAGAAAGAAAAACATATCATAATAAAAATAATACATTATCAAATACCAATACAAAGCTCAACATTTCAATTTACATGCAAATAGTAAATTAAAGTATAAATTAAATAATTATAACGATTTTGAATAGTTCCTTTTCTGACCCAGTACGACACAATAGAATGTTATAACAATACGTTTTTGTTATCATTTAATTCGCTCGAAAATTGAATGCATAATGTTTATTTGATAATCAGTCACAAAATAAATAATTTTTGTTTTCCAGGCGATAACTTATATACCGGAATGTGTGTGGCGAAAGAATGTTCCATGATCCCGACGGACGTCAGCCTCGCAATCATAACGGTGACGCCCAGTACCGATTTAAACAAAGCCGAAATGAAAATCGAACCTACGTTAGGCAGTAGCTTGCAGGTGATCACACCTATTCAATATTTTAGATTTTGAATGGAGCGAGGAATGTATTGGTTTTACAAAGATGTTTATTTTAATTTTAGATTCTGAGTGAAGCAAAGAAGCTTATAGTTTTACAAGGATGTTTATTTTTTATTTTTTTATCTGTGTACAACTTTTCTACCAAAAGGCTTGCTCAGATTTTTAAGTGTAGTACCTTTTCTGAAAAGAAATCAGTGTGATTAAGTACTTTAGAGAGATTATTTATCCTAAGAGTTTTCCCAGTAAATGTGAAAAACCGGGATAAAAAATGGGAAAACTGGGAAAATCGGTACAACATTAAACAAATATTACTAAGGAAAATATATAAAGCCTATTTAATTACTTTACTATAAAATAACATATATATTGTTGAAAAAGCATCACTATCAATTGAACTCCGCTCAGAATCGTTTTTTTGTAAGCAATGGTTTGTCATTGGTATACATTAAATTATATGAAAGTAGCTGCACCCGTCCCCATTATACTTGGACGTCTTTTGTTTTTTTATACTGTGTATACAAATTATTACAGAAATCTTGTTCCGAAGTTCCAATTATAGATTGAGTTTAATGTATTTTTTTTTTTTATATATAAAAATGTTATTATCACATTTTGACGAAAATCGTAAATATTACGACCTTTTAAATATATATAACCGAATTCTATTCAGAATCGTAGTGTATATATATTAAATTCCCCTCTATATCCTACCTTCCCAACTTCTCATCTACAACAGTGTTTTTTTCATTTATACACGATTCTCGTGATACACAACAATATTTGATATCTTAATAATAACTATAATACGCTGCTACAGGTTCCGGAAGACAAACTGTGTTATGCGATCGATGGTAGGTCGTGGTCCGCTCTGGAATCGGATTTTCCAGCTTGGTTGCCATATATCGTGTCCAAAGGTCTCGTTTTCGGACGGATGTTACCTGAACAAAAAGTGAAACTTGTCGAATATTTTCAAAATATGGGATACGTGACGGCCATGTGTGGAGATGGAGCGAACGATGCCGGGGTATTATATTATTATTATCTTCTTACTAGGGTCGAATTTTATATCACCTATTTTTTAGTATAGAAATATTCTTTGTAAAATAATAAACAACGGGATATAATAATACTACAATACCATACTATTTCTGAAAACATTTTAGGGATGAGGTTTGAAAATTAAAACCCTCAGAGAGTCTGAGGTTCATTTAATACTAACGTTATGTATAATGTACGCAATTTTATTCCATTGGCTTCATATATGGGACCTATATACTCAGTACCGTCTTCCTTATGCAACAAACATTAAAATAAATGCCAAATGTTTAAAATTAAGGTTATTTCATTTTTGGAAAAACAAACAACTAAACAATAGAGTACTAACTCTTAACTACCACAGTTTAAAATATACAGTAAATTTTAAACATAGATGTATTGTCTATCTATTATCTATGATTTTATACCGTGGAAACTGGGAACTACACTCTTATCATTTTACGTGTTTTAAATGTGGGACTGACCGCACTAGTTGACGCTCTGGTCACACCCTAGCCGGCTCCAGTTAATAAGTGGGTTTATACATAGAATAGAGCTGTTTGAATAAGACACTTAAACATTTTAATTTCATTTTCCAAATTTCCATTTATTAATTTTATTTCATCCAAAGTTCATTTATTTTTTAACCAAGTAGAAAATGTTTTTTTACAAATTACTGATTGTTTTTATTTACTCTCTATTGTTGTTAAAAACATAATTTATGAAGAATTTTTTTTTGCTACCTAATATACCTACTACAATTTACATAAATAGTTAAGTTTTTACACTTAATAAGTATGTCAAAAAAAAAGACGCTGTACTGAATTATCTATACATACATCACGTTGAGCAAGTTCTCAGTTATTAAATGAAAAAAAAATTGTTTTCATCTGGTTGAAACCATAACGTACACGAACTATTTTCATTCTATAAATATGATTAAATATTATCCTAATGATTTATTGATTTAAAATTTTGTTAATATATGTGAATATGAATTGAATTGTATTATTATAGTTGCATAGATTATATTATATTTGTTATTGCGATTATTTACAATAAGGAATAAGCAATTTAGGTACTATCTATATTTATATAATTGTTTATAATGGATGTAAATCTAAACCGTACATTTATACTGAATAGGTATTATTTATTAAGAAGGAAGGTCACGGACAAGTACTATGTTTTACTGTTCATTGATTGCGCTCTATGCGCGATATCTATATGTATCTTATTGGTAGAATATTTTTTAATTTTTTTATTTATATATGTAGTATCGATAAAATGGTGAAAAAGTGATAATAATAAGTGTAAGAAATTTTAATTTATTATATAAAAAAATTCTAATTGGTTAAAAAATTACTTTAAAATATCTTTAGTAAAAAATACATTTTCTCCCTCTGAGACTCCTGGAATTTAAGGTCAACCACCAAATCGTTTATATTATGCTTAAAAAGATCACAGAGGCAAAAATTAAATTCACAATAACTTCTTCCGGTATGATCTCTCTGGAAATTTTGTGTGCTTTTAAAAATAAAAAATGTATATCTAATCAAAGGAATATGATTTAAATTTTTAAAGATTTTTCGTCATCCCCTACTCGAGAAAAACGAATAAAACAGCATGTTAAGTATTGAACAATAATCGCACAATTTCCTACACTTCAGTTGAAGCTTTAACGTTCTTAGTGAATAATAATATATTAATATAGATACAAATCTAACAAAATAACAGTGCATAAGTAGGTATATACTTCATGGTGCCAATATCTGCATATTAATATCCATTAACCAATACAATGTTCGGTTTTAAAATAAAAAATAAAACCAACAGCAACGATAATGGTTTTTACAATATTTATTCATTGGTATATTTATAAAATGAAAATAGTTTATGTACGCTACAGTTTCAATCAAGTGCAAATACATTTTTTTTCATTTAATAACTAAAAACTAGGTCTACAAGACGAATACCTACATTGATAATTCGGTAAAATTGCATTAATTTGTATGGCATACTGATAAAGTAAAAAAAGAAAACGTAAAAACTAAACTTAGTTATATTATCAATAATAATAATTCGCACTTTCAATTTTTTTTTTTTCAAATATTGTCTACTAATATTGTCTACAAATATTGACTAGCTTTATATGAATTTCATACTACTGTGCGTGGGGGTAGAAACAGGTAGTAAATACTTTTGTACCTCGACAGGCGTTAAAAGTGGCCCACGTTGGCATATCGCTATCGCAGTCCGAAGCATCCATAGCAGCTCCATTTACATCCCAAGTGACTAACATCACCTGTGTCACGAATATGATACGAGAAGGTCGATGCGCCCTGGTGACCAGCTTTGGAATATTCAAATACATGACATGCTATAGTTTAATACAATTCATCACGTTGGTTTTACTCTACAGCGTGAGTATATTATACATTGAATTTATAAATACTGTATTGTAACTACAGGGCTCGGGATTTTATACGCTAAACAATCATTCAAATATGATCTATCAATAAAAAATAATATACTATTTTTGCTTTTGTTTTTTGTTAAACTGATAATTTTATTTACAAACATCATTAACAGTGGAGGTAATCATAAATAATTAAAAAAGAAAATAATTGCACAATTGCATTGATTTTTCGTGTATATTGTAAAAATAACAAATTCTTGGAAATATACATTCGTAGGATGAAAAAACAATAAAAATCATTATAAAATATCCTATCCATTAAACAATTTTAAATCTATAGAATCCGGGAAACAAATTTCTAAAAAATCAGAATTCTTCTCCTATTACTACAAGTAGGTATGTACTAGATAAGTGTGCTGAAGAAGCATGCATTTGCATAAAGTACCGAGCCTTGATTTTTATAGGCAATAGCAATAATATTGGTAGGTTTAATAATATATAAATATTTATAATTTAAAAATAACATTAATTATAAACGTTTTGGGTTTTTCTCCTGCAGCGAGGTATTATGTTAGGAAATTTTCAATTTTTATATTTCGATTTCGTTCTCACTACAACGCTGGCCGTCGTGATGGGCAATATCGGACCACCGACTAAAATCAATCCTCGCCGGCCATTGTCCAGAATATTGACTCCAAAAAATCTGATCCCGTTATTTTTGCAACTGTTGGTTTGCGCTTTGATACAAAAAGCGTCTTTATATTACCTCGAATTACAAAATTGGTAAGTATAATTAATATTGTTACATTTGATCCTTTTAAATATACTTATATTCTTAAAATTGTTTTTACCATCAAAGTAATTTTGTTACTATTTTTAACGTCGACCAAACGGCAGTGGTAATGCTGTATCAGTACTCATTGTTTTTAATATTTGGAATGTCAAAAGATTATATTTTCGAATTTTCGAATTATGTATATACACAGATACATATAAGTGTGCGCACAGGGGAAGTAGGAGAGGCAGCTGCTTCCTCTACGAAATTGTTCACTAAAATATTTTTAAAAAACAATTAAGGTACTTATACATATTTTGTTTTAAAATATTATACCCTAACGTAGTACCTTAAATACCCTTAATTTAATATATTGGTACAAACAGAAGGGACTTTGGAGGATTTCGCACCCATCTCCCCCCCGAAAACTCAACCAAGCATCCATTCCCACTAAAATAAAGTGCTTATCAAGTAAATATTAAGTATACATATGCAATATGTAATGAGAGCTGTATATGAACTGTGACTTTTTCTAAATGTCAATACGTAAACTGCGGTGAAAACAAATTTAAAATTATACAAACAATTTATTTTATACACTTATTGGGGATTACACTATATTGTATATAAATACATACCGATAAGATGATCGACAATTGTACCCTATCTTGTAACATTCACGTAATACGTATTACGGCTTGGCGATGAATTGTGGAATCTAGTTCATGAGTTTGTACCAAAAATGATTTTTCTTGTTTAATAATATTGTTGTTTAAGACCAATTTGGCTCATTAAATTTTTTATTTAAACATGTACTTAAAAATATAAATTATTTGGTTATTATTTATTATCTAAAATGTATTGATATAAGATATTATTTTTGAAATCGGTTTTAACATTTAAAATATTATTAAAAAAATTGTTTTTATTTCATTGTGTATGTGTAATTCTTCTAAAACTGAATTAATTTAATTGTTATTTTGGGTATTTAATATTTCTAAGTCTGTATTAATACCAAAACTTATATTATGTTTATTTTCTAAAACATGTTTAGCGAAATTTGAATTAAGGCAGTATTTTTTAATTTAATTTTCGAAATTTGTTCTTTATATCTTATTTCAAAATTTCTATTTGTCTTACCTATATAAAATTGATTACAGTTACATTTAAGTTTTTATAAACCAGCATTTTCAAAAGAAGGCGGATTTTTGTGAAGTTCTTTGTTCTATTGTTTATATGTTTGATTGAATTATATTAGTCTTAAAAGTGATTTTTACTTTATTTGTAAAAATTCTAGTGCATATATTTTTTTCTATGTTTTTAAACATTTCTTCGTTTAATTTTTTATATTCAGCAGCGTTTTATATTTCGACTGTGATATACCTGATGAATTTTTAATTCGAAACCGGTCGTATAATACACTTATCATAATGCTCCAGGCGACAAATTGATTCATTTATTCATTTTATTTTTATGTATACATTTATTTACGCGTATTAACCATTTTAATATTTTTATTTTTACTTTATTATTTTATTTTGTTTAAAACTATTATTTATTTTCCATTAAGACTGAACATTGTTGCAAATTCCATGTTACGATATAATACTTATTCCTACGATATACCTTCATCAACTGACGTCTAAGTACTAAGTAGTATTATCTCAAGTAAAAGAACTAATATTTAGTATATTATGTAAAAATGAATTTGGATTTACCTTACCAATTTAATACATTTTAATTTATCGTTACGGTATATACCTAATAATTTATTATTAACTTATATGTATTTATATACTTATAGTAATAAGTATATAAAATATTAAAATAAGTTGCCGCAGTTTGTATAATGTAACTTATCGGGTTTTCCGCAGCTCGTATAATGTTAAATTTTTTTTGCCGAAGTTTACATATCTAATTTTAGAAAAAAGGAAATTTTGCCGCAGTTTATTATCTCCCATGAAGGCTCAAACACTCTTCCAGGCGGCCGGGTTACCGGAAATTTGCCGGTGGGTACTTCTCATGTAAGCCCTTGATTTATACACGTTTTCCTACTTCTATTTTCTTAAATTAATTATTTTAACTTTGTGATTTTTTAAGTAGGTAGGTAGGTAGGCTGGGCTGGCTATTATTTGAAGAATGTTTATGATTTATATTTATAAATGGTTTCTATTTAATAATTTTCTGGTACAAAAATAGAACCCAGTAAGCGCCTGCCCTCTTTTAATTATTTCTATAAATTGTATGTAATGTTTGATTTCAAAAATCGTCATCCCCCTGACATGAATGTTAAGATTATGTCATTATTTTTGATTTTCCCATCATTAATTTTTAAAATAGCATTTTTCGATTTTTTATTCAAGTCATTTCGGTTTTGTCTTTGATTTTATCATTATATGGATGTATAATACTGGTTTAAAACTAAATAGACTTATACATTTCAAAATAATTCTCTCGCGTACATAAAGCATATACTTATATACATATATACATATATTTATACTTTTTTTTTTTTTACGAATCGATATTTTACATTTTAGATTCTGAGTGTAGCGAAGAATGTATTGGTTTTACAAAGATGTTTATTTTTGTATTGTGTACACAAATTCTATCAGAAATTTTGCTCCGATATATATGCGCAGCACCATTTCCGAAAGGAAATATTGATTAAATAGTACTACTTTTAAAAAGCAATTTTTTAATTTTCCAAGCAGTTTTCATAATACCTTGGAAAAACCAAGAAAAAACGTAAGAAAAATGGGAAATGTATAAAAATAATGTTTTTACTATTTTTTTCAATTTTGTTATTTGTTGTAAGTCAGTTAAAAATATTCGTAGAGACTTAAAATTTAGACAGGAAATTATTATTATTATGCTTTGTTAAATAACTCTATATTGTCTTCTTTGAAGTATGTTTGTCGTAGGCTAATGGTAAAACATATCTATTGCCAATAACAATTTTTCATCCTAAAGATCGCGAGTTTAAACCTGAATTTCGATAAAAATTATTTGCATTTTTTTCCCCCCTTTTACCTAAACAGGGGAAAACAAATGGAATTTAGGTGTAGGTATAACCTATCTAGCTATCGCTCGCTCTAACTATTTTAATCGAAAAATACCTCTTGATTTGTTGTGCAAACTTTTCTACCAGACATCTAACTTTGATGTATCAAGTGTAACACTTTCTGGAAGGAAATTTTATGTACATGTTACTTTAGGAAGGTCATTGTTTCGATCTTAGGAGTTTTCCCAATAAATGGGAAAATCTGGAAAAAACCGGAAAATAAATATTATTAAAGAAAATATGTAATGCATATTATGTTATTATTTTACCATAAAGTGACGTATACGTATATTGTTAAAAAACAACACTATTAACCGAACTCCCCTCAGAATCGTTTCCATCAGCAATAGTTAATCGTTGCGTACAGATATTTATATATATGTATATCTATACATTCAATTTCCCCTATACCTTCCCAACTTCACACCTACAACAGTGGCCTACCCACGTATGAAGTATGTCTGTTTTTTTTAATACGTAAGTTATTCGATATAAAGAAAATAAGTTTCTAACTATATTTTAGTTATCTACTTGTAGCTTCTTTAGATTTTGTCCTATATAAAATCGATTTAGTTTTACTGGTAGAAAACATAAGTAATATAATAGGTAAGAATTATAATGTTTGATATTGTATTTCAACATATTAATTATAATATGATTTAGGTATAAGCCTACGAAACCGGCATGGTCGGACGATGATGTGGTGACGTGTTGGGAAAACACCACGTTGTTTTTCACCAGTTCTTATCAATATTTAATATTGGCGTTCGTGTTGAACAAGGGATACCCTCACCGGAAACCGTTTTACAAAAATTGTAAGTACCTACTTAGTTGTTTTTTTTATTATTATTCTAATGCATGGTTTTTAAAAATTTTCTTTTTTCTTTTACCTATCCTATCAGTATCTTTCACATTCGTTATTATTATACTGACTTCGTTCACGTTACTATTGCAAACGAACATCGTCTCTACGTTCACGGACATATTCGACTTGATGAATCTAAACGAATTGCGTTACGCGCACGAACAGCAAACTTTTCTACTTACGTTACTCGCTTTTCCCATTTTGAATCTTTATCTGGCCGTTAATATCGAAGTAAATATACACTCTGTCTCTACTATTTTTTACAATAATATAAGACTATATATTCTAATATTATAATTTCTTTCTCCCAACCATATAGATATTCGCTGAATCGATATTATTGAAAAAAATAATAAACACAGTCAAACGGAAAAAGAACACCAAACATACGTACAAACAGCTAATTACTATTGAACCCAATATGTTCGTATGAATATTAAATTATTATTGTTACCTATACGTAATAAATTAATTATATTATTTTTTGTAATTTTTAAATAATAATATAATTTAAATATATATATTTACCTATATTTTTTTATGGAAAACATAGTGTAAACTTTTTATTTACAAAACTACGTATGGGTACGAAAATCCGACTCCTTTATATTTCCAGAGTTAATTTTTATTTTATCAAAATCTGGAGATTTTATCTATTACGAGAAGGATTAACATTTTTAAACCTAAATATGAAGTTTATTACCAAATACCATGAATATAAAAATAAGATGTGCAAATTCCTATACTGTAAAAAAATGTACGTATGTTGGTTTCTACAAGATGGAAAAAAAAATAATCAATGTTAGTTCCTATACAATTCCTATAAATTAGATACGATTTGATGATGCAATTATGCGAATTTGGGCACAGCAATCTTCTTCTAAAAATATACGATAAACGCTTTTGAAAGTTTTCATTACCTAGATATATATAATTATAATTCATATTTTATCACCAACATCCACATATCTTTTAAATTTTTGAAATTCTGAAGCTTTTTCAAGTAAATACATAAAAAATGACTAGGCTCTTTGCAATGGGGTTTACGAATGGCTCGTTTACGAACTACTTATTATTGATCAAAACCGACGGATATTTTTCAGGATTATTAATAATATTTAATTGAAGAAACAGCAGTTAGGTCTTTAAAAAGTTACAAACATAATAATAATTGTAATTTTATACCAACCTAGGTACTAATATATTATACCTACCTACCTAATTGTTTTATTGTAATTTATTACTTGTACCCTTTAAAATATACAGATAAGCGATGATATAGGAAGAATTGGTGCATACTATTTTGTTTATTTTAGTTTTTATTGAGTGAGGTCGTTGTATTTATCTTGTACATTTAATTAATTTTCCCATTGGATATTTTCTATTTTTAATTTGTATTCATACTTATCGGGACAGCCGATATATATATATATATATATATATATATATATATATTTATGTGTATATATGTATGTTCTAAAACCAATGCTTGTAGAGTTTTACAGAAAAAAACAAAATAATAATTATAATACGTTAACTGCATACGGTTCCTATCATATTTATTGTATTTAGTGAAGCTGTACATTTTTGTACAGTTTTTAACTATCACATTAATAATTTTATTTATTGATTATAAATACTAGTATAATAGTATTAAAAATGTAATCAATATAACAGAAAAGAACAATATTAACAAACAATACAAATTATTTATTACATTAGTCATAAAATTAATATTTTTAAAACATTACTTTTCTTGGTTTTTTAGCAGCAAACTGATTTATGATATCATCATAATCTAAAGATTCAGAAATATTTTTTCTATTCAAATTATTGAAAGACTAGAAAGGTTTTCTTGGCTTAAATTGTTTCTCAAATATGTTTTAATTAATTTCAATTTCGAAAAGCTTCTCTAGGCACATATCAAAGTTACTGGTATTGTCAGTAAAATTTTAAGGTTATTACCAATATTTGGTAATCATTCTAAAGAATATTTTACCACTGAAAAAGCTTCAAGAGCAGTCGTTTCTTCATTTACTATTAATCTGAAATTAACCAATTCATTATACAACTCCATGAAATTAATGTTTATAAACGTTGAAGTATAAATAAAATAATTTTACTAGTATACATGATAATGATGTTCAATTTATTAAATAAACAAAAATAAAAAAATAAATTATAGACAAATTGTAATTAAATCATATATCTGGACTGAATATTTTAAAAGTATTGTATAGAATGTCAAATAGTTACCTTATCATCTTTAAGAAATCGCTCAAAAGACCCTTGTTGTAATTTCAAAAATTTGTCTTTATTTTGTTTTAATTTTTTTTTGTCATTACCACCCTTATATTTTCGAAACTTGTCACAATCTCTACTAGTCATACTACGTAGAGGTGTAAAATAATAATTATATGAAAGTTAAAATTATTCTTGAATAAATAATAATACCCCTGAATTCAATTCCACAATAATAACACTATAAAAAAAAAAAACACATCACCAGCGACCTACTCGAGTGCTTGAAAGACAAAAACACACACACGCAGAACACTAGTGGTCATACTTGTCTCTACTCTATGCTGGTGGTGTAATATACAGTATAATATTAATTATCGTATAAAACCGAAATGTATATAAAAATATTAAAAATAGTATTTTATACTTCCTTATACTTACTTAGACTTCCCGGCCGCCACCAACACCGATAAGGCCGTCGCGACTGACGTTTAAAAAAAACCATTCCGCATCCGATTCATAGTATAAAGAATTATTTTCAACAATAAAAACTGTTTTATAAAAAATAATTTATAAGGAATTATAATTGCAATAAATAAAATTTTGGAAATTCAGTAAAATCTCTGAACAGTGGAAATCATTCCAGAACTGCGGGGCCTTAATTATAATTTTAAAATCGCGGTGCCCGGAGCAACTGACTCGATTACTCCCCCTCCCCCTACTCAGGCCATCCCTGAATGCAGTTTATATTTTATAATTCTTTGTTCTTTTTTTGTACCTACAAGTAATAAATTATAATAAAATTACTAGGGATATAATAATTGTAGTTCTTAAAAGGTCTAACTGCTATTAGTCTGTCTGCAACAAGCTTGAAAAACAGCCGGCGTTTGGAAAAATAATAAGTAGTTCACAAGCGGATTATACCACATCGTGAAGAACCTATAGTCGTTTTGCAAAAATTTTCCATATAGCCTATGAATATACAAATAAGTACCACAAACAGCAGTACAAAAATGTGTAAATCATACGTTGAAAAAGTAAATTGCATTAAAGAAAAAAAATTTAGAACAAAGGTACTAAAAAAAAATTAATTAACACGATTTTGTTTGGTAAGTATTTAAGTTTCAGAAATAAATCATATAAAATATAAAATACTTTTTTTTTACAATCACTTATTTGTCCGTTTGACTACATTTAATATTTTTTATAATTATATCCAGCGCCACGGTTGTGGTGCAGAGCTAGGTAAAAATTAAAGAGCTTGTGCGTTGACCGCAGCATATTTCACGAGACGGCCAACTCCTATTTAATGTGTGTAATAATTCCCGGTATTTTTCCTGAATCAAATTTCCCGAATGGAATATATCCCGAATAATATTTCTCCCGAAAACCATATTTCACGAACCCTTTGGCCTGAATGTTATTTTTCCCGAATAATAAATTTCCGAATATGATAGAAAAAACAAATAAATGTAAATATTTTATTTATTTTTTAATTAGATTTGAGCTGGGAGATATACCTATTAGATTTGACCAGGTAACAACATTTAATAATTGTGATACATACGGAGAAACACATTTTTAAATTTCTGTTCAGTTTGGTTGATAAATTTCACACGGCTCTTGTGCAATAATAACTAAAATATTGTCTGTCGAATATTTTGTAATCTTTATTTTTATAATTTATTGTTGTAGTTGTAAATATCATAATTTATATAAAATCAGTGTAAACATTTGTGAAATACACGTAAATAAACATTGAACATAATTATTATTATCGTTTTTTGTTCAGTATGTTTTAGTAGTTATAACACGCATAGTTATGTGTCCAGAGTTTTTGAAATATGGCACCAAACACTGGCATTACAATTTTGAAAGACACTAAATTAGTTTAAGGTAGCTTCGTATATGTGCGGTCTAAATTGCCCATTGATAGGAAAACATACTGGGAGTGTAAACAAGTACGTGGTAATAGCTGTGTAAAAGAGAAGTATCACTAAAATTTCTGAACAAAAAATAAATTTCGTACGAGAACCAACTCTTGAAGACCATCAACATGTATTCGGGTATTCATGTATTCAATATTCGGATAAAACGATATTCGTGTAAAATCAATAAATAGTATTCGGGAATTATACCATTCGGAAAAAACTACCTTCGGGAAAAAGGTTAGTCGGGAAATTTGATACGGTGAAAACGACGAGAACCTGTTTAATTTTACGGAAAATGGTCCGACCTCTATATAACCTAATCTAACTCATAGTGTGTATTTAAATAGTGTTATAGTAATATTAATAAATTATAAAATGGGGATATGAATATTCATGTAAGCATTGCATCTTTATTTGTAGTTTTAAATATTAGTAGCCGCCAAGCTAAGTTAAATTATATTATGCATTAAATCATCATATTTCATCAAATACAAACAATTATAAACAATTTATTTTTCTATACTAATAAATTTAAGAAATTACTTAACTCCTTTTCGATATCACAAGTTTTTTAACTTGAGTTTTTTTTTTCTTATCGAGGTTTTTACATGTAGTTAACTGTGTTGATATATCACTAATTTTTTTTATTAAAATGTATTATAATATTTATTTTACTTTTTTAAGATATTTTGACTATATTTTAATACATATACCAAAATGTTATAAATTATAACATTTTATGTAATATAATATTATAAGTTATAATATTATAATTTGTTATAAAAATAATAGGTGTTGGAACTTACGTACATCATTTTTTTCATGTCATATATAGGAACTTTCATAGGCATATCATTTTTCCACTGTGTAGGAACTAACATTAATTATTTTTTTTTACCTACTGGATGTCATGTAGGAACTTATATTCGCTCTACCCTCCTACTTCTCCGGCTACCATCAGTTATTATTGTTACTCTGAGGACTACTTACGGTAATATTTTAAACTTGACGAACCGAAAAGAAAACAACGACGAACTGACATCATAAATACGCAAGAGGTAACACTTTACTGTACAGTACTTTACACTTAAATCATCTTTGACGGACATCGCCATCACAGAAATTATTCTCCCTGGTTCATCGGCTGGTGCAACCGTCCGTCGTTGTCGTCGACTCGGTCTTTATTCATTTTCGTTTATTTCTATATGTCGTACGGTACCGACAGCTGCTTCATTGACAATCATTTTTAAGGGATTTTTTTTTCTAATTTAATATAGTACGTTATATATTAGTTCGTTTAATATTATCATCGGTGGCGTTAATAAGATTAGGTATATCGTCATCGTCGCTATGAACTGGTTTGATTACCTATTACTCGGTGTTATTGGAGCCACAGCCATTTGGTGTAAGCATAATAATATTCACCCGATTTATGTATATAACTCTTACAAGTTATTATTATTATTAAATAGCAATTCGTTTTATACATTCAAATAAAATTATTTAGTCAGTCAGGGGATTATCCTACATACGACCTACCAATATAAAAACCAGCAGGACGTCTTTACAAAGTGATTCTTTTACTATGGTCCAGTGATTTTCTCTGAAGACCTTAAGTGAATTGATTTCTGCTTTATTTTAACATAATTTACTATTTTTACCCTACTCCTTATTATTTATTCCTTAAATACTTAAATTAGTATTAATATTTGATTTTCAAATGGGACTCCCGTTTTAAACACAGATTCGCATAGAGAAAACAATACTATAAAAATTCTGATATGCATAATATCATTAATCAGGTAGGTAAGTATACCATTTAGGATTATAAATTATAATACCTAACAGTTAAAAAATGTAGACCTGATAGTAAAGAATAACTTCATATCCATTTTTGCATCATATCAAAATGTTTATGAAAATAATATTCTCTAAGCAAATCAATGTTTAAAGGGAAGGGGAGGTCTTGCAATTTGAAAATCCAAAGTGTATGTTCATTTAAGTGTAAAGTGAAGTAAGGATAAAAATAGTGTTAAAATAATGCATAAACAATTGAAAAAAAATTACATCATTATGTATAAAACTGGGTATTTTTAAAACATACGGATAAACTTTTTCAGGGGAGGGGGAAGAAGCCGTCGATAAAAATTTAGCTCTCGAGCTAAATTTTTTCTTCAGAATTCGTTTTGTGAACGTATTTACTGTGATTTATTACTATATAATAAACAGTATCTATAAGGTCTATGGAATAAACCTTAATAGGTATATATATATATATATATATATATATATATATATATTCTTTCGAACACTAGTGTTAAAACTTGCGTACGATTATTTTTGAGTGAAAATAATAATATAGCTTATCATTGTAAAAATTATCTTTTTATGTTAAAAAATTATGTTTTAAACTTTAAAACATAATTTTAGAACATATAAAATTTAAACGTTCTGTTACGAGAAAAATTCACAACATTCGGGAATTCCTCTTTTTTATCATAATGCTTACAATTTTTAGTTAAAAAAATTAATTAACTTTCCCGTTTTTGATCACTACCCATATTTAAATTTAGGTGGTTCATTTAAACTACGTAAAATGCGTTAGTACTGGCTCTACGCCACTGCCGACCACAACTGTCAAATATACTGAACCTAACCAGGCGCGTCCCTGAAGGGGAGGACGATCGCCCCGAACCCCCATAAGCCATGTGATGTTCTTTTATAAAATATCTATGATTCTTAAGTACAAATAAGTACAAATGCAACTGGTTCCAAACATAATAAAGATAATTCCGGATCTTGGAAATACTTTGATTGAAACAAGAATGAAACATTTCTCATTTATAAATTTCAATAAATATTCTCTTAAGGATGAGATAGAACTATGAAAAACTAAGTGGAAACAATCAATTTGCACAGATATAATAAAATAATATATTTTTAGAATCAAAATTAGAATTGATTAATTTAATTTAATTATTAGATTCTGAGTGTAGCGAAGAATGTACCTATTGGATTTATAATGATGTGTTTTTTTTTTATATATATATACTGTGATAAAAATTTGTATTTTGGACTTGGTTATATAATTTGTATTAATTATTATTATTTTTGTTATTCACATTATCATTATTTTAATTATTATTTATTTAATGAGAAAAAATAATTTAACTTTTAAATTGTACTGTTTTACTGCATTTGTACAATATATCTGCAGTCTTTTAAGCTAATATAAGTTGAAATTACATCAGACATAAAGGTTTTAAGTTTTTGTTGACCAAAGCGGTAGTATTCAAGAGTAAAAATTGTTCGCCGCTCATCCCCCCCTTCCCCATGGAATTGACCCGAAAACGCCTCTGAGCAATACTATTAACCGAGCTATGCTCAGAATCGATTTTTGTTACCAATGCTTAAATTTACTTAAGTACAGTTATACATTAAATTTCCCTCAATATCCTACCTTCCTAACTTCTCGTCTATAACAGTGTTTCACCCATCGTGCGAAGTATGTCCGTTTTTTTTCTTATCAATAATTAATATTAAATCTAATTATTTCCCCCCCCCCCCAATAGGCAAGGTCTGGAGACGCCCCTGAACCTAACCTACCCAATTGTTTTTTTTTTTTTTTTTTGACATGCAGAATAATAAGTAATTATAATTGTAAAAAATACCGTAGTTAATGAAATAATAATAATATAATAATATATTACTATATAATCCTATTAATCCGTTATGATTTTATAGTTCTGAAAAGGCACTTGCATCGCAAAGGAGCCAATAACGGACTGTCGTCTTCGAAACTGGATAATAAACTTGTAAACATATATAATATTATAATGATGTATTCAAAATGCAAAATATAACTATATTTGTGCTATCTAATCGACCTATTGGACTTTGATACTGGTCAATTATTTGTTTAGGATATGATGATATTACATCAACACGACAACGAATGTAACAAAAGTAAGGAAGAATCAAAGAAAGAACCGTACAATAGTTCGGCGGAATCTGTAGCTGTGTTAGACAAACTTTTTGAACATTTTGATAATCTCAACATTATTGACGAACCCGTGATGAGTGGAAATAATGGTCCTCCCAAAAATACAGACTGCAATAAGGTGGTCATTCATAATAATATTTATATTATAATTATTAAATTTGAATGTCTTATTTTACTTGCGAATCGGGATCTGGTGATTTTTGGATTTTAGGAAATTCTAAATGGAACTGACAGCGAAACGAAGGTGTATAGTCATTACAGCAGTTCTGTTACAGACGACGACGACCACGACGAGTCGGATGAAATTCGCGATTCTGATTTGCAACTGACTGGCGAGTTTTTTAGTGAAGGGAGCACCCTGAATAATAAATTGATTGCAAATGACGTGTTTTACGAATACAGTGAATCGGAACTGCATCTGAGCAATGTGGAATTAATGTTGGACAGTGGAGGAGAACAAGTGCTTGAAGTATAATATACAATAAATTTAATATTTCAAAATCAAGTTCCTTGGCTTGTAAGGGACGGAAAACAAAAATTAGCCTCCAAAAAAACTGTTTAAAAACTTCAATTTACATAAACACACAATGTGAAATTTTTAATTCAATTTCCTTGTTTTGTCACTGCACAGTGGTATATAACATGGCAATAACATTTTTTGAGCTGGAGTTAGAACTAAGTAAACTAGAAAAATTTTGTTTTTCTGTTATTTTGAAAATAAAAATTCTGATAGTTCATTAATTAATTTTGGCTATTAAACAATATAAAATAAAAAAAATAAAATGCTAGATTTTTAAATCACATATTAATATAATAATAAAAAAACAATTTTTTTTAAATTTAGGCCCCAAACAACAATTGTGAATGAAAAAAAAATTATTTTTTGTATTATTTTTTATTTTAAAAACCAGTAAAAATTTACCGAATATATGCGTTTTATAAAAGAAGTTCTCAGCTAATAAAATACATAATTTTGTATTGCATCCTGTTGCATCTGCAACTCACGAAAATCATATTGTCATAAAAAATGATGTTTTTTAAAAATTAAAAAAATTTGTATAAAAAATTAATTACCTGTATAGAATTTAATAATAAAATGTCAAATTTGTATTTACAAGTGCTAAATATGACAAATTGTTTGAGGGGGTGATCAGTAAATAAAAAGTTATGTTTGAAAATCATGTATTTCATTTCAACATTATTGATAAAATATTAGTTTTGGTTTAAATACTAATATATATTTCAGAAAATGGATCATTAAGTTTTTCATATTTTTCATTGTTAATTATAATTAATGCAAGAACATCATCAGAAAATTCCTCGATTTTTTGTTTATGGCGAATTTCTCAGCTATGGATCAGATGAAATTAACAACATATTTAAGAGATCTTCATTGGTGTTTTTGTCTATAGTTTTTTCATGTATGATTTTCTTGAATATTTGTATAGTTCTTATTCCTGGCCTTTTGTGATTGTGTCTGTACTAGAATTACATTTTTGTTTATACATAGATTACATAGATAGCCATTACTAATATCATACCCCCATTAATATAATATTTTAAAACTTTCTATACCATTTTCTTCTATATTTAATTCAGAAATTAAAAATAATCGTTTGGTATGATTTAAAAAATCTTGCATTTTAACCTCACAACAAGTTTTTGTAATAGTGCAATTGTCCGGATAACATTTCTCTTTGGTTGCTATAATAATATCATTTAGAGGATAAATATTCTCATTTCTTTTCTTCACAGATAGCCAAATATTGATATATTGTTGTTTTATTTTATATAAATAAATAAAAGAAAGAGCTTCGTCTGCACTATTAGGAATAGCTGGTTTTATGTCTTCATGTCATTCATCAGTCTAGCATTAGTAAATACAAATTTTACATATTGTATTATTAAATTGTGTACAGGTAATTAAATTTGGTCCACCATGAACAGTACTGTAGAACTAGTCTTGGACAAGATCACAGATACATGTATCAAAAATAAAATATTGTATATAATGTCTTTCTAAGTAGACTTATGTAATGTATCTATATATTATCAAATATGAAGATACTTTTTTTACTATTAATCTAAAAACCATAGTTTTCCATAATTATAATAATTTAATTTATTGTAAATTATAATAAGTTATAACAAAATATTCACCGAATTGGTATTGAATTAATTAGAAAAATTAAAAAACTGATTATCTAGTAAATGTCATGTACCTTATTCTTTGATACTTGCATCTATCGATTAACTTTTTTTCTGGTATCCTACCTAACACTTTATAGAACAATAGCACATTCATTACACTCTGATTTGGGGTGGATTACAAAATATGGCATGCTTTTTTCATGCCTACAGGAACAAACAAAGGAGCTTACAGATTTTATAATTGACTATGAAAGGGTTGATATCAGCAGTCACCAGTACAAGGAAACAAATGATATTACAACCACATCATTGGAAAATCCCAGAAATATGGTAATATTAGTTTTATTAATATAGTAATATAGAAATATGGTAAAATAATAATTTAATGATAAGAATATGTATTTTATTTTTGAGTTAAGTAAACTTTATAATTAATGGTTATAATTGTTTCAGTACATAATGGCGATGATTTTTTTATTGTTTATTTTTTTAAGCTGAAATAAGTTCATCTAATAAAATAAGAACTTAAATTATTTGGTAACCAAATCTTTCATTATATTTTCTAGATGTATTTTTTGTATATTTTCTCTGAAATTCGTCATATCTTGATTACTAGGTCACTATACTTCTTTGAAGTCCATAAATTAAAATGTTGTGAATGGGTTCTAGTATAAATAAAACCAAGGATATTTGATTTATTTAATAAGTAATTGTACAGTCTTAAATCTTAAACAAAAATTTATTTATAAAAAAATCGGCAAATATGAACAGCTGGAAATTATAAAATTCTATTGCAGAGAAGTTACAGAAATGTATTTTAAAAATATTGACATTATACTGCATGTTATTTTTTTTAAAATTACAATAAATTTGATTATTTTTCATTATAATTTAAATAGTTAATACAATGTAACCTAAGTTAATAAAAATGTAAATGTTAGTCAATCGATTTTACTTACTTTATCAGCTTTCCAGCAGTATCAAATTTATCAATTAAAAATGAATTCTCTTCCAACAAACATCCTAAAAAATAAATATAATTTTGTGAGTATACCTATGATAAACACTATAATAAGTGGTTATTGCAAACATTATTCTCTATTACAATTAATATTTATCATATAAAAATGTTGAGTTTAAACTAATATTAAGTAACATAATATTTTTGAAAATAGCTAATTCCAATAATAATTTTCAGTATTTTTTCTAACTATTATTATTTAAAAAAAAAAATATTTTTAAACTAATGTGCAGTTATGTGAACTGTGAACTATGTATGTCCAATATTATTTTAAATATATACCTTATTATATAGGTAATCACATTTGTAATATATATAAAATAATAGAATACAAAAATAAAAATATTTGTGGTGGAATATCTGGAGGTGAGACAGTTCGTAATGAACTGTTCTAGAATTATTTTTCCCCCAATAACTATTTAAAAAATATCCAAGGAAAATCCAAAAATGAACCCAATGCATCAATTAATTAAAATGTACTCCCAAAAACCAATGATGTTAATATAATTGGAGTAAGATTTCTGGTCTTTTACAGTTATGTTTTAAGTTTTAGTTTTTAGTTTAAGTTTTTAAGTTTTAAGTTATTTGCAGAAAAGAAATAATGAAAATTTAAAAATCAATTTTGCCAACTTTTGATGTTATCTGGCTCTTTGTGATTCGGCACAAATAGGGTCATAGGAGCAGGAGGTGTAAGAGGTGTAATATTTGTTAAGAAAATTATATCCAAAAATTGAAATACAATAGAAGCCAACTCCAAATTTCAATAGAAAAAAGAATGATCCAGAATTTAATTTCTAAAATCCCTAAAAGAAAGAGTGTATTCCAGATTAGTTTATTATGAGAAAAAAATTGTGTACTTTCATAATGATAATTCAAGTTTAAGCAATATCTAGTAAATAATTTTGAAACCTCCCCCTCCTATACGTCATTGTTTTCGTTTACAAAGCTATCTTAATTTTTAATTATCTATTAATATTGTTTTACTGCTTTTAAGGATGATAAAATCATTAATGCGCTAGATATGTTAAGAAAAGAATATTCTCAAGAATCTTTCGGGTCAGATAAAGTGAGTTTCTTATATTATTATCAGTGCTTGAATCTGTTGGAGGTATATTGGGGGAGGGAGGAAGGAAACAAAGACTCTGAGTACTAGCAATATGATCAGAAATTGTAATTAATTACCTGTGTGTTAGATTGAGTTCAATAATTTTAAAGGAAATTTAATTTATTCAAATTCTGTAGACCATTTAATTTTTCAATTTAATTTTTCATATTCAAACACTGATTATAACAAAATTCTCTTAGTTGATGGTCATGACCCTAGGTTAGGTTAGCTTAAGTGACTCATCAAATTTCTTAGGGGATTTTAAGTGAATTTGATTTCTAGTTTTTCAACCTTTATTTTAATACTATATAACTCCTAGAAGTTAAAATATAGGCATGAGCTCCTGTCTATATTTTAAATTGTTAACTCATAAATTGTAAATTCAATATTTGTGTTAAGCACTTTTTATGGGCAGATTAAATGTAAAGTTTTGAAAATAATGTAAATAAGATAATCCAACTATTCTATAATGACTGAAAAACCCAAATCATTTCTTAAATAAAATAATTTATTATTATTATTTGCTATATAGGTAATATTTATTTTCAATTTATTACAGGGCAATTCAAAAACTAACAACTGGGAAGATTATTGTACGAAAGAGCATGATGATAAACACAATACGCTAACAAAATACATTAATGTTGAGAATACAGTAAAAATTTTTTTTTTTTTTTATTTGAAAATTTACAATCTGTATTACATAACACAATAAGTAAAATAGATGACTGATATAACACTATATACATAAAAAAAATACACATGAAGCACATGATGAGGGAAATCATCCAGCGATGGTACCCTCTAGTAGTAAAAATTAAACATTCAACTTTTTTTTTTTTGATATTATTAAATTTAATATGGTGCTAAACATGCTGTGACTTGGGTTAATAATTAAGCCCTGAATTTCAATATAAAATACATCTTTTTTAAGGAGTGGTCCAAATACATAATTTAATTTGTGTAACAGATACTTCAAAAGTGAAACTTTTATTTTATCTTTTCTAATGGTTTTCTATTGTTTGTAATTTTATTTGTTTTAGGTGTATACTTATACATAATATGAATTTTTAAATTGAGGCAATTCAAAATATTAACTCAAGAAATTTAGTTTCATGGATTTAATAATTTTTAGGTTTCATTCATCAATACAAGATTGTCAATTGGTCTATTTTGATTTCGATAATCCTATAATTTTTTACCTGTATTGCCTATTTCGTTAAGGCATTTTTTTTTTAGTAGGTTTAAGGGAATTTAAATCATAAATTTACTAATAATATTATATATATATCTACTACCTAATGTATTTTTTTACTAGGTTTACTACCTACCTAAATACACAAAAAATAAAATGTTATATAGTAATAAAATACAATATTGCTTATTTCCATTAAATTTTCCTTCTTAACTGAATAAAGAAAAAAAATTCACTCTATAATATAATAACAAACCTGTGAAATATAATATGTAAATGAAATTAAAACAATATATAAATTTATATTTATGTATTTTATTTAGGATTCATCAAAGCTGAGTGACTCTGGTAACAGTATTAATGAGAAGTTTGATTGCAGTAGTCTGTGTTCTGAAAATTCTACACAGACATGGCCAAGTACTATCCATGGTAATTCATCTCTAGATGACATTAAGGTAAAGTATCGGATAACAAGTAATTTAATTGCAAATCCTATGAATTTTATACCTGATAGAAAAACTATTTTGCTGGTTTTGGTTAATTAACTTAAAAATAAAATTTTTTCAAGTATTAATAAAAATAATTTTGGTTAAATAAATAGGTTGATTCAAAATACAAGTATATGTTACAAACATTTTATCATATAAATATTCAAAATAGAGAAAAATGTACCACGCAAGTTTTTAGATATGTAAACCATCTAAAATCCTTTGCAAATTTGACAGAATTTCAACACTAAGATTAATTTTAACAACACTCAATTAATTTATTGAATTTCGAATATAGGTTATCAATGAATTTCAAAAGTTGATCCGCCCCATCTAAAAAACAAAAATTTACAAATTATTTTAGGTGTTTATACATTAAAAAAATATTTTTCGATTTTCAATATTTACATAATAAAATTACTGCAAAATAAGTTTTAAATCACCCTGTGTATAGTATTATACAATGAAAATAAGGTATGAGAATGTTTATAAACAATTTTAAATTGTTAATAATTTTCTGATTTTCTAATAAAACACAATTTTGTTTATACTTACAGTTTGTGGAAGACAATTATAGTAGCGTCTTCAATATGTCTACAGATTCTGATATTTACAACCAAGGTTTCATTGAACCAAACGAATAGGTATTATTTTAAATAAGAACCAAAATATTGTAACTATCATAAAAATAATTACAAAAATAAATAAAAGTAATAGTAATAAATGGGGAACTGATTTATATGTAATAAAAAAGTCAATATATGTAAATATGTATGTTATTATTTTTGCCAAAATTTGTAATAAAATCAATATGTAAATAAATGTAAATAAAACAATAATATTATTGTATTTGGTTTAATAATTAAAAGTAAAATATACAATTCAATTAAATAAACAAATAAAAATAACAAGAATAATGATATTTAATGAGAAAAATTACCAATTACATACATAGATTAATTATAAATCGCAAAAATATAAAATTTAAGTACATGTAAGTAAATTATTATGTATACAAATTTAATTCCAATTTTTTATATAGTAATATTATACATTTATTTTCTTTACAATAATATAGAATACAATGAAATAATTTTTCTAACAAAATTTAGTTTAAAAAAAACCCTTTTATATATTTAAGTTTGTCTGCTTATAATGAGGTTATACTATCCCATACAATTCATAATTTTAAAGATCATGTCTTCAATTTTGTTTTATTTTTCTTTTTTTTTTGTAGAATTGAAAGGTAGTTTATGTAATTCTATAAAAAAAAAACCCCATATAGTTTGATTAAATGGAAACTCTAATGTAGATTTTAGAAAAAAAAGTTGAAAAATAAGAAAGAAAAGAATACAATCATAAAAATATTAATTGGCGAGTTGAAATATGAATATTGTGAACTCATAAAATACCAAAGATGAAATATTTTAAATGTTTTATAGAAAAGTATTTAAAAATTAATTAAAGAATTAATAAATAAATAAAATAATAGTATATCTGAAAGATAATAACATTATAAAATAATTGTATAGATATACTACCTATCACAAACTGAAAAAAAATAGATGTTTAATATTTCTCCATACTATTTAAGAATAAATATAAGCAATTTTAAGTGAATTTGATTTCTTTATTTTTTTTTAATCATTGTAGAATTGGTTAAACTTTATTTTAAAACAATTTTTGATTATTTACTACTACTCCATATACCTTAAATAAGTACATACTTTTGTTTTTCAAATAAGAATATCACTTTTTGAACACAGATTTGAATAAAGAATATTTTTCTAAAAATGTTGATATGCATAACACTAATATCAGATTTACTATTTATAAGTTTAGTTACAGTTCAGATAGGAGAAGTAGAAAAGGGTAATGAATTGAACACTTATTTTTAAATGATAAATTGATAACTTCCTTACTTCCAGTCTAAACTTTTAACTGTAAACTCATAAACAATAAATCTGATAGCAGTCTTATGCATATCAATATTTTTAGAAAAATATAATCTATTCGAATCTATGTTCAAGAGGTTCCTTTATTAAAAACAAACTACGCATATACTTATTTAAGGTATCTGAAATAGAGGTGATAAATCATTTAAAATTTCAAATTTAAATTTAATTATTTTAATATAATTTTAGTTTCAATTTATTGTTTTAAAATAAAGATTAAATTATTCTATAATAATTTTTAAAAAAATTGAATTTGCAATAAAATTAAAAAGTTATCTAAATTTCAAAACCAGTCTTATTTATCTAATACAAATTAATTTATATTTTTCTCCTGAGAAATGTTTACAACCTTAGCGATTTGGGTTGTCCACAAAATTGATTATCTTTTATAATAATACTTATATAAAATTAATTTGATTAAATTCTTAATAAACCAATTATAACAAAATCAATCATCTTCATCGGCACTATTAGAAGTATTCTTAATCTTTCTAATTTTTTCTCGTTCACATTTACGACAAATTTTTTTTTCTCTGTAACATTTTCGATGGAAAACTGATTTACACCGATGACACTAAAAACAGAAACTTAATATTATTGTAGGCATAGAGTAACTGCTTAGAGTTAATTAAAGTTGTCGATTTATGACCTATAATAATTCTATGAATTGGTAATTTTGTTTTTTTAAATCATAGAAGTCATAAGAAAATTGGAAAAATTGATTTGTGCACTAAAAATTGACTGTCTCAAATTATAATACATTATATAATGAAAAACAAGATACCACTAAAATTTGTTTGCTAGTTATAGGGATTTTTAACATCTCAACCAGATTGATTTGCCATAACAATACATGACAATATTTCTCCAGCCATGTTTTAAGGTAAAATAAATGCTAAAAAACTTATTTCTTTTTTAACTTTTAAGTATCTAATTATTGGTATTAAAAAGTACTTTGTAAACTAACAATTTTTATAATTATATTGCATTTTGGTTCAATATTTTAATAATAAATTACATACCTACATTTTAATATAGGTAATAATAATCATAGGTTTACATGACAATATGCTAAATTAGTTCAAATCCTATCTAATGGACAGAGTAACTTATGTAAAGATCAATAATATACTTTTTAAACCCATTCATGCAAAATCAGGATTTCCTCAAGAGTCTTATTGGCAGATTTATTTACTCTGTACATAAATGACTTTGAACCAGTGAATTGTAACATGAAATTGTAAACTGATGATAAAATGTATAATGTATATAAACAATTTTGACTATTGCCATAACTTTCAACATATATTCAACACTCTTCACTAATTGGTATCAAGTTAATGATATAAAAGTGAACTACATAAAATGCAAACAAATTTAATTTAAAAGAAAAACACATTATATTCATTTTAATTATAATGGTACTGACACTGATATCATAGTTAACACACATTCAATAAAAGACCTTCATTATACATACAAAATTATATTTTAAAGACCGCAAAAATCATATTATAAATAAAGATAAGCAAATATAGGGTTTTATAAAGACACACTAAAGACTTAAAATGTACAGCAGTCAAAATATTATATACCTGATTAGTACAATTTCACCTAGAATACGCCAGGAGTATATAAAAACTGAACATGCAAAATGGAATTTTAGTTTCCAATGAACAGTAAATCCATAATATAATACAAGTATAATATTATAATGTAGATAAGTTTTTATTATTTACTGAACTATTGAACCAAAATGATACTTAAATAATTACATTAATAGATAGTTATAAGGTACTGTTTAATACTTATGATTAGGTGATTTAAAAAAAAGGTTCTTTAGCATTTATTTTGTTAGAGCACAGAGAAATATTGCTATACATTATTTGTATATAAACTGCAAAAAAAACTTGTGACATTGCACAGGATTTAAAAATTACCATAACTAATAAACAAATTTTAATGGTATTATTTTTCCTATACTATACTATGCCCAGTGAGAGAATGCACTGATTCTGTGCATGTTCATTACTAGTGGGAATACCGGGACTAACAAAACTCACTCTCACTGAACAAAATATAATGTAAGATGATACAAAAATCAACAAATTTTTTTTTAGTTAGATGGTCATTTATAAAATTATTTTAAATGATAATAAATTGCTAATATTCTTACTCGATAATTATCGCGAAGGTCAAAGGGATATATTATTTTAGGGTTTTGACAAAGTTCACAAATGAAACCTTTTTGGCTACACACAGCACAATTATAAATATGTCCTCGGATAATTTCAATCTTGTACTCTAGAAATTCAAATAAAGTACCAGAATAGATCTCTTGGAGATCCTGCAGAATAAAAACAATTAAACTATAAGTTCTCTGCACACTAAATTAAAAAGCATTTACTGAGAATGAGTATAAATGAATATTGTTAAAAAAGTAAACACGGGGCCATATTTCTTTGGACAATTCTTCAATGTTGTAAAACTTGCAAGTAGATAAGTAATTATACATATAATAAATTTGCCAACGCAATTCCTACAACATAATAATAAGTGGCCATTTAAAGATAATTCTATTGTCAGTTTATTATATTTTTGCACTTGCTTTTGATTTTTTCATTTCTTTGTTAGCATTGTACAATTTGTGATGAGTACTCCTCATATTGAAAAGGGGGTGATATTGTATTTCTCCTAAAAATGATGAACTACTGTTTGACACAGGATATTGTTTGAAATCCCAATCCAACAATATTTTCACAGGTATTGGCCAAGTTTCTGATCCAAAGCAATGCACACAATAATAACATGATGTAAAATTGCATTTGCTAAATAAAAAAAAATATATATATTTATTCAAATATATTAAATATGTTTTTAATACTCACAAATATTCTCCAAAACCAATGCCAATAGTTTCATTACAACTTTTACACATGTAATCTTGAGACACTAAACCGAGTTCCTTTGGGGGCGTAAACAAATATTCTAAATACTGTTTTAAAAGCTAAAACCATATTTTCAAAAAATTAGTATCATAAATGTTAAAAAATAATATTAACAATACAAATAATAATTACATCCAAGCTCAAATGATTTGGGTGTATGGAAACCTGAACATAGTCTTTTTCATACTGTAATTAATAATTAATAATTATGTAGCAAATTTAAAATAATAATCATTTTCATACATTTCAAATATTTGTATACATAATTTGTTTAACTTACATCGTCCAAGTTTTCTGAATCAGTAGCATTAGGTTGTTCAATTGAGTTTGAGTCTGTTAACTGTTTAAACAAATCCTCCACTTTAGGAAGGGTCAATTTCTTCGCTCTCAAATTATAGGATTCTAATAAATCATTGAAACTTTGGTCTACATGTTTGGGTTCTTCACTAGATAAAATATTTTGATTATCTTGCTCAGAAGATTCTTCTAATTGATCTTCTTTTGTTGTAATATCACTGCTAGATTTCATTGCTGCACCAATTTCTTGGTTAGAAGTGTTTTCTTTTACTAATTCAATAGAATGTGTGTCTTTTTTAACATAGGTTGTATTGAATGAAGTAGATGGCTGATTCATTATCAAATTCCAACCAACATCTTCGTCGATACCTACAGTGGGTTTATATAATACGTCTTCATCGATAAAGGATGAACAAATGGAGGATGTATAACTGCCCTCAGACTTGTCAATTTTTAATGCGGGTTCATAAACTTCTGTTGCTTCAGCAAGTTCAGCTAGTTGAGAATTGTTGCGACATAATGGGTTATTTTTTAAAGCTGGAGTCCAATAACCAGCTAACATTAATGTGCTGTTAGGCCAATTATTTAAAAGACTTGAGTTCAAAGTGAGACAAAACTGATATTGTTCAATTCCTTCTAACAGATCAATAATTTGTTCAAAACTATCACTGTCCCGTATAATTGCCGTCTTGTTATAAAATTTAATAATGTATCGACGGTATTTAAAAGCAGACATTAAATAACTACGGAACACACCATCATTTAATGTACAACGAATCCAAGCACGGCATCTTCCCACATCAGTTTTAACATGTTTTAATGAATTTATCTGAAATCGTTAAATTAAAATACAGTACAAACAATACAATAAGCCAAACTATTTAATCATAAAATAAAATATATATTTACTTGATCTACAATACCGCTTGGAGAAAGAACAAGAAGATAGTGCCAAAAGTTGATATTCACATTTTTATCCACATCATCTCCAATCACAATAGATAACTGACTGATGAATGATTCCTTAAGACCATGTAAAAAAAATGCTTCCAAGTTACACAATAATTTATCAACAACTTGATTGGAACTAGTTATTTTTTCTTCGGTATCTTTAAACTCACTGTGAAACTCATTTAATCTTTCTTTAAAATAATGTATAATGGACACCTTGATAGAATTGTCCTTGCGTCCCTTATCACTAATAATATTTCTTAATAAATTATTCATCATTATAATTCCTTTAGGCCAAATTGGTGTAGTATAGATTTGGTATTATGGAGTGCAGACCCTGCTCTTATTATACTATAATGATTTTTGACAGTTAAATCCACTATAGTAGAACCTTGACGTGATTCCATTGAACACCCAATTTGACCGCCATCAAAAATGGCATCTAATTTGGGCCACAGAGTTGAAAATTCAACTGGTTGCAATGAGCTAGGTTTGTTGCTCTCATTTGCACTCGTTAGAGCGATTGGATTTTTTAAATGGCTAACAATTTTACACACGAATCCACTGTTAGGTACGCGTATAGCAATTTTTGACTCGTTAGGATTTAAAGAATTGTTCAAGGAAGTTGTTCTCTGAAGTACAACTGTTACAGGTCCAGGTAACAATTCATTTAAAATACCAAATGGCAAATGACTAATTTTTCCCCAATTGTAAATATCATTTACATGGTATGTACATATAGCAATAGGTTTTTTTAGATTACGGCCTTTGATATTGTACAATTTAGATATAGAAGTTGGATTTTGAGCATTTGTCGCTAGTCCATAAACAGTATCCGTGGGAAGTGCTATGACACCACCTTCATTAATTAGTTGAACAGCCAATGAAACTGCTTTCTGTTCATATTTATTGATATCTATTAACTTACTCATTAATATTGATTGAGGCTGTTTTAATTTCTTTGGCAAAAACACCAATTCAATTTTATTAATCCAATATTTAAAATGTTTTAAATTAAAGTACAACATTGGTTATACACCATCTATCGAAAAGAAATTTTGAAAACTGAAACAAAAAAACATAAATGCTTACACTTAGTAAAATAAAATTGTTGTTTTCATATTATAATTGTGTTTGTATTTTTATATTTTCTCCCATTAATTAAATTTTTCTTCAGTTTCTTTTTATTAAATGTTTTCTTTTAATAGATTAGTAGATATACACAAAACCATGGTTAAATTTTAACAGAAAATAGAAATCTGAAAGATTATTTTCACTTTTTATGATCTGACCGTTATAAACAAATGTGTTTATAGGTAAATATTTATGAAATAAATTAAATTTAACTTATCTTTTGTAGAAGATCAATTAATTTTACAGATTTTAAAATCAATTTAACGATTTAACAATTTAATTTAAGTCAAAACAGAATTTTTATCATATAATATACAGTGTAATCACGATTGCGGGTACCACTAAATATTTCGCCTATATGGTGTTGTATTATAATGGAATTTTCGGGAAATGAACGGGAATACTGAAATACATATTTTAAGATAAACTTGTAACTTTAACCCGTTCGGTTTGCACATGCGCAATATAACTTACTTTTTTTAAATAACAACACAATTTGTTTTCTACAGATTCAGGTAATGTATTTTTTTTTAAACAATTTTTATACAAAAAGTTTTTTTCTAATTACGAAATTGACCAAGTTGGGGTAAATCGAAATTTGAGTTTATGAATAATTTATTTTTAACGAAATTTTAACTTATAACCGGTTAATATTTTTTCCACCACGATGAGTTGCAATATGTACAATATGTGCTTCTAAAAATAGATCTATTTATGTTGTCATAAAGTTTAAATGGGTTAAACACATATTTGACACTTATTTTATTATTTTTAATGGTTATGAGTTAAAATTCCGTTAAAAACAAATTATGCATAAACTCAAATTTCAACTTACTCCAACTTGATCAATTTTGTAATTAGAAAAAACTTTGTACACAAAAATTGTTTTAAAAAAAATTATTTTATATTGCGCATGTGCAAACCAAAAGGGTTAAAATTTACAAATTTGTCTGAAAATATGTATTTCAGTACTCCTTTCATTTCCCGAAAACCCCATTACAATACAACACCATCCCTGAAATCACAGTATATAAAATGCAAAAAATTTATCTAGTCGTATTTATAAATTTATACCTTATACACCCACATTTTCCAAGAGTATATTGAGATAATTTGTTTAAAGTATGGAATAGGTACAAACAATATTGTTTATTAATAAGTATATATTTACAGACACAGACTGGTTATGTACCTATTAGTTTTAGCTATTATTTACTGACCAAACTGCTCATGTTGCTATTAGTTTTCCATAGTACACATCACAATAAAGAAATTAAACAGTTAACAAAGTAAATAATATTGAAATAGGTTAATTTATCGATGAAATACCTGTGTAAATTGAATATATTTTACTTTTATAGTAAATCCGATGTACACAATGCAGCAAGCAGTTCAAAATATTTGTATAGATAGAACAAAAAAAATAAGTCAAAATTTAGTACATTGTAAATCGACATAAATTTACATTAAACATTATTGAATAATAAATGTTTTATCATAATTGGAATAGTGTAATTTCTGAAAATATAATAGAACAATTATTATTTCAGAGAAAATAAAATAATTAAAAATAATTATAATATACAACGCTGTGTTTGTTATCTGTAATTATGGTTTCATATGGATGACGACATCCATATTAAATTACTTATTGATTCGTATTTGGTGAGTGTACCTAATTTGATAAAATGTTTCCACTTATAGTTTAGTTTTACATGGGCACAATGACAACATTGAAAAGATTATGGTAAAGATACATACTCATTGTTGAATTTTTGGTCGTTTATTTCCTGTTGACAGAAATGCAATGGTACCTGTAACGAAGTATTCAACGAACCGATTCGGCGTAAATTCAAGATTTCGAGTGGATTGCACGTGCAGTCAAATAGCAAAATTATTACAATATACTGTTTTATGTGACAATGTCGTCCGATCATCGTTGTCCGTCGAACAGGCCACAGGTCTGAATAGCCCGATAAGTGATAACCATAAACGGCATTATCAAGTATATCTTCCAAACCCGTGATATCAACTATAGTCATTAACCAGACCAATTAACTAGAACAGCGGTTAACAATCAGTGAGCAATGTGGTACCATTGAACTATAAAATAAGTTATTGTATAGTTGAATGTGTGGTACACTGGTACTGACTACTTGGCCGCAGACGTTGGTTAAGGAGACGAGGATATATTGAGCCGAGGGTCGGAAAATTGAAAAAAACGTATATTGTGTTAACATAAACGTCTACACTTCGATCGAGATGTTTAGTAATAATCACATAATTACCGCCATCGTACAATTTTATTGACTGTCGTTTTCTTACAATATACCTACAGTGTTCTAGAAAATTGTTGTCATTTTTATCACGTTTCACCATACTTGGCGTGGAGAGTAGGCACGTTACGATGTACTTATTCATCTCTCGTTTCGATTTTCTTGTTGCATATGTTTCACTGATTAATGACGCGTGTGCAATATACACATTATATATAGGTGTATGTCATACGTATATAACATAATACACTATAATATAATATTATTATGTAGGTATCCACGGTGGCGCCGAACCTGTGTATTTGGTGTTAATCAGCCGCCTCGCCTTGTTTAAAGGGTGGGTATGTCCTCTAGCATTGGTAATTTAGTACAAAACATTGTACATTTTACAATTAATAAAAGGAGCGGAAGATAAATATTACGAATAATGTGAAACTAGTCTATTACCAGACCGCCGTGGCGTTCATTATGTGATTGCATTAGTAAAAGTAAATAACTATTTAACTATAATTATTTAATTAACGGGTTTATGATAAATAACCAATAGTACGAAATAAATTTCTAATCCTTCAACAGTAACTACAGCTAGTTTACGGTGTTGTACGCCAGCTATACAGTATGCAGAGTGAAAACATGTACACGATTGTATTGTTATTATTTAATTATTTTCGGTACTGTCCGAAATTACATACAGAGTGTCCCACGACGATCTGTTGCTTGAAATAACTTGTTCTATTCAATATTATATTTAAGTATTTTCTAAATTTTAATGAAAAGTAATTCATAAATATCAAAAAACGATTTCCTTTGTCAATAGCTATATTTGAAAAATCAAAATCGATTTTTTGTCATTTTTCGATTGAAGCAATATTTCATTAAGAAAACATCGTGTATATGTTACCCGTAACATATACACGGGCAATGTAGAAAATCGAGTGTTTTATAAAATTCCCAGGCAATATATAGAATACTCAATGTACTTAATTTCCACACTTGGCTCGGGCATTCTATACAATGACCTTAATCTAGCAGACAATATTTTATATTTTATGTTTTATGTAAAGGTAAACTAATTAACTAGAAAAACAAAATTGTTATATAAATTTAAAATATAATTTTTAATTAAACATTTTTTTAAAAAAAAAAAAAAAAAAAACATTTTATATTTTATTATTTATTAGACCATGGATTACTACCATGGCATTTTGACGTACAAAGTCGTTCTGCAGCTTAGCATTTGCATTTTTGTAAACATGAACATCGATCATATCCCTGACCAACTATGTTTGATAATTTCCTTACCAATTCCCTTAAAATATTATTTAATTGTGGCACGTCTTCACATTTAATCAAGGACTCCTTACACATTATAAATTGGTTACAACGATATAAGTTGGGAAGGCAACCTTCTAATGTTCCAATATCATACATAATATTATTGACTATTGAAATAAATCCATAACATATTAATTTTTATAACAAGCAAACTTAAATAATAACAGTTTGTAGGAATACCTGATAATAAAATTTCAATAATATTACGATTTATTAGATTTGTTTTCGGGTTTACATTTTTCAGTTAAATTTTTTTAATTATTTTATATATACAATAAAATCGTCATGTTTTGATTTGCTTAAATATGTTATATGTAATTTATAATACATTATTTGGACCTTTTTTCATTAATAATTCATTAAATTGTAAATTAAAATGTTCCATATTTAGCAAATTAAATTTAAATTAATCAATAAAACAAATTAAACTGAAACACTGATCGTATTAATAAACGCACTACACTTAGTGATACTAAATACGCAACTATACGTGTACACAACGAAATGCCATAAATGTATTAAGTATATTATCAACGTAATTTACAGACTGATTGGTAGGTATTATTTAAAAATAATTTAGAAAATTCACTATCTTTATTTCCTATATAGTTGATAGAGAATTAAAAATATGAGACTCGTTATCGAATGAATTCGCATCTTTATTACATTTAAAAATCAGTCAGGCAGTTAATTTATTGGTAATTTAGTTCCATATTGGTTGTTATAGTAAACACAAATTTGTACACAATAATGTAAACACAATATTTATTTAAGTTCATATTGCTCTTAATAAATTGGCCATTCTTTATAATGACAATAAAGAAGATTCTTGAATAATTTTCAAATTGCCCGAAAATTCGAATCGTTCTATACAATACCCGGGCAATGTATATAATGGCCCGATTATACACATTGCGCGTAACATATATACATTTTAAATAATGAAATCGGTAACACCGTGGCGCACTATAAATATTTGCTATTTTACCTATAATTTTCTTTCGGGTTTTTTCTAATTATTTTGAAAACCCCTGAGAAAATCAAAAATTGAAGTCTTTAATGCACCAACTAGACAAAATTACCTTAAAGAAAACGTGCTACACTTTGTATATCGGAGAAAGATTTCTGGTAAAAAGTTGTTCACAGACATAAAAAAAATAATAATAAAAATACAAAAACATATACACCATACGAATAAAATTGTAATAGTGAAATCAATAGAACCATCGTTATATGCTCAGAATTTAAAATAAACATCTATATAAAACCAATATATTCTTGTCTATGTCAATTTCAATATCGGTTTCTAATGACCATATGAATAATTTCTATGCTAATTAAAAATCAAAGTACTTAACCTAAATGGTTACATATAATTAAGGCATGGTATCAACCAGAAGTGATATGGTATCGGCTGCATGGCGTTTTTGAAATCGAATATTCGGAAAATAATAATATTATTTATATAAATATATATAATTATATTTACATGTATTAATAGGTAGTTACAATAGTAAAAAAAAATAATAATGACATTAAATTAATCATAAATCAGATTAATAAAAAATATTCACATGTTCCGCTAGCAATACTTGATAAAAAAGTCCAGTGACTCACAAACTGCGTAAACATTCCTACACAGGCGTTAGATAGGCAATAAATAGGTACACTAAAGTTAACTAAAGGACGCTAAAAGGGAATAGTATATAGTAATTACGTGTGGTGCAATAAAACGGCTAAGAACTTAGACGATTTTAACGGCCGATACAAAATAGAAGGAAATCCCGTCGAAAAAAATGTATTTCTGCAATAACTCAATAACTGTAGAAGTCAATGACAGTGTAACGCCAAATTCGAAGACTATCTCTGAACTTTGTTAACGTATAGAATTAGTAGGTAAATAATTGTTTAACGCTAGATATAAAAATAACACTGAATGAATCTATATAAAGTTATCAGTCACCAATTGATGGTTCATTACTGAAAATACGTCTGTATGAAAATAGATTGGTAAAAAATATATTATTGCGGCCAGGTTTTCAAATGAAATGAGAAAGAATTAAAATATCTTGTCGGAACTTATAGTTTTATTGAAGAAATTACTGAGTTGTTACTTGTTAGAGCTTAGATTTGAAGATTATGTTTTATCGTATCACTAAACACCGGCATTTCGTCACGAAACATTTTTTTTCATTTGAAACCGTAACTTAGTTTTTTTTTAACTTACGCGGGTAGGATTTCCACAAGTATATATAGGTCTGTTATAGGCACATTATATTAAAAATGTACCCCCCCCCCCCTTCTGATTTTTGGATCAAGTATATCTGGCGGAATTTAGTGATAAGAAAGTGGTTTTGATGCCAAACAATTTGAGTTGGCACTTTGCACAAGTCCCCTCCATAGTTAGATACCATAAATTTGATACAATAACCACTAAGAGTTAATTTTTAGGTATTGGGTAGGCAACTTATTAAGCTAATAGCAGTATAATTACAGGAGTTGAATAAGCAACATTATATACATATTTGGGAACCACTGAACTTTCTTATCAAATATTGCTAGCAGAACGTACGTCAATAACAATTAACTAATAGAATATTTTAAATTCTGATTCTACTACCCGTACTTTATGGTCTGTACTACTGTTATTCTTAATTATTATATTGCGAATTTTCGTATTTAAAACTTGTTAATCCTCAATATTTAAAAAGTTATAACACAATTTTGCTAAATAAATTAAATATCTCTTAATTTGCTGTAATAAGTAAAAAAATAAAATGAAAATTGCTGTTGAAGGCTGTGCTCATGGTGAGCTAGAACAGATTTATAACACTTTAGAACTAATTGAAAAACGTCAAAACATAAAAGTCGATTTGCTTATATGTTGTGGAGATTTCCAAGCAACAAGAAATGTAAACGATTTATCGTCAATGGCAGTTCCTCAAAAATATAGACAATTGTGTACTTTTTACAAGTATTTTATTGGATTTTTATTGTTGAAAATATCAAATGTTTATTTATTTATTTTTTTTAGATATTATACTGGAAAATTAATTGCACCTGTTCTGACAATATTTATTGGTGGAAATCACGAAGCCTCTAATCATTTGCAAGAATTGAGTTATGGAGGCTGGGCAGCACCCAATATATATTATATGGGTTTAGCGAGTGTAATAAATGTTGGTGGTATTCGTATTGGAGGAATTTCTGGTATTTACAAACCCAAGGATTACATGCGTGGTAGACATGAAAAGCCACCATATAATGAATTTACAAAAAGAAGTATATATCATGTGCGACAATTGGAAGTTTTTCGATTAAAACAAGTAATATGTTTTATTTAATTTATATATATATATAATATAATATTATTAATAAAAGCAAACCATTTACTAGGATCAGCCTAATGTATAGAAAAAAAAAAAATATTGATGCTTATATTTCAGGATTACCTCACTTTTATCTTTATTTTTAAAAAGTAAATTTTATAATGACTAATTGAAAAATAGCCAAAGAAGTTAGTCTTGTCATTTTGTTTGAAGTTAATTAAAAAAATATAGTACATGGCAAAAAGAGCTTTCAATTATCTTAGGCGCACAACTACATATTCTTGACTACCTACAGGAATTATACAATTAAAATAACTTTTGTTCTATTATATATTTTTTAAATTATTAGTATGACTCTGTGCTACAGTTAATATATTATAAAAAAGTTTAGAAGGGGCGGGGACTTTGAAAAATAGATTTTTAGAAAACTTTTATTTAAGTATAGTCATTTATTTTCTACAATTATTTGAAGTTTTGGCAAATGTATGATTTATAATATTTAATACATAGTCAGAGCAAATCAATGATAATGATTTTCTATTTCATGTGTTAATACAATTCAATAATACTACTGACTACTAATTAAATATATAATAGATTATTTTTCCAATCAAAAATTTTGAACAATCAAAAATTATTTTGAAAATCTATTTTTAATTTTAATTTTAGGTTCTCCTTCAATTTGTTTTTAATATATTAAATAAATAACTTTACTAAATTATTAACTTAATTAATTATATAAAAAATTTTGAATAGTTATTTTAAGTGCCAGATTATCATGGGAAACTCTGTACATAATATTATAAAATAATGAAATTAAAAATTAAATGATTAAAATCAAATTAATATTTATTTATTTTTCTTGGGGGGGGGGGAAATGAGTCTTAATATCCAAAAGGTTCTTTAAAAATGAATTGTCTACCAAAGAAATTTAGATTGGTTTGAGTCTAAATGATAGTGAGCTGTTTCCCTCTGTCTTTTATTTTACCACTGTGGTTGGATTCTCAAAATTCAATGTATAATTTATTGTATTCTGATCATAATTAGAAGTTTTGAATAGGCCTGTTTTACATTTATATATAAATTGATGATGTTAGTTAACTTACTTTATTCCTACTGGTGCTAAAAAATGTATAGAATTTCATATTTTCAATAAAAAATATAAATATATTATTTCTTGTATTATCTTTGAAAAAAATAAATGAAGTACATTTACAATTGTTTGCCATAATTGATAAATTATTGTTATTTTAATGTATTTGATGAATTATTACAAATATAAAATTGAATTTCCTAATACAAAGTTGTATGTGTATAAAGATAATTCTCCATTTTATTGTTAGAGTTAGATTTATTTAATATTAGGCTAAAAATATGGTAACTACAACTAAATCAGAATTTTTCAGTAAAATATATATCAAACAAATTTATATTAATTGTTTATATAAGTTCAGTCAAAAATCTCTAACACAATTTTATAAATTTTGTCATCAGTCCAAGTTAGATAAGGGATTTTTTGAAGGAAACTAATATTACCTTTGAATCTATTAAGTGATTTGTTGGTTTTATTTGATATAAAATTTGACTAGAACTTAAGTACCATAAGTGATTTTTAAATTTATTGAAAGAAACATGATGTATGTTCATTAACTATTTTGGGTTTTCCTTTTGTTTTTTTTTAACCCTCCCCCTGAAGTAAGTGGCCATTATTAATATTATAATTAGGGCCCCCTACCCTAGATTTCAATGCAAAATGCTCCTTTTTTTTAGCGATTTTAGACAATGATTTCAAAGTACATAATTTGATTCACGTACCAGAGACTTCAAAGATGAAACTTTTAATTTAATTTTAAAAGATTTTTTTTGCATTTTTCATTTTTAGAATACTTTTTAGCATTTTTTAGTAATTTTTTCATTTATGTGCTTATTTGTACAATTTATGACTATAATATAATATTGTATTTGCTGTGGCGGATCCAGGAGAACACAGGGGCATGTGGAAAAGGAACCATTGGACTACAGTTTTTATTTATATTTTGTATATTAATTTAATATATAACTTATAATTAATTTACTGAAAATATAATTTATGGGCCCCCCCCTTTTAAAAATTTCTGAATCCGGTACTAAGTATTTGTAGATAATATAACCATCGATTAATTAATATACCTGATGCATTTAATCTATAATACTACTTAATAATTTAAATTTAGCTAATCCAAAATATTACCCATGTTTTCGGGTTTTCCAGTCAATCAGTCAAATACAGCCCCTCAGTTAATACTATTTAGTCACTAGTCAATTTTTCCAATTTTCTGTTTTTTTTTTTAATAATTTCCTAATAAAACAATAAATTTAAACAATTTATGTCAATTTTTAAGGAAATTTTTGTGGTAAAATGCAGCTTTTAAAGGCATTTTTAGATTTTTTTTAGAGCATTTAAATCTGTGCACTAATTGTAATAAAGAAAAAAAGTTAGGGGATCTACAGTAAAAATTTTGAAGATCAAAAAGTTAGTATCACAATTTTACAACTTTAAACCATTTATAGTTTTGTTTATAACTCAATAATAATTAAAACATTGCATATTACATTTTTAAATTCAAGAATGTTATTATAAAAGCAAAACGACTACTACCCTATGTTTTTATATTTAGAAAAATGTTAAAGAAAACATTTCAAATTAATCAACAAAGGCTAAAATTAAATTTAATGTATTATTTATTATTCTTATAGTTAAAAGAACCTATTGACATTATGTTATCACATGATTGGCCTCAAGGAATTGAGAAGTATGGAAATGTTAAGCAACTTGTTAAATACAAACCCTTTTTAAAGTAAGATTTGAACATGATTTAAACCCAAAAGAGAATAGTTTCAAAATCCTTTTAATTATGTTTTAGAGAAGATATTAAAGAAGGTAAATTAGGTAGTATACCAAACCGAGAATTGTTGCATGAATTAAAACCAAAATATTGGTTCGCTGCTCATCTTCATTGTAAGTTTGCGGCTATAGTCAACCATACACCAACTGAAACTGTAAGTAGTTTTGTATTGATATTAATTATTCTTTTTAAATTCTAAACAATAGACAGCAAAATAAGAAGAATTAGACTAAGCCAATCTGTTCTAAATTGTGTAAAGAATTATAATGACAAATCATTTTAATATTAACATTACTTTATTAATAAATTAATAAAATAAAATAATTTTTGACTGTAAATTAGTATATACATATAATTGTTTTTGTTATTTTAATGAATCTTGACAGGATGAAAAGGAAATAAAAATTACTAAGTTCTTATCCCTGGACAAGTGTCTACCACAAAAAAGATTTTTACAGATTTTAGATATTCCTCATGATGATTCTAAACCAATTGATTTGGCATATGATCTGGAATGGCTTTCAGTTTTGCATCTTACTAATCATTTACTTAATAGTAATACGAATATTTATTACCTACCAGGACCTTCGGTTGATGAAAGGTGTTTACATAGATTATTAATAATAAAATTAATATTTACAATAAATAACTAATTTTTATTTAGGTATGATTTTACTCCAACTGATGAAGAAAAAACAACTGTTCTTAAAATGTTCTCAAATAACTTAATAATTTCAAACAATTTTATTAAACTCGGAAATTATAAAACTAAAACCAATCCTCAAACAACTAAATTTTGTAACACTCTTAGAGTAGATGATCCTTTTGCCTTGGTATTAGGTCACTGGCCTGGTTATAGTTTGTTTTTTGATAAACAAGAAGATGAAGATTCTGTAACAGATTCTACATATTCATCTTTTTTAAACTCTACTGTATGTTCAAATAATGACAATGAATTAAATGAGACAATTGAAACAACACCTAAAACTCAATTTGTGTTACCTGAGCCAAAAAATGATACTGTGGATATAAATACAGATGGAGAGTCACTTTTGAATAATTTTAACATAGCAACAGCAAATATATCTACAGATGAATCAAAGTATGAAGATTCAAATATTAAAAATAATTGTACATCACAAAGTAAATATTGTTATATTATTAATACAAATTATTTTATTATAACTGATCAATACTATTTTTAGTTTTTGCTGAAGAAAATTCTACAAATCATTCACCATCTAAAAAGATGTGCCTGAAAAGAAGAAATTACTTAAATATGAATGATAATGATAGTGAATAATAAATATATATTCATAATGATTTTAAGGTTAAAACTTTTACAATAACTATATTTACATAATGCACCCAAACATTTTCTATACTTCACTTAATATATTTATTTTATTTTATATTAGTAGTACTTACTATTATATATATATTTGAAAACATATTTATTTAATTTAATGAAATATTTATATTATAATACAAAACTATAATTTCGCCATTTTTGCACATAATTTATAATTTTATTGGTCTATCTGTAATGTAGTTTTAATTAATTTGTATAAATATATATATTTATATAATATATTATAATTTAACTCATTTTTAACTTATTTATTATTTAATAATTATTAACTTAAGAAGCCTTAGAAAATAATTTTAAAATCAATACAATTAATTTGTTTAAAATTTTAGTGGTTAATATAAGTTACTTGATATAAATCTTTTTTAGTTTATTATGATTTTCAATGTTTTTTTTTTCAATAAAATATGTTTTTGATTCTGAATATAATGATATAATTAGAACTTTTTAATCAGTTTTATTTTCTAAGTTATATTATAATATAATGAGATTGTACAACATTTCAAAAAACTTCAAAACTAAAACTTCAAAAATATTAGTTCCTGAAAATTTCTGATTGCACCATCATGTTTGGCATTGATGATATTATCTTTTCTAAAAGAAAAAAATGTATTTTTTGAAGGTTTTAAAATTCATTTTACATCACTTATTTATTCACTGGTTTCCCCAGTAAAGTATTTGCCATGTGTTACGTCTAACTAAAGTTCTGTGATTGAATTTTTGCTTTTCCCTTTTCCCCCACACATAGATATAATCTGTTTAGAGTTGCTCATTGTGGAATTGAGAAAATTATATTATTCAAAGATTCTATCTGGCTCTTGGGGTCAAAATTAAACTTTAAAGTATTGGAAAATGCTATTGAGGTTTTCTATTAGTATAATGTCAATAAAACAATAATCGGTCAGAATTTCAATATTTCAATTTTTAACCTTTTTCAATGGCATGGCTTTTGGGTAGATAATAAATAAAGAGTTAATATCTCATGTATATTTTTGGAATTTGGAAAATGTTAATTTTAACTAAAGAACATTGATAAGATAAGGAAGGGGAAGGGAAAATATAAGCAATTTTTCAATATATTTTTTTGACCCCAAGAGACAAATTTTCAGAGATCAAAATTTTCCTATGACAGTAAAAATGCACTAAACCTCTCTTTTTTCTGTAGGAAATGAGAAAATTAAAAATTTGTTCATTGGAAAGATGGGGCCACAGAAAATATTTGTACTTATCGTTTTGCCTTATTTTGACTTTTTTCTACTCAAAGAGCCAAACTTCAACTAAAAAAGGAAACAAACACATAGAGCTTAAAGATTCTAGATCTGAGTGGTCAAAGAACGTAAAATGAAAATTGGTTACTTCTTGTTGAAACTGATCTATATAAAGCTATGTGCGAAATTTGTAATATTACAATGGTTGGTGAATTAATGAACATCAAAATGGTAAAAGTTTTTAAGTATCTCCAACTTTCCATCTAGTTTCAATACTGATGTTTTCAGAGTAGAAATAAAACTTTCTATGTTCTCATTGCAAGGCACAATATTACGTTTCTGACAATGGGTTATTACTTATTTGTCTGATCTTATTAAAGATATCTTCTCTGATTCAAACAATTCCAAAGAAATTAATTTCAAAATAACCAAACTGACAATAATAATTATAGGTAAAGATAATCTAGATACACATCAAAAGAAAAGTGATGAATAAAAATTATTTTTATTTCATTTTTTTTTAAGTTAAAAATATATGTGTTAGTTGTTAACTTTACCAAACAGCAAAATTATTATTAAAATTAGTACCTATTGGATATCCTTTTATTTTTAAGCAGTTTTACTGTATTGTTATTTAATGAAGTAATATATATTTTTGTTTTTATGTATAGTTAATGCAATTATTCTTATTTTACAATTTGTTAAAATCAATTTTATGTTTTCATTTATATATTTTTAATTACTATGTCAATATGTTATATTATAGTAAGTACTAAGTATATTATATTTATTAAAGTAGTGATTTTTATATTTAAATTTTTTTCATATTCTTGACACTTAAATATTTTTAAAGGAATAAATTGTTAGATTTTATTTTTTAATTCTGTCAACATAGGCTAAGATAAATTTTATTTCTTTATACTTCTTAGTTCTCAATGTAATATATAAAAATTTTGTAGTTATCGTCATTCACCATAGATATAAGATATCATGAGAAATTAAGAACTAAAACAACTTAACAACATTTTACAATATTATTTAAAATACATTTATCAAACTATATTGATTTGTCATAGATACCAGTTTTCTATACAGGAAATGCCGCTTATTAGGAATATAGATAATTGATACAATCACGTTGTTGAAACAAATTGTGTAGGAACAGACCAATCGTATATTAAAACCAATTGTTTATTAGAAAAAATCGGTTAATTTTGAATCATAGGTGTCAATTGAAGTAAAATTATGGGTTAATAAGAAATCTTGAATAATATTTTAAATTTAGTTGTGTTCTAATGAAAATATGTCACTCATTGGTTGGTGGATTATCAATCGAGTACTAGTCAATTGTTCATTAGAATTAGGTAGAAAATTATTAACTATTGCTAGTTATTTAGAATATAAGTTATCTTATAGTTGACTGTTCTTTATATATTCGTTCAAATTCAATATAGGCGATAGTTTAATTATTACGTTCGCGTATTATATATATATATATTATTAAAAAAAAAATGATAAAATTATACTTTTTTTAAAAAATTACTCATAGGGTAGTGTCAGGGGTGATTCCAAGGGAGCTTAGAGGCTGCACCCCGCCCATGCCTGTATTTTTATTAAAAACAACTATACAAAAAAAATAATTTATGTACTATAGACTATTGAGTCACTCTAGTTATTTTTCATATCCTCAAATTATAATAAACTAGGTATGATCACAGAATAAATGATACGCATGCACCCATTTTCCGTTGCTCTTCACTTAATAGATCAATATGGCGCTGGTCTTTCACTATTTCTTATTGGTTTACGATTACGTATTCCATATATAGTACGTTAAATTATGATATTAAATTACACTCTAAGGCCCGTTCTCACTAAAGTAAACGTTGATTTTTAAACGGAATTTATAAGATAATCGATCATAATCAATCGTGATCGATTATCAGCTATATACTCAGTTTAAGAATCAGATAAACGACTATTTTTACATTGGTGAAAACGGCCCTAAGTTAAAAGCATTAACACTAGAGTTCTCTGGTGTTCATGGTTAAGAGTATTATTCAAAATACCGCTAAAAAATTTTAAACCAATCAGAGACGGTAAAAGCCCAGCGCCATATTTGCGTTGTTTGAGACAGAATTACGCCCGTTGATATCATAGTATCATACCTAGTTTATAATATCATGGCATAAAAATATTTTGTATTTGTATAGCATGTTTAGAAATTTAGAACAGAATATTGTTCTATTCAGTTTTCTAACCTTTTATTACGTGATATATTGTTTTAAACAGGACATTATGGACACGTATGTAATTTCTGTACCTATCAAACCATTTTTTAATTAATCACAACGTTGTTAACCACTTATTATTAATAATATCCATCGTGTTTGTAGATATGAGTAATATATATGCACGAGGCACTTAGCTGTTATATTGGTTATCAAAGAAATGGTCAATTGTTAATTACCTACATAGAAGATAGAACTCACATCATGAGTTCAACTTCAAATTTTGATGAATCAATTGTAGGTAAGTCATATGATTGCCTAGCCGAATATTTATTTTTCTGTCTATTTTCCAACAACCGAAACCATTTAACATAGTCTCACTACACTTTTATAAAACTTCTCTTTAAATCTCATTGAAATTCTCATGTCCCATAAAATACTTGACACTTTTCTCCACATTTTTCAATCAGTGTTGAAACCAGATAATTTTTCTATGGGGGGGGGGATTATAATAATGACTTTTTTTTTTGCTCATCTACCCTCTTACTAAGACCAGTCAAATTCCTTTAATTATTTAATTATTTATTAATTTACTTACATCGAACAGGGGAGGAGCCAACAAAATTTCAGGGGGGCAAAAGCCCCCCTGGACATATACTTGGATTAAACACTGTATCCAACCACACATCCTCACAAAAGTCACTTCTTTTGTACAAAAAATCCTAGATACTTAAAACTGTCTACCTTGTTTATAACCAGGACTGGGCAAGTAAATGATATTTGTTAACACAGTTAAGTTATGTTAAATATTTTTTTTCAATTAGGTAAATTAAAAATTAAGTTAAAATATACCATTAACTTAACTTCAATTAATAACTTAAGTTAATTGAAAAAAAAATATTCATTAGTTAACTATTAAAAATTAAAATACCTTATGAAAGTAAATGCAAATATGAAATATTACTTATGTATCTAATTTAAAACTTGTGGAGTTAGAGCATTTATAGAACTCTAATCATAATTCAGATTCAGAGATCACTTAAATTTAAATTTTAGTATAGTTTAAGTAGTAATTTTATTATTCAAAAAAACTGCACACAATAAATAACTTAAATAAAGAAATACATAAAACTAACCAACTATTAGTTATAAACTTTTATTCATAATTTCTATTAAATTTTAACAACAGATAGGTAGTACCCAAGTAGGTATAATAATACCTATTAATAAAATTTGTGGATTTTTGACTATTTATGTCTTTATTATTATGATAAATTAGTTGTTATTTGTAAATATGTTATCTTATTTTTTTTTTATTTTTAATAATATTTTACGATTTTCTTCATTCAAGTTAATTTTAAATCTATGAACTTAAAATATTTTAAACAGACAACAGTAATAAATTAAATATTTTTCTAGATAATATTAAAATTCAAAATGAACTTATTGTGAATAATAAAAAGAATATAAATTAAGTTAATAAGTTGGAAATTATTTAACATTCAACTTATTTACTCATTAATGCCTGTTGTTAGCTATCTTGTAAATAAAAAAAGGTGTATATTATAAGGAATTTAATTTAAAAAAATAATGTCTTACATTTTTTATTTATTATAGTATTAAGTAGAAGCATACTAATTTACTGACCAGACTAAACTGCCCCGACCTTGGCTTCTCATTTTCCTGAAATTTGGAACAATGATCAATAGGCACACAGTCAAGTAGTCAACTTTATGTCCAAGAACAAGGAGCCCAAGTCTGGGCAGTTTAGTCTGGTCAGTAAAATCCAGGTCAGTAAATTAGTCTTCCTCTAATAGGTACATTCTGGTAAAAGACATCTTTATTAACACAATAATAAAAATAATGTAGATATATTTAAATTTTAAAGTTTTGTACTTAATATTTAACATTAATTTAATTTATTATTTAAATGTACTTTAAATTTTGTTAAAAAGTAGTAATGACTTTCAAATTCAAATTTTATAAAAAGTAATTGTTTTTTAACTTGTTTTGTATAGTTTTATTTTTTTTTAATGTCTAGAACCATTCAATTGGAATAAATATCATACATTAAGAAAATTGGAAGAAGTACCTGAAGATTTTTTTCCCCATGTAAGTAGTTTATGTTCAATATAAAAATTGAAATGTGTAAATAAAAATACCTACATATTTTAAAACAATTATATTTTTAGGTTTGTAAAAGTGAACAAAATGGAATAGAATTAGGATCAGTTGTTGAAGTTGAAAATGAAGACAAAAATGGCTATTGGTTTGCCAGCGTGTGTTTATCTAAAGGAGTTTCAATCAAGTATTCTTTAATAAATTTATGTAATAATGAAATAAAATAAAATAAAAGCAAAATATTATTTTAGTTTACACTATATTGGTGACAAAAATAATAAACATGACTTTTGGTTAGAGTTAAAGTCATCAAGAATCCATCCATTAAATTGGGGAAGTAAAAATTATAAAAAACTAGTACCACCTTGTCCTGATAGATTTCTTCGGGTAAATTCAGAAGTTGTTAAAAAAAAGATTCAATATTGTGAAAATAGTGTACCTAACTCTATCTTAAAAATGGTATGTATATTTTTATTTTAACAAACTATTAAATTCAAAAAAAAAAAAATTAATGGTTTGTATTTTTAGATTCTGAGTGGAGTGAAAGGTGTAGAAGGAGTAGAATGATGTTTCTTTTTGTTTTATCTGTGAACAATTTTTCTACCAGAAATCTTGCTCCAATTTACAAGTGTAGCACTTTTTCTAAAAGGAAATTTTCTTGTAGTTTAAACTTAAGAGAAAACATTTTTTGATTTTTCCTAAGAAATGGCAAAAACAGGGGAAAACAGGTACAATATTAAAGACAAATTTTAATCCCTATTTAATTATTTTACCATAATATGGTATAAATATTTGTTAAAAAAGCAACACTATCAACTGAACTCTACTCAGAATGGTTTTTTGTGTTAGCAATGGTTTATCGTTACTTACAGTTATACATTAAATCCTGATTTATATCCTACATTCCAAACTTCCCACCCACAACAGTGGCTGCATTATTCCCATTATTCTAGGACAACTTTATTATACTTTTTAATGTAATAATTTGAATTAGTATTAAATTATATAAATTTATTTCAGAAAGGTGTTCCAATTTATAACATATTCAAGCCTGGAATGTTTGTAGAAGTTCAAGATAAAGAATACCCTTATGGAGTTTGGACTTCAAAAGTAATATAATTTGTGTAGTGTCAATATTTCTTGTAGTCTCTCTCTTTTTCTTAGTAATTTACTATCGCAACATATTGTACAGCCAATTAGTAAAAACTTAGTATATATATTTTTTTGTTTTAGATACTTAAAAATGTAGGAGGGAGGTTGTTTGTGAAAATGCTAGGAGTATCATCCCCAGAAGAGACACCATTTTGGCTATTTTATTCAAATGAGCGTATTTTTCCTTTAGGGTGGGCAGACCAGAAAGGTATATTGCTATATTATAATACAATAATGTTCGGTTTGTTTTACACATAATAATTGTTAATATATTGTTTCGTAGGTCTTCCATGGAGAGTTATGAATGTAGATGTCAATATTAAAAATTTAAAAAAAGGTTCTAGTTTATTAATGAATGTTTTGAAGGTAAACAAATATAGTTTCAAATTATTATATCATTATTATTATAAAAAAATAATAATTAAGTCAGTGAACCCACTAAATTAAAAAAATATATTAAAAGTTGATACAATAAAGGCTATTGCAATTATGTTCTAAAAATTACCGAAGGTATGGAAATTCGAAACCTCTGTTTTCTCATTTAAATTAATCCTAACAAAAATGTTTCATATTTTTTTTATAAATGTATTATTTTAAAATATTTTGTCTAAACATGTTCTAAATTTAACAGTTTGCTTGCTGATATATTTATATTCATTATTTTACAATTCTTAATTTGTTGAGTTAATAACATTATAAAAATGTATTAAATCTTAAAATTTCCTAAATAGACAAAATATAATTTTTTTGTTGTATCCAACCATTTAATTTTAACTATCTTACATGTTTTCTGCCATTTTATTAATTTCATATCATTATTCGTAAAGCAACAAAACATTTTGTTTTTGACCTATTGAGGAAAGTATGTAAAAGTATAAACATATCTGTTCTAATTATCACACATTAAAGTCTTGCCTGAAAAAATTTTAAAAATCATAAATGTAATGCTTACAGATTTGTAATGAACTAAATTATTAATAATTATCTTTTTAATTATCACGTTCATTAATATTGTATTTCTCAAAGTAATATTTTTAGTAAGTACATGTTTGTTAAATTTCTATTTTTGATACAATATATTGTGTTCTGATTTATAATTATTAATATGTATACAATAAAGTAGAATATATTATTTTCTGAGCTTTTTAATCCTCAAAAATATAAAATAAATCTTGTTACACTATATTTCTACAAATATACTATATAATTGCTCTTATCAACAATTTTTCTTCCCGAAAAGTTAAATAAATAAATTAAAAAATTCTAAAAAAATTTAAATACTTAATTTGAATTTATTGTTGAATAAAACCCATCTTTAATTAACAACTAACAGTTTGTACAAAAAAGAAAATTAAAAATACATGAAAATACTTCCCTTGCCCTAATACCTAATATTATATCAATATTGTTATTTTCAAACTAATAATAACATTTAAATCATGTATATTTTAATAATATATTATTTTTGAAATTAGCCAAAATTTCCAGAACAACACAGTTATAAAGTGGGAGATATGTTAGAAGCAATAAATCCGTATTCATTGATGGTCTTCTATGTTGCTACAGTTGTTAAGGTATATGACAATCGTTATTTTAAAGTTGAAATGGACAATGACAGTAATCCAGAGAAACGTATATCTTTTGTGGCGACTAAGGAAAACTCTTATTTGTTTAAAGCAGGTTAAAATAATAATAGTCTAAAAAATTAGCTTTCTATGTAATATGAATATTCATATTGTAATTTTAGGTTGGGCAAGTAAACACAAGTTTTTATTAAAACCTCCTTCCGATTGGGATTCATCTAAACAATTTTCTTGGTTAAGTTATGCTGTGATGAAAAGTGCTAATTTAGCTCAAGTTGATAATCCACTTAGAAAAAATATGTACAACATTCATGCAGGCATGACTCTTGAAGCTGTTGATCCTATAAATCCTGACCATATCTGTGTGGCTACTATCAAAGGATTTGCAGATCATTGGATTTTTTTGTCTTTTGATCGTACAAATTGGTATTAAAATTTGTAAATAAAATAACTATTAATTAGTTTATTAACTAAACATTGTGTAAATTTAGGTGTCAAGAATTATTACATGTGCAGTCCATTTATTCAGATGATATTTTTCCAATTGGTTGGTGTAATAAGCACAAATATTCATTGAGTACTCCAAAACTTCCATTTATTAACTGTAATAATTATGAAAATCATTATGTATCTGATATTGATACAAATTTTGAATCACATAAAGAATTTTTAACAAAATATCCAAATTATTTCAAAGGGGAAATTCCCTATCATTATAGCGAAATGTAATATTATCTACTAATTTATATTATTTAAAGCTTATTCTTAAAAATACAAATTAAACTTGATTTTAGGGATAATCAGACTTTTGAAGAGTCATTACTAAATAAATTAGTTGGAAGTGACAATTTGTGTTCCGATTCAAAAACTGAGAATAATGATGTTACTGAACCAATTATTGAAGTAAAACAAACTGAATTAGTTGAAGAATTTTATGAACTGAATAAATTTATTGGAAGTGTCAATTTGTATTCTGATTCAAAAACTGAGAATAATGATGTTACTGAATTAGTTGAAGAATTTCATGATGCATTATTTTCAAAAGGAGAAAAAGAAGTTGTTACCAAACAAAAATGTCAAGTCCAAGCTAAAAAAAAATTTAACCTTAAAAAGCAGATTAAAACTTTAAATACTGATAATTATAAAATGTGTATTTATTTTAACAAAAACTGTTATACTAAAAATTGTTTTCTAAAAAAAAAACTTGGAAAGATACCAAATTTTATTGGACCAGGTCCTGTGTCTACAATTTTACATCAAGCAATCTCCATATTTGTTAGATTAAGTTATGTTCCTTTAACTATGTTGAAAAAAATAAAAAAAAATCAAAGCATCTTATTTAATGGACCTGGTGGTATTAATATGGTAATTACAGCCCTGTAAGTATTTACTTTCATTATACAAATATATAAATAGTAACAAATTGTATACATTATATTTTTTCAAAGCAATAAGAAATCAGTTACTCCTTCAAAATTTCAAGAGCAATTTCTTTTGCCAGAATCTAAAAAATTGGCTCAAATATATACTTCTAATCTTTGTCATTTATTTGGTGTTTGTGAATATTTCATGACTACTGAAAAAATTGTATGTCCTCATTGTATTGTAAATGAAAATAAAAGTAAGTATTGTTATCATATACAAATACTATAAATGATAATTATATCATTTTAAATCCTTAGAGAAGTGGGAAACTTTGGTCTACTTTGATATTTTTTAATTCTGAATGTATCGAAAAATGTATTGGTTTTACAATGATTTTTTTTTTATGATTTTTCTATAATAAAAATTTCTTCCAGAAATCTTGTTTTCCTATGTAAATGTGGCATCTTTTCTGAAAAGAAATATTGTTTAGATGGTACTTAAGAGAGGTAATTTTTTTGATCCAAGGGGTTTTCATAATGTCTAGGAAAACCCAGGATAAACACAAGAAAACTGGGAAAATTTTCAATTTTATTTGTAATATAGTAAAAAAATATTCGTACAGACATGAAATTTGGACTGAAAACTTATATTTACTTTTTCTAAACATAGTAAAATTTTCAAAACATTAACTATTTTTTTGAGCTATTTATAGAAATTCAATTTAAAACATTTGTATGGATCTTAAGGACTTGAAATTTGGACACGAAACTTATATTTGTCTTTTCTAGACTTGTTAAAATTTTCAAAATTGTTTAGCTATTTTTGAGCTAATTTTAGACATTTTAATTTTGCGAGTTTTGTATGTAATTTTCATTCAATAAGTACTCTACGGATAAAATTGTTAGACTAAACAGAAAAGCTTAAAAATTAAACAGTAGGTACTATTTTTATTACCTACATGATCCAATATGTATTAACTGTGTAATTCATTGTGTTCAATATATATTTATTTTACTATAATATGATTTATATATTGTTGAAAAAGCAACACTACTAACTGAATACCCCTCAGAATTGATTTTTGTTAACAATGAATAATCTTTGCTTATAGATATACATTAAATTCAACTTTATATTCTATCTTCCCAATTTCTCATTTACAACAATGATACACCGGTTGTGCAAAGTATATCAATTTTTTTTTCTGTCCGTTCTGTCCAATATCAATAATGTTTTTCTAGTAGAATTTTCAAGGTTGGTTATTTTTGAAATTTTATAAAAAAATATAGTAAAAAACTGACAATAAATGAAAACCTAATAATAATAATTCTTTTAAAATAGATAAATTTAAAAATTTAATTATGAAATTTAAAATTACTATTAGAAGAAATATTCAGTGTTATTAAAATTGTTTTATGACTCATTGGGCAATCATACTCTAGTTTTTTTTTTAAGTAGAAAAATAGGTAGGTATAAAAAAACAGCTGCTTTTAGTGTTCCATAATATACATAAAGGAACAACATACTTTTATAATAATGTAACAGTAGCACACTACATTAATTTAGTTATTTTAACAACTGATATTTTTTCAAATTTGTAAAAATTCAGTATTTAAGTTTGAAACAAATGCTGTGCAAACTGAAACTAATGTTGCGCAAGCTAAAACAAAGGCTGTGCAAACTAAAATAAATGCTGCACAAACAATTGTGAAACCTATGAAAAGAAATAATGAGATTGGTAATTCTAAAAGTTCTAAGAAGCATGGAAATGAATTACTTTATGAAAAAATTACTAGAGTTGGTATGTTTTTTTTATAAATAATTATCTTTTCTCAATTATTGATTTAACTAAAATGTTTCACTTATTGTTTCATATGATTTTATGATGTTTATATAGCTGCTGAAGAATTAGATTGGTCAAATAAACATTTAATTGAAAAGTTTAAGTATTATATGGGATGTATAATTAACTTTGAAGATTATGTAAAGAGATTAAGCGAGAGTTTAACTCAACATGAATTAGCTCTATTAGTTGAAATTGAAGCAAAAAAAGTTTATCTTAGAGACATGGATGATGATGAATTATATAGTAATACAAAATCAGACCTTGATGAAGATGAAGAGAAACTATTCCCTTTTGTTAATGATTGGTATATGCCACAATTAATAAATGTTCATTATTTATTGTAATTATATTGGTTAAACATTTTTTTAGGAAAACTAGTTTTGAAAACTTTTATCGTCAAAGTCCAGTCTATATGAATACAACTATTGATATAGGTGATTTCGAACATATCAAAGTTACATCAAATCCAAAATTTTGGTGCCCTTATGATGTTCAAAATTATCTATCAAATGATATGAATTGTACAGATATTAGTAAAAAACTTAAGTTAGGGGTATACAATTTAAAATATTAATTATTACAATTTTTCATTATTCATAAATTATTTATAAATATTTTAAACTATTACTATTTTAGCTTGTTGATGGTGTAGCTTTTATGCTATTAAATGAGGAACAACTTGTATACCGATTAAAGTATTCAATTAATTTAGCAATACGAGTTATGTGTCATGTGGCTCATGTTAAACATATTTTTTTAACAAAATACAATTGATTTACATAGTAAGTATTACCATTTCCTTATTTTTATATTTATAAAAATAAAATCATTTTAATAACTCTGTGTATTATTTATTTCTATGGGAACATTTTTGTTAATTTTAAATTGTTTATAACTTAATGATTAATGTTAGTTTTGCAGCTTTTATTAAGTCCCTCCATATATCATGATTAGGGAGTGGATTTAAATGTTTGAAAAAAAAAAACAAGAAAAATGTATTAAATAAAATTTAATGCACTTTAAAAAACCTTGAAAAAATGCCCTAAAAATTATTTTAAATATTGAAAAATATGTTTTTATTTTTTTTATATAAAAAAATTAATGCATATTCTTCTTCTTATATTTCTACCCTGAAAATTGTATACATTAATTTATTTTCCAAAAAATTAATATACAATTTAAATAGGTATACTTATTATATTTTTACCTTATGTTTCATTATGGCACTAAATAATCAGATAATGTTTAATATTTTCAAATAAAATTCTTTGACTTTGGCAAGTGTTTTTTTTGTATCTTGAGAAACTTCTATGTCAACAGAAGTCATCGGTGCAAACTTCATATGAGCTTTAAGAGGAAATCAAAATATATTTTATTAAACTAACTGGTAACAATATTTGAATCCTTTGATATATGAAACAAATTTTATGCTTGGAAAGCATTTTTTTAGGACATCCAGAAAAAAATTAAATTTGCATTGAAATTCACTCCCTATTCATGATCATTCTTATGTCTGTATTTACTCTGGTATCAGGTTTTCCTCTGAGGTACTTGCCAGTTGGTTCATCATTGAATAGCTTTTGAACTATACTCCCCTCAGCTAGACCAATTCTAGGTGCTTGACTTTCAGAAAGAATTTAATATTTTATTTTTTGTATTGGGATTCCAAGTTGGTATTTTTTTCGTGTTTCATAATCCCCAGTTAATTCATTTTTTACAGATCCTTAAATTTAATCTTTTCTCCTTTGTTGCCCATGATGGCATAACAGCATTCTTCAACAATTTTATTCAGTGAAAAATAAGTATTCAAAATGAATTACTCTCTTAAATACATGTCCTAAATTCATAGGCCCTTCTTGATAACAATAATCATTGATAATTAATCCAGCCTTATCTGTTACATCAGGATTTTTCCCCACAATATTTTCACATCTTCAGTATTACCCATTATTTCTATGTCATCAGGCGAGGAGGTTTATGTTCATATTTCCTATTACCGCTCCTACATTGGTATTCGCTTCTCTGACTTCTTTCTCTAGCATTCAATTGAAAAGGATTAGTGGATGTGTCTTCTTAGTTTTGGCTAGTAGTTACTTTGATCATGTTTGACGCCACAGATAACACTTTAACCTTTAGTACTGTGTCTTTTAGTGAGGTTGCAAATAAATTTATCAGCTTTATAAGGAAATTGAACTCTTTTAGAATGTTAAGAAGGCTTTGATAGTGAACTGAATTGTAGGCTTTTTATAAAGTCCACAAGTAGCACACTCTTGAATTCCCATTTTTTCAAAATCTGTCTTAAACTGAAAATTTGGTTTGTTATTGACCTATTGAGTCTAAAATCTCGTTGACAGTCTCAATATCTTCTTGGCTAACTGTTTAATTCTATAATTACCACAGATTGGTGAACCATCTTTCTTGTAAATGGAGAGATAAATTACCAGAATATTCCAACTTTTTAGCAGCTCTTCTTTTTCTCAGATATGGAATATTAATTTTTGGATATTTACTTCTGTATCCTCATAACATATTCATAACTACCTTGTATTCCATCCTCTCCTGGTGACTTTAGTTAGTTCTTCAGTCCTATTATTTATAACTTAATTTCTTGCTTTGATTGTGCCAAATATTCAAGGGGGATTTATGAAAAATGTTTGAATTACCAAGAGTTTAAATTGCTGAGTAGTTAAAAATATCGAGAGCAAAACAAAAAATTTAAATTACTGAGTTTTGAAAAAAATGTTTGTTTTTTTTATTGTGATTATTAAATATTTCATCAAATTATATGGTATTACAGTATTTATTGTTTTTAAAATGTAAATATAAAATTATCATTATTATTATTAAATATATGTACATTAAATTACTATTATAAAAGATTATTATTTTTTGAAAAATCAAAAAATATTTTCTGCTTTATTGAACTAAAGTTTTATTTTGTTAATACTATTTTATACTGTAAATAAAGCTTCAAAAACCTCGACAATGACTTCTGACTGGAGCGAAAAGTTACATAATTTTTCCAATGATGAACTAGCTTCTTTCAAAGTCAGTATGTAGGTCTGTGTCATCTTCATTGTCTTCATCAACACTTAATGTATTTTTAAAATAGTTGCCACAATCTTGACCTAACCTCGCTATTTATTCCATAACTGCTTATGCCGCTCCAGTAGTAATAAAGTCAAACATCCAAGTGTGCTCAAAGATAAATCCGATTTCCAATTTACATAATTGTTTTCTTTAGCTCCATTTTATTTAGGTCCTGAACAATGGTTTTTTTTTTCTAGGCTAGGTTGTTAACTTAGCACTAAACAGCCAACCTGAAGGGTCAGAATTCCCCAACCAGTTAAAGTCAAGGTAGGGCTATTATTGAATTAATAGAACATTGGGGGATAGGGATGCTACATTCCCTATGCCATTGATAAAATAAACAATTGATGTTTTACATTTTTAATTTTTAGTTATTAAAATGAACACAGTCTGTATTTTTCAGTAAATTTAAACATGTGCTAAAAGTTATACTTGTTATTTATAAAATGGGCACTGTAAATTACACAATGGGTACTAGCATGCTAAGGTTTTCATTTTCTTTAAAATTAAAAATTAAATGTTAACATAAATAACATTGATGTATAAATATATAATATATATATTTAATAAATTACAAGAAATATTATAATACTTTTTAATTATTTATGAATGTATACATAATATATATTAAAACAAATATATTAGCCTCAGTAAGATTAATTAAATTAATACAAAAAAATAGTTAATATTGGGGATGGGTGCTGCCACTGTTGTAGGTAGGTAGTGGGAAAGGTGGGATACATGCAGTTATTTAATTTATATCTGTAATCTACGAAAAAGGATTCAGAGCAATATTCTGTTATAAACATATTTTTTAAAGGCCATAATATTTACAATTTTTATCAAAATTTGATTTTAAAACTTTTTAAAAAAATACTACATTACACTCAATTTTATTTTTTGAAATAAAATTCATTGTTTTTTTCTATTAATTACCTATGGTTATGTCAAAAAAAAATGTGAAACTGGTTTGAATTTCAAACCCCCAGGATGACATCAAGTAAATACCACCACTAGACTATGACATACATACTTTGAAATTGATAATATTGAGTTATTTAACATAAAAAATATCACATCAAAGTATGACATTTAAGAAACCTCCTGTTAAATGTTTCATAATTTCTGTTTAGTCTAACAATTTCATTCATAGTGTGCCTACTAAATAAAAATTATGTAAAAACTCAAAATTAAAATGTTTTGAAAATTTTACTAGAGAAAAAACAAATATAAGTTTTGTCTCAATTTCAAGTCTTTATGAATTAAACTAAATACTCAATTATTAAAATAGTACTACTAAGAAAATCAAAAACCCACTTTCTTATTCACCAACTGGATTAAAAATTCAACAAAAATATCTCTTTGTGATTTGTTTTTTTATTGGAACAATATTTGATAGAAAACACAAGTCACACAAATTTTAAATAAAAAAATTGTGCTGTACTTTTAAAAAATACTTAAAATAATAAAAATCAATTTTCTTTGTTAGTGGCTGTATGTTAAAGAAACAAAATTGATAATTTATCATTTTTTATATTTCTGGTAGAAAAAATTGTGTAAATATTTGCCATTTTACCTGTATTTTTCTTTCAGGTTTTTCCGGATATTTTTGAAAATTCATGGAAAATCAAAATTACCTTCCCAGTGCACCAACTAAAGAAAATTTTATTTCAAAAAATATGCTACAATTTATACTTTGGAACAAGTTTTCTGGTAGAAAAGTTGTTCATAAACAGAAAAAAAAAACTTAGTAAAATATATAATCAGTAACATTAGATCTCATTAGAATTTGAATTACAAGAAATTAATCATTTTTAAAAAAAAACTTGTGTACCTATTCAAGTAATTATTAAAAACCTTAAAATAAATTAGGACAAAGTTACTAGATAACAAAAATTAGTAAACTTACTTTACTCAATTAATTTCTTTTATCTACTAATTTTTGTTTATTTATCGTAGGATTGGTTTGGAAATTGATAAAATACAATTTGTATGTCTAAATGAATTGTTATATACTTTATAATAAATTATTCTTTAGATTTAATAGTTTACTCATTAAAAAAATAATATAAGTTAAATAATAACATAAACTAACAATTAATACACAGGTATTAGTATTAACTTAAAATAATGAATTTGAAAAGTTTCACTAGTAACCAGCTGAATCAAACAATACATTTTTTTTTCCAGAATATAAATTAAATAACTGTGTTCTGCATTATCAGCTATCCACCTACAACAGTTGCCCACCCACGGTATGAAGTATGGCTTGTTTTTCTTTTATTGAATAATAATAGATATACATACACACAACATAATAATTTAATGTTCTGTAAACATTATATACAAGGAAGGGCACTATCTAGTATATGTATCTTGTATCTAGATTCTTTTTTTTTTCAAGAATCTTGCCCATTCTTGATTATATATAGTATTTAATGTTGTGTATAATCAATAAATGTATGCAACAGTGGCACCGATTGCAACAGAATGTTGAATAAGTTGATTTCTGCAATATTGCCTTATTCTATCTAATCAGTATCTTTACTTAACTCATATACAGCTTGTGTAAAACAAAAAATATGTGTATAATTTAATTAAAAATACCTGTAAAATGAACTAAAAATAATAATATGACTTAAAAAAATCCAAAAAGTGATATTAAAAATGGAAAAAAAAGTTTCATAATTGAATTTGTTACATAATATGAATTATGTCTTTAGAAAGCCAAAATTTCAGCTAAAAAAATTCACTTTCTTACAAATTCACTTTCTTACAAATTCACAGGCCTAGTTATGAGTAATGTAATACATTACACTCAAAGAAGATAAATATAATACAGTAGTGCCTTGTTTGCTCCTGTATTTTTAAATTACTTCAGTGCCACTGCAATATGTACTATGTTAGATTAAATATATAAATGTACTAATAAAATTATTTTGCTTTAATATTTTAATTTATTTAATTTGATTCAGCAACAATTTAATGTTATTATAGTAAATGTATAATAAAATAGTATTGGTATTTTATGTGGAAGTATATGTACAATTATTTTTTCTTCTGAAAGTTCTTGTGAGCTTCAAAAAAAAAATTATATGTTGTTTTTGTTACTCTATGGTCTAATCACTTACACATTCTTATATTACTTTGGCGGGTATTATATTAAGTGATTACAAATATGAAGTGTCTAGTTAACGATAATGGTTAAGTAAAATTAATAATATACACAATTTAAAGTGAATACGTGCAATTATAAACTTACAACAAAATTGGAATAAGTGATCAATTATAAAATATAATAAAATAACAATAATACAAAATAGTTTATAAACAAACATTATAAATATCATACATAAAAGCATATTTTATATATTAATGAAATAATCATATTTTTTAATTGTCACAATTCCATATGACTACTTTTAGTACTTTAAAGTATTCATACTCACCAGGTAGCTGATTTTATGAAAAAATGATTGTTCAATATTAGTGGGGATGGTTTTTTCTAATAGTTAAATATAAACTCCGAGCCACAATAGAACACATATCGCAAAACTGGACCAAAACTTGACAGAAGGAAAAATGTTATTGTTTACATGTACTAGCCGTATGCGTTCTCTTGTAATATGGAATATAGTGATAATCTCAAAATCACATTTTTGGCATTTTAACTATTGCAAATTAGGCCAACAATTTACATTTTTTTTTCTTTTAACTATTATTAAGTTAATCCCAGTGAATCGTTTTTAGAAAATCTTTTAGTGTTTAACCAGGTGCACGTGATAAACATTTTACGCACCAAAATTAAAACTAATTTACTAACCTATACTTGACCAAAAAAAATGTATTGTCTAATGTGCTAACGGGTTTCCAAATTTCAATTCCAACACTCGACATGTACTATGTATAATGCAATGACAAATAATACGATTTTTGTATACTGGAAATACTTTTATAAAACATTTAAATGCTGACTCGATTTGTACATCATTTAATCCTAGTATGTATACCTGGTACCTATAATATACTTTATAATCACTAAATCAAATTTTTTTTAGTTTATAATTCTATATCTTGATGAAAATAATGAAAAATGATGATGATAAAATATTGGTGATTATTGCCTATTGGTAACCTTAGATAATGGTATTAACCAATATGTTCCAAATGAACAACAAAAAGAGTGTTCCTAAACTCTATCAATCTGCTGAGCAATACGCTGGATTAACAATTGATTTAGGAACACACGGATAATCATTGGTGTCACCGTTATCGTGCGTGTATTTTACACCAAAAACGTTGGTTTTAAAATGAAATACCAGTAGGTACACCCATTGGTGCAACTTGGGTGAAAATTCTAGAAGGGGAGCTATAGCTTTAAACAAACAAATTTGCTTAAATTTTAAAATATAATATTTTAGTCATAAATACAAATAGGTATAAATAATTACTATAAAATATTAATATATTTAACTATATTCGTCGTAACTAGGAGCTATTTGGAAAACTGGAGGGACTTAGCTCCCCCAACCACCCTCTCACCTAGTTGCTTTTATTGGTACACCAGAACGCTTTCACGACAGTACGATGACGCTTTAACACTAGTGTACAAACTAACTTTTTAAAACAAAGTTAATGACTGTCAGGTTATCAGTCTTTAATATACAAAACATTTTTTTATTTGTACCTTTGTTAGATTATTAACATATACATTTTAACTACAATTAACAACTATAATATTTGCAAATAAATCATTAAAATTTAAAGGATGCACGGGTATGCAGCTGTCCACTCCGTGCGCACACCTATGCTCAATAGGTATTTAACATAATATATGTACCAGGTAAACTCATTATTTCGGAAAATATATATTTTTTTGGAAATTTGTATTCTAGACCAGCGGTTCTTAACCTTTTCACATCCGCGAATTATTAACATATTTTGACATTTAACACATACCACTTGATACGATTATTCAACTTTTTTTTTTTACTTACCTATCAAAAAATAAAAGTATGTACGTTATTATACATCTACCTATGGAACTTTTTATTATTAAATCTACATAATTATAAAACCATATTTTAATACACAAAAGTAAAATTAAATAGTTATATATAGTTATTATTTTTATTAATATTTATGGATTAATAAACTGCATTATAACTAAAGAAAATTTGTTTTCACTTATCAATAAATTTCTTTGTGTATCACATATGAATTATCCAAGTACCACTATAGTGGTATGCGTACTATAAATTTAGAATCCCTGTTCTAGAACATTTAAGAAGCAAGTTGCTCTACAAATTTATATTTATGTTATTTTTAATTATCCTTATTTTTGGTAGTAAAACCACTAACTACTTTTGATTTTCTAATGGCAACTTAAATTAAAAATTCCATAAATAGATTAGAGTATTAGTTAAAATAAATTTTAGTGTTGAAATTTTTGATTTCTGTCAATTATTTGACAAGATATTCCATTAAATTTGGGTTGGGACTTGAAAGAGAGTAGTAGTGCATTATTAACTGATTATCATTTGTGTGGCCCGTGACACGTTAATAAAAGCATTTTTTTCGTTTTACCTAAACAATGAAAAAACAAATGCATTTTGTGTGTACCTAGAAACCCTAGCCATCGCTTGCTTGTACTATTTTAATCGTAAAATACCCCTCTACGAATTGCTGTGCAAACTTTTCTACAAGCTATTTGCTACGATTTAATCAATTATTTTACCATAAAATGACATATATTGTTGACAAAGTATCATTATCAATTGAACTCCCCTCAGAATCGTTTTTTCGTAAGCAATGATTTATCTTTGCTTACAGGTATAGATTAAATTACCTATAATAATGGCTGCACCCATCTTCATTACCCTAGGATATCTTTTTTTTTGATTTTATCATTCATATTTAAAGTTCCAGAATATATTATTTTATAAATAGAGTTTATAGATACAATTTAAGAAATTTACAAAGTTGTTGCGGGTAAAAATACAATTTTAAATTGTCAAAACAAACATTTGTGTATACAGGAAAAATAAATTAGTAAAACCAATTATGTTTTCAGGCACTTTAAGAGAATTAAAAGATGTTAAAATAGTTTTTGTCAATGAGAAAAAAATTTATATTTTTTATTCATCATGAACAATTTAGTGAATTAAACAATAAGTGAATTTATCTGGTTGTTGGTGCAAGTTCTTCAATTATTAAAATTAACAATAATTTACATTAATTCAATTCTTCAAAAGTTTCTTTCCAGTCCATAAAAAAAAAAAAACAATTTATAAAATACCTAATAAATTAGTTTTATGCCAGTATAATATAGACAAGACAATAGAGTATATTAAATAAAATAAAATATTTGTATTTACTTAATAGGATTTTTAGGAATATTGATAAAAAAAAAATGTTTAATTACATAAAATAAGTCACATTTCAAAGAGCCAAGAACTTAAAGAGTTATTGTTAATAATATTTAAAAACTATATGTAGTTAGGTAAATGATTAAATGAACACGTATAGGTATACAACAAATAGGTTTTTATTTACCAATGTCCAACTTGATATGTTTAGCAATCTGGAAATACAGTTTTGAGTACTTCTGCAATAGGGTCACCAGTGTAAAATACAGTAAAATTATCTTGTTTAGCAGAGCATTTATCTAAAGCTCCTTGAATCCACATTTCGATTATTTCATACCAATTGGCATTCAATAAACAATCTTCTAAATCAGATTTTCTGTTTAGCTGAAGCATTTGTAATATGTCTAAACACCAACATCTACGATTTGTAACCTGGCACATATTCTTTATATATTCAATTAAACTGTCAACATTTTGGGGGGGCCATGATTTGTACAATGACAGGTGACCGAAGTTCAATAATTCTTCAAAATATTTTATATTGAAGTTGGAATGATAAATTGAAAATTTTTCAGGATTTCGAGTATAGTAAGGAATTAATTCTGGTGCCAAGTATCTTATTTCTTTATTTTTTCTACCCAAGTGACCAATGTAAATGTCCAAATATTGATTGTACTTTTCAATAATAATATTTGGTTTATCTTCTGGTAATAAATTACGTACTTTCAAATAGAATGATTGAGCGAAATTAAGTAAATTATAAAATAAATTTTCTGTACGCATATTGGGTGTATGGTCTACATAATTTAAAGAAAAAAATTCTATAGCTTCTAGAATTGTCTTTGGTCCATCCCAGATGTAGATAGTGTAGTTGTTTATATAATCATTTATACGATATGCATCTAAAACTGATTCATAATCTTTTATTATGTCTTTATTTGAGCTAGAAGAAAATATTAAAACACAAGGTATAGCCTTAGGTGTTGAGTGTAAAATCAATTCTAAGCGTTTAAACAATGTTTCCATATTTTCTTTATTGGTGTTTGTGAAAATAAGACTAGCATTCAAACCGCTTTTCTTCCAATCATGTAATCCACTGCAACTTTGCACTGACTTTATAAAGTACATGTTATAGTCAGTATATATAGATTGCACTTGCTTATTACTGAATCCCATTTTACCATAAATAATTGCCTGTACTTTATCTTGAATACAATAAGGTTCTGGCCAACTTCCATAATTCACAGCTAATTTCCAAAATATCTTGTTTCCAGTTAATTTAGCTTTATTTGCCTCTAAAACATTTTTAACAAATATATTTGCAATATTAAAACTTATGTCATCTTCTTTAGTTCTATTATAACTTAATGGATGATTTATTGGAGTTTTTAAGTGTTTGTTTCTTTCTTCTATCTTTTTTTTTCTTCCACTCTGCAATATTTCCTTTGGTGTACCATGTACCAGCATAAACATTGACCATGGCATTCCATAAGCAGCTTCCATCTCATATTTTCTTCTCTTGCGTAAAACCTTTTTTAGCCAAATATAGAAATACTTTTCTGCTAAAAGATATTGTCTGTGAACCCAGTCAGATTCTTCTTGAACAACAATAACATTCTCACCATAATTAAATGATATTTCTGATGATTGAGAAGAGGATAATGAAGAAATACATTCTGAATTAAATAATCCACTATGTGCAAAGACTTCTTCAATACATTTTGATTTTCTATTGTTTACATTATTCTGCCATTTATCAAAATAGATTTTGGCAAGACCAATGTTTGTATTTGTTTTTTCATCAATTTTAATTTGTTTTTTTGTCAATTGTTCAGATTGGACTTTTTCTTCAGAATTAATATTAGAAGACATATTAAGACTCGGTTGAATTAAATCTTCAGAAGGTTTTGTCAAATCATAATTGTATGTTATAAGAGGACTTGGTGAGTTACAAGTCACCAATGAATTTACTGTGGAGGGTAAATTTGATTGAACAAAAGTAGCATTAAATGTAAATGATTTTGGCATTTTTTCTGGTATTTCAAAATTGGAACTAGGTGTTTGAACTTGTGATACCAAATGATTTATAGGTGGTTTAGGTAAGTTAAATTGGAATGTAGAAACTGTCGAAGCTGGTGTTTCTGCTGGAGTCATTGAATGCAAATTACTTAGATTTTCAAATGAAAATTTCTCTATTGTAGTACTCGGAGGTGGTTGTATTTCCATTTTTTCTTGAGAATTTGAATGACCATCCTTAAGATTAATAATTGTTATAATTTTGTTATCATCATTTTTAATATCATTATTTGCATTTTCATCATTGTCATTATTATCATTGTCATCATTGTCATTATTATCATTGTCATTATCATCATTATCATCATTGTCATTATCATCATTGTTATTATCATCAATGTCATTATCATTATTGTCATTGTCAGCATAATTAGAATAACCAATAAAACGACCATTACTATTAAAGCTCGATTTAACTGGACCAACTATGAAATCGCCAGACACATATTTTGTTTTAGAGATTAAAGTTGTTAAATTTTGCCTTTTCTGCACAATGAATAGCTCTTGTTGCTGTCTTTTGTGTTCAGGAATATGTATAGATACATTACGTGATAGTTCTACATAATTTTCGGTACAATTCAGCTGAACATCAGTACAAAATTTGTAGGCCGATTTGATATCATTAAAACACAATTGTTCCATTATATATTTCATATCCAATTTATGAATTCTCTTCATAGTTGTAAAGGATATATTCATCATTTTTATACTGTTATTTCTAATACTTGGAATAATCCTTTGTAAAATACTACAATTCATAAATGTTGTACTTTTTAGTAATCTGAAAAATTCTCTACAGTTACCTGAATGTAAGTACACAGTGTGCGCTTTAATACAAAATCTTACTTCTGGTGTTTGTTTTATATGGATCGGTAATAAATCGTAAGTAGTATGAAATTGCGGATTCCCCAAGTGCATAAGTAACTCATAGGAAACAAATTCTGGTTCATTTGGACATTTTTCTTCCAATTCTCTATACATAGGCATCAACATCTGAATGCAATTGTTCAAGTTTTCAGTGTTCAACTTGATATCAAAACCAGAATAACCCAACATTAGATCATAACATGCGATATGAAACCGACCAATTTGTTCAAGTATTGTTACAACATTTAAATTTTGTAAATTCTGTTGAACAATATCTTTGCGTATCGCTCTCAACCGATCCCAACAAAAATCATACCAAATGAGTAAGTCTTGTTCGACTTTGGATTCTATTGGGTATATTATATTTTTAAGCATATGTTTCATAGTTTTAACAAGTACTGGTGTTGGTCTCAATTCATGGGATAATGGATTAGCTTGATCAGCTGAGCTTCTAGCATATTGTTTGACCATCAATTCAAAAACTGGTTCTAGTTTTGAATCTATTGTTTTACATTCAAATTGTGAAACCATATTACTATGAATACGCATTAAACGTTCTTTTTCTGGACACATATCAAGACAAGTACCTTTCATTGGTTTAATGTCATCCACATTTATTATTTTAGATTGTTTGGTTGAACTTATACGTGAAAGTCTGTCTCTAACTTCTAGAACTTGTAGTTTTTTGTTAATGGTCATTGCAGAAATTTTGTCATAATTCTGTTCGTTAATTTCAGAATTTTCAAATTCACAATCATCAAATACACAATGTTGTTGGTCATTATTTTGTAAAAATAAACGCTGATGTTTACTAGGTGGTTCTTCTTCATCAGAGGTTCTCTTCAAACGCATGTTGGCATTATTCAATTTTCCATTATCCATTTTATTATGTAAGTACTGAATTCTATTTTATATAAAATATAAAACTTATATTACCCTATAATGTGCTGCTAAAGGTGAGTTTCTTTACCAAACAAATTTTTCAATTTCATTTTCATTGTATACAAATTCTAGAAAAAAAAAAAAAAACAATATCAATAATTGAAATAGTATTATAAATTAATAACCATTTAATCATTCACACACGGGCAAAAAATATTCTAAAAAAATAGACTTTTATTTTAGATTCTGAATGGGGCGAAGAATGTATTGGTTTTATGATGATGTTTATTTTTTGTATTTTTATATAACACTTTTTCTACCAGAAAGTATATTATGAGTATAGCACCTTTTCAATCCACCAAAGTATTAAATCAAAATTGATAAAAAAAAATAACTTTAAATTTCAAAATTTTTTCTCACATTAAAAAAATTTATGTTTATACTTACATTTTTTTTCTTATTTATAACAATCAGTACATTATAAATAAATAAATATATAAAAGAACGCATATTAAGATGTACCTACAGTAAAATATAATATTCTTTTAACTTAAAAGTAAAAGTTTAAATTCTTGGCTCGCTAAGAATCATTATTATTTCGTATGGCCCTCTGTAAAAAAGATTGATCACCACTGTTTTAAATTGTTAAATCTAGTTTTGAAAACTTTAAAAATGATGATTGAAACCTAAGCAAATAATATTTTGCCCAAAATTAATAAAAAACAATTGGAAAAATAAAATGATAAATTGAAAAGGGGTACTTTTCAGATATCTCAACTACCTGTATAGCCTTCATAACAATATTTTTGGCTGATGGATGTGTGAGAGTTCAAAATATGGCTCGCTCTACATGCCAAATCAAGTGAGATATTATGTTGGACTTTTAATCAAAAATAAATCAAGATTTGTTAGTAAAACTACATCTAGTAGGTAACAGGGGGCAAAAAAACAGGTATCCAGGATAATCAAAAAGCACTAAAATAAGATAAAAATATTAGATATTATAGGGACTATCTAACATTTTTAAATGAGACTTTTTTACCATTTACTACAAAAAAAATATCATACTAATTGAATTTTGAACCCTAATTATTCTAATATATAGGATAAGTTTGTTCATTTAAAATAAAAATTCATTAAGTTTAATCTATTGTTTAAAAAAAAAAAAAAAAAAAAAAAAATGGATATTATAACTGTGTAAGTATACTATTTATTTGGAATAAGTATTTGAATATTCAAATTTAAAATGAAAGCAATGAATCAATTATAAAAAATAACAATGTTTTTTTCTTTGCAGTTTGTTATTGATATAAAATACAGGGTTGAGTTATAATCTATGGTCAGTATCCCTGTTATGGCCACTCATTTGTATTTTATTCATTAATAGTATAATTTTTAATTTGATATCACATATGGTTATTATTGAATATATCTACATTAATTAATTTACTGAGTCACATCAATTACTACAAACATAAGATAGCATAAGATGGTCATATTAGGTGAAAATTAAATTTTAAAAAAGTAAAAATAACACCTCATACAGTATTTTTCATTAGGCTATGAAATATTAACCAAGTATTGAGCCAGTTGTATATACGGTTACATTGTCAACCGATTTTAAATAACTGTGGACAAAATAACATATAGATATGTGAACAAATTCTTAAGGTGGCTATAGATGGTGATTCCACATTAACATATTTTAATATTTGGTTATTTCTTATTTTTAGATTTGTAAAGTTGTAGTTTCATTTATTTAACAGTACTTTTAATCACAATAAAGTTAAAAAAATAAACCGGGCACAAAAAATATAGGTATTTGTTATTTTTCTACATTTTGCTTTTTTCCCCTCGAGAGCCAGATATTAATCCAATATTATTGACTTACGTGTTTTGTATCCGGATAAATGACTTCTTTTTTCTGTATGCTGGCTGCATGGAGACGACCGTTGTGTGTAAGAAAATATTATGATAAGCCAAAAAACATTACAAATTATATGCAATTTGTACATTTTCCATGCTATTAACAGCAAGTCAGTAATTGTTATTTTTTAAGAATCTGTTAATCTTAGTTAAAACTGTAAACAGAACCTCATAGGGGATGTATTTATGAGCCGGTGCAATCACTATGTAGCACTATTAAACGTTCCCGAGTATTATCATAAACATTGAACATTAACAATTGATAATACTAACATCACCAAAATTGATAACATCAATATTTTATTAACGGTTCTTAGTCTCATATATTATTGGTGTATAATAAAATATAAAAGTTACTGATAATAATATCACTCTTGCTCCAAATAAAACATACATCTAATCAAGGTGGATTAATAAAGTGTAAACACTTGGCTTATCAGTTGATTAAGAACACTACTGCAGTTAAAATTGCTGCTAGGTTCGCTGCCTACCCTGAAAGAGGACCATAAATTGTATTGTTTGTATGTATTTTAACAGGACAATGATTAAAATAATGGACATTTTTTTTTTTTTTATTGTAAAAGTGCTTTTAAAATGATAAATCTATAAAGGTAAATTATCTTATATTTATTAATATATATAATACATAACAGTATAAAACTATTATTTATTATATTATTCATGAATAATTTAATGCAGGTACCTACCTAGTATGTGTCAATAGGTAATTATTATTTGAACAATTTGATATTTTCATGTGATTATTATTAGCAGGTAGTACTTGTAACTACTTTTGATAATGAGTAATAATAATACTTTTGTTAATAATATTATTAAAATATATTTTATTGTAGTCAAATGTGTTTTTAAATGTATTTCATTTTTTGGTCTGACACTTGGTTATTATGTTTTCTATAGGCATACATCTTTCTAGTATTAAAATAAAATTATAAAATTTATTTTGTAAGTTCATATTAATAATCCGTACAACCAGCTTTAGACCCAATTTGTTAACCTCAGAAGTGGAGAACACTTATTCACACCAACAAATACATTAATGACACTTATTTATACTTTATAGCTTGGAAACAGCCATAATCAATATTCTAAATAATAATCAAATACATACAAATATTTTAGAATACGGTTATTACTTAATCATTTTTAATAAATTATAGTTATGAATAGAGTAATTTTTGAAGACATTGCATTTTGGTTTAAAGTTGACAGTTTTAATAAAAACTTACAAAATACATTATAAAATTGTATTTAAATACTAAAATGATATTTGCTATAGAAAATATAATAACCAAAAAACAATTCTCGACTATAAAAAATATATTTTAATAATATAATTATATTATATATACATTTTATAATATTATTAACAAAAGTATTATTATTACCTATCACCAAAAGCAATTACCAGTACTACCTTCTAATAATAATCATATCAAATTGTTCAAGCAATAATTACCTATTGACATATACCTGGTAGATATCTACATTATATTATGTATTTAAATGTATTAATAAATATACCATAATTTATCTTTATAGGGGTTTCATTTTAAATGCACTATTACAGAAAAAAAAAAATGTTCAGAAAAGCACTATAACATTTGTTTATGTCATTGATGACATGTTACTATTATCAAATTATTGTACGGTTCTAAGAATTAATATTTTAAGGAGAATTTAGTATTTTCTTTTGATAAGTTTGACAGATTATATATATAATTTGTGGTATGAACAACTATTGTTTTAACCATATAAATATAAAATAGTGTGTTCTGGAGGATACTTCAATGTACCTACATAATAATATTACATAATTCTACTCTTGAATAACTAGTGACATTATAATCTGTAGGCGTTTTAAATTAAGATCAAATTCAAAAATAACCAATAGTCAAATTTTAATTTTATTGACTATAATTTAACTCTAATGTATTACTACATTAAAATTATGTTATAATATATATGTACACACAAAATAAATTGTAATAATTTCCAAGATATTTAATGAAATAACTTAATATTATGACAGAAAAAAATAATTTAACATTACATAATATGTGAAAGAACAAAATATAATAAAATCAAAATATTAAAACTATTAGATGGTTAACACTCATACATTTTTATAATTGGGTTAATGTGTAAAAAAAAAAATAAAATGCTTTTTTTAAATTAAAAATTATTCTTTTCATTTTAATTAATTAAACTTTCTAATAATAAAAAAAAAAAATCTCAAACTCATACTTCATATTAGACATTTAAATGTATATAAGTTAATATTTTTAGTTTACTTGCCAAACAATGTAAACGTTTTAATAAACAATGATAGTTTACCATTTGCTAGAAATTAATTTTTTTTAATACTTGTAATTTTTTAATATGCATTTGAATGAATTAAGTTCTCAGCAATAATTAGAATAGATTGTATTTTAAATAATATTAATTCCAGGACTCTGAAAAAGATAAGAAAATACATGTTATTTGCCCATGGTATGAAGTATAGTTAATCATAAACCATAGTAAATATTGGTTATCATTATTTGAATACAAATTTACCTGTTTCATAAGTGTCAGCTCCAAGGGAGTCAGTTGCTTGTCCAGCAAATTGAGTAACATCAGTGGTTGTATTGTTCAAAATATCATTTTGATTATCTCCATTGTTAAAAGTTGAATTTGTTTTATCTGGTGTTCTATTTATATATCTAGATTTGCTATAGGGTTTTATATGTTGGTTTTTAATAGCTGTGTTTACAGTTTTTTGATATTGTTTTAACTGATATTTTCTTAAATTATCCTGAACACCACAAAGCCAAATTTCAGCCTTACTATCATTAAAAATGAGCTGTAGCAATGTTATACATTGAGAAAAACAAATAGGTGAAATCCATCCATTATTTTGTTTTTTTTGAAATGCTAAATATCTATAGCCAGTCATTTGTGACTTCATCTTATTATAAGTTTTTTCAAGACACTGATAAAACAAAGGATTATTTTCAATAGGGCTGATCAGTATGCAAATCAATAATTCATTGTGAATTTTATAACTCAATATTTCTCCAGGTGCCCTTGGTTTAATATGCATGTCTTGAAGTAACCTTTAAACATCCAGTAATAGATTATATAAAAAAAAAAAATATGGAAATTATAAAAAAAAAAAATCAGGGTTGGAATGTCACATTGTGTGTATAAAATGTATAAACCATACAGTATAAAATTAATCAGAAGTAATCAATAGTTAAATTATAATTTTACTGATTATAAATAAATCCTTTGATGTAATATTGTATTATAATTCTGTTATACAAAATGTCCTAATGTTATCCTTAGCTAATAATTATGTCAATATTCATTTTTTTTTTTTTTTTTTTTTTACTTTTTTTTTTACATTTTTTTTGTTTTTTACTCAACAGATTTTTTGTGAAAGAGACAAATAAAGGAAAAATTACATTTTAATTTTTATCTCAGGTATTGAAAAAAAAATTTTATTTTATCACTTTTCAATAATTTTCAAAATAGCTATTCTATAAAAGATATTATTTTAAAAATTTTAATGTTACATACATTCATATCTAATTAATAGTTTCTTAGTAATTACCAGTTTAATTTTTAGATAATAAGCGGAAAACTATTAACATTGAATAGAAAATAAAGAATTACAGTGCTGTTTGTAATCATTATTTTTTAAAATGTTATCTTATTGAAAATTATTTGTTTTCACGCCAATTTTCTAAAAATTAAACATCCTATTACCAAGACACTATAACTAAGAAGTATTTTACATTAAAATTTTTATTACAAAAATTGAATATTATCTACATTTGTGTCCAGATAACACAAAATCAGATTAAAAAAAAATGAATTTTGATAAAGTTAATACTACTAATAATACTATTAATATAGTTATTAGCATAATGATAACACTGTAGGACACCTATATATGTACAAAATAAATTATATTAATTTAAAAAAATAAAATAAAATTCAACATTAATTATATAAAAAAAAATATAAAAGTTATTTTACATAAAGTTTTTATTTCGACTGTGGTGAAGAGCATCTATGGAATATAGTTTGTTATAATGTAATTGTTAATAAAGTAATTAAAATTGTTTATTACATTTTTAAAAATAACACAAAATATATTGTTTTATTTAAATTTTAAATTTAGATAAAGTCACCAAGATAGATGTGATTTATAATAATTAATTTATGTTTTAGCTTTGATATATACCTAGATGTAACTGTATTGTTTTTAATTATTTAATATTTTTTATTTAGACATTTTCTGATTTAATATAATTATTTGTTAACAGTTAACACTTTAATAGTAATTCAAGATTAAAAATACCAATACAATATTGTATCTATATAGGTATCTAGTACATATTACATTAAAAAGTTATAAACAAAGTTGAAGGATATTAGTTAAAATCTATATAATGAATACTCAATGTTTCAGAAGAAAAAAAATGTATTAATCATATCCATATATAATTGTATACAGTAAATTACCACCCCTGAAAAATACAAATTCAAATTCAAGAAAGATAAACTATGTAACCATTTTAACAAAGATAAGATATTGATTCTTTATTTGTTATTTATATCTCTTTCAATTTTAAAACTATTAACATATACAAAACTATAATAGTGCTACAAATTCAAAACACTTACACTTAGTGTTTAATACAGAGAATATGGAAATATGATTTAGGTTTTATATTGAAAAATTAAATCTATTATTTAATTTTGTATTACATTAATATAGGTAGTTATTGTTTTAAATTAAAGTTTTAATTTATGAAATATTATAAATTATGAACTGTTTTGTAATTATCACAGAACAAATTATAGTGAAAAATTCTGTGCTGAAAATGCATTAAATTGAAACTGCTAGAGGTTGACATTAGAATATTGATTAAAATTGTATTAGTTTAGTAAAAAATCTTATAATAATATAATATAAAATTTTTACTTGTCTTTGAATGAATATAAAGCATTTATATTTTCAACGATTTCATCTTTCCAATAATCATAATACACTTGTTCTAAATTAATGAACATTATTCTATCAGTTTGAGGTTCCATTTCCCATAAGTTTTTTTCAATTGATTTTACTCTTGCTGCAGGAGGACAAATTTGTAATGGAATCTTCTATAAATTTAAATCAAATTGTAATTATTTAAACAAACATTATAAAAAGAAAGACAATTTTTCTCTCACTGGTGGCATTGTACATATATAGACTTCAATATCAGATCTAGAAAATATTCTACATATTAACCCTTTCACTTTCTGAGTAAAATAGAAATCCAATCCAGATTTTTGAATTGCTAATTTTTTTAATCCATGTGCCTTCATTTGAACCAGTAGATTATTAAATGCTTTTTCAAAATTATCTAATAAGACTGGGTTTGATTTAAATTTCTTTACAACTAAGTAAAATATATACTGTGTATCATGTACAATTTCACAAACATTACCAACTTCTATATTTTGATCCATTAAAAAACCAATATTACCAAACTTGTAACTGAAAAGTGAAAAAAACAGCATTTAGTAAAATTGTAAATTAAAAAAGATGGCAATTAGTTCATACTTAAATGCAGAAGAAAAACTTTGGAAATCTTTGCTAATACAGTGGGCAATAGAGTACTCAGAAGATAAATTAAAAACATCTCCATTAATTAAATTCCATCTAAAAATAAACCAAATATATAAAATAGTTATTATAATAAAATACTTTTGGTATTACATTAATTTTATTAAGAGTATACTATAACATTTTATATCTTATATGAGCTATTTAATACCTGTTTTTTTTTTTTAATGGTTTATACTCTTTATAAGAAAATAGATTTATCAATTAAATAAAATTATTAATATAAAACACTCAAGATTTAAAAAAAAGACTAATACTACTGATAGTTGTGTAGCTATTTTAAGAGGTATGTTAAAAAGTAGGTTAAACAGATTAATTAAAATTATATCTGTATTAACCTTTGCAAACAAAAAACAATTCTGAGCAGATTATTATTTGTTTTAGTTATCTCCTGTTGTCAAGATAACTAAGCAATTATTAAAAATTGCTAGTTTCTCAATTTATTAAGAGAACTATAAAGAAAATAAAAAAATTACAACTCCAATGTACCAATAGATCAAGAATGCTACAAGAAGGTGATTATAAAAGTTTTTGATTAAAGTAACACTTGTGATAGACAAGTTATTTACTCAATAAAACAAATACATTTTTTAGTTCAATTAGAATATAAAAAAAGTATTGTCAATTGTCAGAAAAGTTTTCTTAAAAATTGGGTAAAAACATAGAAAGTTTAAGAAAAAACTGTCCTAAGATAATGAGGATGGGTGCCGCCACTGTTGTTAGTGAGGTAGGATATAGAGATATACAGATATGTATCTGTAAGTAATGATAAACCATTGCTTACTAAAAACTATTCTGAGTGGAGTTTAGATGATAGTGAAGCTTTATCAACAATATATATGCCATATTATGATAAAATAATTACATAGGCATTATATATTTTCTTTATAATAATTGTTTAATATTTGATACTGATCATAAATTAAAACCAATTGAAAAATAGTTGTATAAATGATTATAGTGATTGTAGCGTTAATAAATAATTATTATTATTTTCATTAATATTTTTTTTTTTTTTTTTTAATAATAATATCCACTGTGAATAACAAATATACATTCATTAAATAGATTATCAAAACCTCAGTACTCGGTGTGGGTACTCGTGTGGTTAAACTTATTAAAATCTTATTAATGTTACTTACGATTTTTCATTAATTGGCATATTTCTTCTAGTTTCACAGTTATCATATTTTTCTGGAAATTCTCTGTAATTCTGTGTATTCCTAAAATTTAGATATTTATTAATACTAAGAAGCAGTAAGAATATTATAATCAAAAGGAGGAGAAGATAACCGAAACAGAAATGTTTAAATGTGTTGAAGAATGGTATGAGGATATCTGTTGTATGTGAAGTGTGGAAGATTAAATTAAGTGAAGTTTAGGATAGGGTAATCCATCCCAAATAATTGGGATGAAGGTAAAGGAGGAGAAAAATAATTTTATTTTATCATTATTATATTATCAATTTGTATACATCATATCTATAAATAATAATAATAAATTCAGTTTTAAATTTTGAAGTGGTTGATTGATTTGAAGACACTCAAAGGCAGCCAGTGTATGGCACGTGCGAGAGCTGGGATGAAAGTGAAGGAGAAGAATAAGAAGTAGAAAAATAAGAAGCACACAAATAAATTGAAAAAACCAAGCTTTCTAGATGTTTATCAGTATCACATACAACTTATTTTTATTAGTAAAGTAAGAAATATTATGCTTAAGCTGTTATTCTTGAAAATGTATAGTTACAGTACAATATAAATAAATAGGTTATTTAATATAAATATTGCATTTCATCATATTCTAAATTTTAAAACAATAAACAAATCAACAAAATAGGACCTAATCATATTAGGTCCTATTTTAGGTACATTTATTTACTAATAAAAATAACAATTACAATTAATTGTTAGGTTTAATAATAACGCACATATGCATGCCTTTTGCTAACTGGTAACAAAACAGTGATACAGCCGCAATATTCTTAATTAATAAATATTATTACAAATCATCATACCAAACTCTATTTCAAGGCAATAATCACCATGGTCACTTGGAAAACGAATATTACACACTTGAGACTCATATATATATGATTTTATGTTGTTTTTTATTTTAACTGTATTACACATTGATCAACATTTTATTAACCAGATAAGGTGATTTATCCCCCTCCTCTTTACCTCCTTTTATAATGACACTGCTATACAACATAATTATTATATTATGCCCTTACCAATCATCTTTGACACATTTTGATTTAAAATCCTCTTTTTTCTTTGGTAAATCATCATTTTTGTGTAAAGATTTGTTTATAAGATGAATTGCTGTCCTTTTAGTAAGTATTCTTTTACACATTACTTCAGTAACAGCATTGGTTTTGATATTAACAGTTCTATTAAACAAAAATAAAAAAAGAGCTGATACTAGGGATGGGTGTGCCACTGTTATAGGTGGACAATTGGGAAGGTAGGATAAAAATAGTCATTTGATTTTTATCTGTAGGCAATGACAAACCATTACAAAAAAAAAAAATTATGGGTGAAGTTTAGTTATAATTGTTTTAAAAAACGGGATTTAAAACCACTTATACAAATTATAACTTCTAAATAAAATATCAAATGTCTATAAAGAGCTCAAAAATTAACAAAATTTTTTGATCGTGTCTAGAAAAGGTCAAACGAATAAAAATTTTAAAACTAATAAGTATTTATAACCATATTGTAACAAAAACACAAAATGTATAATAATAAAATTGTTATTTCCGACTTTCCTGGTTTGCTGTATTCTCAAGATAGCTGCACTAACTCAAAAATCGACTTTCAAACTCACCAACTAAACACAATTTTTTTTTCAGAAAAAATAATTACACTTGAAAATTTCTGTGATTTCTGGTTGATATATAAAATAGAATAAATCAAAAATAATGAAATTGCTAAATGTAAATTTGTCATTTTTAGTTTTATGGTTTTTCATTTATTATGAAAGTTGCTGGAAAATTAAAAAAATTGATTTCCTAATGGTATGTTTCCTTGCCACCACATTGGTAATACACAATCTCTATAGACTGATCTCTTATGCTCATAGTTATGCAGTGGTTTGCAGTACTACAGAAACTAGTTGCTGTGACCAGTGACAGCACTAGTCTAAGAGCAGTGTATCGCAACCATCACACATGAAACCATGCAAAAATTAAATTTTTTTACTAAGTTGTTTGGTTCTTTTGATAATTCTGTTTCCATAACTGATAACAAGTCATAATAAGTCATAATAGTTTATGCTAAGAAGAAAATGTAAGTCCTAGAATAATGGGGTCGATGCAGCCACTGTTGTAAGAAATTAATTTAATGTGCACCTGTAAGTAATAATAAATGGATTCCGAGTTCAATTGATAGCAGTTTTGCCAACAATACATATGTCATATTATGACAAAATTCTAATTATTCTAATTCAAAAATTAAGTGGATCCCGTTTTTCCACATTTGTTGAGAAAACTCCTGAGAAAATCAAAAACCTACCTCTCAAAACTACCCCATTAAAGAAATTTTCTTTTAGAAAAATTACTATCATTAAAGTTTGAGCTGGTAAAAAAAGTTGTCCACAGAAAAAAAATTGTAATAATATACTAATACATTTCGTACATTTTTTAGTATTTTGTATTTAATAAGAAAACTTGAGAAAATCGAAAAATGACCTCTTTAAAGTACTTTCTCACACAGATTTCCTTTCAGAAATGGTGCTACACATAAAATTTGAAGCAAGATCTCTGTAGAAAAGTTGTCCACAGAAAACAAAAAAACACTTTTGTAAAACCATAAGCTTCTTTGCTCCACTCAAAACCCAAATTTGTATGTAATTTTGTAACAGAAGGCTTATAATTAAAATTTGAAAGTATCCTTCTGTTTATCCACTTTTTGTCTTTTTTACTTTAATTTAATATGTTCTATTAATAATTCATCTTCCTTTTCCTCCTCAAGCAGGAGTAAAATAATTTTTTTTAGAAGCTGCTTATTAGAAACAGTGATGTCTCAGTACAGGCAAGCTGTATATTTAAAACATTGAAAATCAAGTGTGTTATTGTAATAGAAGATATCAAAGTAATGTAGTTTTGAAATCTCAAACACTTGAACAGGCTAATGCTGATGCTATAGAATAATAAATCAGCAAGAGACCCCCATCAAATTAAGAAATTGTGGAAGCTCATAGTGTGTGTTCTCAGGAAAGCAGTTCAGCACTATTCTGATGAAAAAGGCTGTGGGCAGCATTACTCTTATGAAGGCATGATAAGTTACTCAAGCAAAAAAACATCATTAGATAAGTACATATTTTACATAATATAAAATGTAATAAATAATCAGTAGAATATGCTTTTAAATGTTCAATTGTATAATTGACACATTTCATTATGATCTAGGAATGTTTTAATAAGTGGCTTCAACTTTAATTGTTGAAATACTCATATTGAAAAAAATTAAATGAAAAACAAGTAAATATCTTCACTATATTAATAGTTGAGCGATATTAAGTTTTAAAGTAACACAACAAATGGTCATATCTAGAAATCTGTACCTTACCTACCAACTAGATAAAATTTTCATTCAGAAAAGATGCTACTCTTAAGATTTGAAGCAAGATTTCTGGTAGAAAACTTTTAAAAAAAATTAAAATAATAGATTGTTAAATTGCCCAGCACTAATATAATTAATATAATATAATTTTGTATGGTAAAAAGACAATATTAGTATTAGATTAACATTCAGTATAATGTTTAGTTTTTATTTAATATCAAACACCCACTTGTAGTCAAAACAGCACAGAAGAAAACAGGTCTATTACTATTTAATATAATTCTGCATATTTCTATTTCTATAAACATAATAAATTAACAATACATAATATAGGTACCTAATGTAATATAACATAATAATACAGTTATTTTTTCAGAAAGTAATTTGGTTACACCTTGTAATGTTTCAATAAATGATTGATAATGGTTAGTGGTATAAAAAAACCTAAATACATTAAACAAATTCTAATTGCACTATTGGCTTCAGGGCACATTAAATCACATATATACAAGATTAAATTTGAAAATATACATTAAAGGTAGGTAAATAATTGTGTGAAGTGAGCAACTTTTACAAATGTAAAATGTGCAAGTACAACTCAGCCCAATGGTGTCATTCATCTTTTATCAATTTGTCATAACTCAATGTAGACACACTAAAAACAGTAAATCTATATCATTTTTCTTAGAAGTGAACATTCTTTTAAATTAATAAAAACATATGTTTTTATGTTTTATATTCATTTTAATTTAATTTAATTTGTCAACAATTATCTATGGAGTTATGATTTTAGCTATCTGTTTGTATGTATGTATGCATGTTAGTGTGTGTATATTTCATCATAAATTATAAACACATACCATAATGGTTCAATAATCTGATATAAAAAAGCCATGAATATGTTGATAAATATTAATTATTATGTATTATAATATTTTTATTAATCAGACACGTCATGTTCACATAAATTAATAACTTTAAAAAAAAAAAAAAGTAGGAATTTCTCAGGAATCTGTAAATTCTAATAATTATTATTAAACAATAATTTGTAATATAACTATGACAGAAACTCATGAAAAATCCATGAATGTTTTATTAATACTATTATGGGATATTACAAATATAAATAGTTAAAAATAAATCCAATAAAGGTTATTTAGGTAGTTTTAGTATCAGTGGTTTAGTAAGTGGATGCAGTGGCATCTGTTTTACATAGCAGTAGTCTACTAGAGAATACACTGTTGGAACAAGAACTAGATGTGTCACACATCTAGGAATGTATTGGTTTTACAATTATACATAATATTTAAATTGAAAATATTATTTAAGATGTTTACTACCCAATAATTTTATTTGAAATGACACCTATGCTTTATACAATGTTTTAATTTAAACATTACGAAGAAAATTAATGTAAGTATATTTATAAATATGTTTATTATACGGTATGGCCATTCTGACATAAAATGACTAAAGAAGGGCACATTTTATAAGTCCAATAGTGACTAATAGTGACTGATTATTGTACAAATTGCTCAATAAATAATATTGGTAGAAGCTTGTAGGCCAGATAATGTTAATGGCTCTGTAAATTATCAACTATTGGATATATGAATGATAGGTTCAATTTCAATTTGGCAACATTAAAAAAAGATAGGATTCCTGATGGGTTTTAGGGTAGTAGGTCCAAATTTAGGGTAGTCTAAAAACTTTCATCCAAATCCCATGAAGTTAGTTACATTATATTTTATCCAAAAATGTACATCTAAATTCTTATATCTTACGTGGCACTTGATGGTCATGCACTGAGTGGATATTTTTCAAGGATTCAGGGGTCTTTAATTTGGCTCGGTAACTCTAAAATGGCACATGGATACATCTATAATCATGATAATAACTCATACTATTCCACTCCATTAGAAACCAATCCAAAGTCAAAAGAAAGAAAAATGAACAGTAAAAAATGGTTTTCTGAAAACGTGGTTGACTATTGAGGGAGTTCACCACATGAGATCTTGAGTGAATTACTTAAAAGGATTCAACTATTAGTGCAAAGGGAAAAATATATGAGCAATTAAACCTACCACATGTCAAAAGTCTAGTCTCAAAAAAAATGAATCATTTAAAATTGTAGTTGTCAAAAACTTTGGTCAGGAACCATTGAATGTTATGATTGTTGATAACTGAAAGAAATGTCACTCATTGCAAAACATTTTAATATGACGTTTTATAAAAAGTTTATATTACAACATTTTAGAAATAATTATGAAGAAAACCAATAGTGAAGTGGCCAATGACATGTATTTTTTAAAAAAAAATGTATTTGTTCAATGTTTTATGGTATGGTATTGTTTGCAGAAATACTATAACTATTTAATTTATAGTATTCATAAATTCAAATTTGTTAAACCTTCATTGACATTATTTTAGAAGCCCTGTGCAAGAAATCTTTACCTGGTGTGCCTATTTTGTGAAATGTATTAAAGTTTAAAACTAGAGTTGTTAATTGCATTTGTATTTGTAAACCAGTGGTCAAAGTGGAGGGAATACAAGGATGACATCCCATCACTTATTATAATCTACATTTTTTATCCCTCCACTTATTTTGTCCAAAATAATACATCCCCCTTATAATTATACACAAAGATTATCGATTTACATTGTCAATGTAAATTTAATTAAAATTTTTATATCATAATATGTCAATATAGTCTATAGACTATAGTAGGTAATGTAGTAATAGATTAATTTTTTTATTTGTTTTTATTTCTACTGTATCATTATACAGTAGAATTAATAATAAATTAATTATAATTATATAATACATACTGTTAAAACCTATTGATAAACTGAATGTGCATAAATTATGTACTTATGTAAAGATGTTTTATATTTTAAATAAAAATATCATTATATGTATATAAAAATTTAAATATATCAACAAATAAAACACCAAAATGTATAATATATATAAAATTGTATTATAAAAATAAGGTTTAGGGCCATAGGAGTTCAACTCATCTCCACCTCCAATCACCCCTACATATATAAGCCATAATATAAGAATAGTATAAAAGTAGGCATCCCTCCGCTTATTTTGAGCCACATAAACCACTATTGTACCTATTACATTTCCATGGTAATTATCTAATTTTGCAATATTATCAATACAAATATTAAAAATATTAATTGTAAAAAAAGATACAATCAATATTGGATGATATTAAAATTGGACAAAACTTACAGCTGTAAGCTGTTGTAGTTAATATTACAATAAATTATACTATTAATTAATATTTACTTTGTTTCAATTCCTTCTTCTCCGGTTCCTGAATTAGATCTCCAATCTGTTTGAATTTCTTTTTCTTCCGTTTCTGGATTGACTTGACAATCTATTTCAATTTCTATTTCTTTAGTATCTGAATTAGATATAATATCTGTTTGAATTCCTTCTTCTCTAATTTCTTGATTAGAACTAACAAAGACAAAATCAAGATAATTCATAATTATACTTTCAAATTTATTTTATATTATTTTTCTTACATTGATTCAACTAAATTTTCATCAGTTTCTAAAATAGATCTATAATATAATAAATTTAATTAGTATTATTGAGGCAAAATTAACCATTATAGAGATCATATAAATAAATACAGATTAATATTATAATTCAGAAGTCTACATTAAAATATATTAACTTAAAATAAATATTATACTTAATAATTTCATATTATTTTTTATAATTATAACCACATTTTAGAAAACTAATTAGATGACTACATGTACTAATTACTCCTTGTTATTACACATTTTTTACACGAGATACATTTAATTTTTTTTTAAATTTAATTTAAATGTTTACTTTGTATTTGTTTCTTCTTGAGGCTGGGATTCAGCTCTAAAAAAAATAAAATAATAATAATAATAAAACTTTTAATAGTATATAATGAAAATATGTAAATAGATACTTTTGATGGATAGGATTATAATTTTGAGAGTCGAGTCCAAGGTTGAGTCTAATAGAAAAATATAATTAACAAAGCATATTTTCAATGTCTAATTTGTAAATACTTTATAATTAGAAGAAATTAAATTAATACAGTTTAGCTCCCAAACCATTTTTTGGGATTTTTTTTTCAAAATGTGTTTTTGCATGCTTAATTTGATGGTACTTTCAAAAAGTCACTCAAACTTCCATTAAAAGTTATGGTAAAAAAAACTTTGAATTAATTGATTTTTCAAAAAATAGTTTTATAATATTAAAAATTAAAAAATTTGGACTTTTTTTTGTAAATGTTAGTATTATCATAATCTACAATTGGTGAAACTAGTATTAACTTATAGTACCTATTTGCTTTTTATGTTATTGTTAGCAAACTGCATTAGACGTAATTATAAAGTAATTTCAAACATTAATAACGTCAATTTAAAAAAATCCATGATGGAAAAAGAATTGGTGGTTATATCTGTTATTGCACACTAAATGAAAAAAAAGTCAATTTTAAGTTACTTTAATATGTAAATTTTTGGAATAACTTTATAATTAAGTTTTGTGAGGTTTGTTAACAATAATATAAATAACAAGTACAATAGATTAATTCTGATTTCATCAAGCTGTTTATCACGAAAATACTAACATTTACAAAAATTTAAATGTTTTGTAGTTTAAAACTTAAAAACACGATATTAGGAAATTGAGTATTTTAAAATTGTGTTTGGCATTACTTTTCAAAGAAAGTTTGGGAAGCCTTTTTTAAAAGTACTATCAAAATAAGTACCAAAAAAATTATAAAAAATCACTAGGGAGCTAAATTGCATTTATACCGAATAAATTGTATATGGTATGTACACTTTGTGAAATGAGAAATTTCATTAAGTAGATGTAACATACTTCATTAGACGCAGGCATACCTATTTTAAGTATTAAAAAAACAATGTTTAAAAACTAATCAAAAAGTTCAAAGACTAGGTTTTTCCTGTTTTAGCAGTGGAGGATCTATGTGAACTTTACTACACCACTGTTGTCAATAAAATATGTTATTTATTTGTATAAAACTTACTCAATGCATGATTCATTCTTTACAAGGTTGGTGACAAATTTATTTATTTCAATTTGTTCTTTATTTTTATTGGAACCCATAACATAACCTAATGAAGAATAATCTTCACACCTACCAAATAAATTAATAAAAAATATATAATCTGGGGATAGAGAGGGACAATAATAAAATTTGGTAAAAATTAAAGTTATAAAGTATCATTAAAACTTTAAAAGAAATGAGATAAACATTTTTAAATTTTAAGTATGTAAAATACCTAATATTTACTTGATTGCATAAATTGTTGTGAAAGTTTATTTTAAGAAATCAAATACTGAATATGAGATTTATAGTAATTTAAAAAGTTTATATTTGATTATTAAAAAATGTTTTAATAATATTTATTTTAAAAAATGTATGATTATTACCTTTGTTTAACAGGTGACCCTGCTAAATTGATTGCATTTCCTGCTATCTTAAGTTTTTCAGATATACATTGAAATAATGTACTAAATTGGAGCAAGATATATGCAGCAATATCAAATGAAATTCTTAGTAAATTATAAACCATGTACTTCATTACGTTTAAATAAAAGTTAGTAGATAGCCAGCATTCAGGTCTAAAATTATAAAACAAACAAAAAGATATAATACCTATAAGGAACTTAATTGTTCCTTAATAAAGCTAATTAAAAACTAAATATTTTAGTTTTTGAGTGGAGAAAGAGATGAAGTATGGCTTTTGGGTCTGAGAAAAAAATGTTACATAGATTTTTTGTTTACATACCATCCTTGAAAACAACACTCTATCGATCAGATTTTTGATTTTACCATTTTCAGTCCGTACATAATCATACATTTTTTTATATATCGTAATGAAATTTTAAATTTGTAGGTAGGTACCTATTATAATTTGTGAAGACATGATTTTTTTTTTTTTTTTTATCTATTTCCTATATATGAATAAGTGCAAATGTGAAGAGTGAATTATCATATATAATATTACATAGGTAATTTAACTATTTTATGTTATTTGGTAGACCAATTTTGACATTTTTCTCAGACCCAAAATCTAGACTTCAACCAAAAGATGTATAAGATTATTGATTTCAATCAGTTAAGTTTAAATTTTTATATAAATAAAGAATTTTATTTTAATAACCTAGTTAAGTACATTGATTTAAAAAAACAACACCTATCTATATAATATTATATTATGTGTTTGTTTGTCATAAAAGTTCATATGATTAAGTAGTACAATGTAAAAAATAAAAGTTTCTAATGAGCTGGAAATTTAATTTACAAAATGTAAAGCAGACAAAATATGAATTAAAATAGACATTGGAAATTAACAAAAGATATGTATTAGGTACTTAAAAGAATTTAATTCTAAAATAAATTTAAAAAAATCGAAGAAACTTTTAATATTTAGTTTTTTTTGCTAACATGACTTTTTTCACAAAAACCCCTTTTGGGGGGTGATCAGATTTTTCCATGTAGTATATTTAGAGATGAACATTGTTATTTGATGATTGACACTTTAATAGAAAAATTACATTTATCTTTTAATAATTGGTGAATAAAATATTCTCATATTTATTCATTCAATAACCGAGATACCTACTTTAAATGATGTTGGTAGGAAATGACTGTTATATAGATACCTACATATCTATTAAAATATCGTATTAATTGATAATGATACAAAAAACCACGACTATCGTCATCGTGATATACATTTATATATTTGGCACACGATAAATACTACGAATTCGCATTATTACTAGTACGGTGGTTACTTACTTCTTGACGTCGGTCGCCATTACACGCCGAGATTACACTCGTGGCAGTCCAACGATGTCGGATGGGAAAACGTGGAATCTCAACTGTAATTATATGTATAATATTTTTATTATCAATTATAAATCATTATAATCGAAGTACTTTTATATAATGACCTTAATGGACAAACGAACACAAAAATCAGAAATCAAAACTACAAAATACTCGAACTTCTAAACTCTGTACAAAATACAATATAATATTAAAATACCGGCCGGAAGGTATCTACACCGATATACGATCCAGTTTAACCAATATAATTGTGAGCAACGAGAAAATGTTAAAATTAAGTTATCAATGCCCATGCCTATTATAGTACTAAAAACCAATGTAAATCAATTGTAGTTTATAAAAACAAAATATCAATATAATTTGGTCGGAAGCCCAATTTAAAAAATGATCTTACTATCTTAAATCGTAGTCGGAAGTCGTGATGTCAAATTCAAAAGTGCTGTAGCTGCTATCGTATCGCTGTCGACGAAATAATCAGAAAAATAGAAAACGAAATGGACGAGTTATTATAAGGATTATATTATTGAAAAAGATGACTCACGGATGGGAGATGTGGTTGATGACATTTTTTTTGGCACTCCCAGTGTGTTCAGATTAATAAAACGAAAATTACGCTAAGGCGCGAACACTGAACAACAGTAAACTGTAACCGGTACTTAATTTTTTTTATATATTGTCTAGTTTCTGAGTGTAACGGAAAATTTATTGGTTTTTCCATTAATCATGTGAGCCTAAAATAAAACTGATAAATAACTATTATATTTATTTTAACATCAATTTCTTATTCATATATTATTTCGTTTATTATCACAAAAGTCAAGTTGACGATTTTGATCAGAATGTAGGTACCGGGTTTTAATCTAACCTATTATTAACTGTTAGACTGCTACAATGTATATTTATAATAACAACTTAGTGTACTGTACTATATATACTATACTATACTATAAACCGTATACATTTCTTATCGCAATTGTTTGCATTTTGTGTTATTTATTTTAATTCACTACAAATCAAAAAAATACAAGTATACAGAGTATTTATTGTTCAACCCAAAATGTTCGGTTTTATTATTTTGGAAATTGTTTGCGAGAACTTACGCGATTGAAAAATAGAAAAAGGCGAACATACATCGCACGTGGGTAGGTCATTGTTGTAGGTGAGAAGTAAGGAAAAGGGACAATTGAATGTATACTGTACGCAACAATTAACAATTTCTAACGAAAAACAATTTTGAGCGGAGTTTGGTGTTTTGTTTTGTCAATAATACATGTGTCATATTGTGGTAAAATAATTGCATTTGCATTCTATATTTTCTTTAATAATATTTGTTTAATATTGCACTTGTTTTTCCGTTCTCCCGGTTTTCCCATTTATTGGGAAAACTCCTAGGAAAATCAATAAATTGCCTTCCCAAAGTACTACCCCTGTCAGATTTCCTTTAAAAAAAAATCTACTATAATTGAAATTCGGAGTAAAATTACTGGTAAAAATTTGTCCATAGAAAAATAAAAATTATAAAAAACAAACATCATTGTAAAACCAATACATTCCTCACTCCGCTAAGAATCTAAAAAATAATTTAATGGTGAAAAATATTGAGCGTAATTTAGTAATTTTTTTAAGAACCTTTTTTAAGTTGGTTCGAATTTCAATGAAAATCGTAAAAATCATTCACACCATTGCATGATGGGTACAGCTCTTATTATACTACTACTGCATTAGTGTAGTCTACAATTACATGCGTGCGAACGAGGCAAGCCCGTATCCAGGGGGGGTTTTAAGGGTTCAAACACTCCCCGAAATTTTCCATGTTTCCATTTCCATGTTATCTTATTAAATTAAATGCAAGTAGCAATGAGTTAAAAAATTTCATTGATTTTTACAAAAGCTTTTTACCGACTTATGACACTTTTGAGTCAGAATTGAAGGTGTGGATGGAAAAATGGAAATCAGTACCCGATAAATAACTTCCAAAATCTACAATCGATACTCTAAGCGCTATGTCGAAGGACCTTTATCCAAACATTTGATGTTTACTATCCATACTTGCAACACTCCCAGTGTCGACTTCGTCAGCAGAACGTACTTTTTCAACTTTAAGACGATTAAAAAACTATTTGAGGAATAGCTGCAGCGATGATCGTCTAACAGGTTTAGCTTTATTGTCAGTCCACCGGAGTATCTCAATAAATATTGAAGAAATAATCAATACTTTTTCCAAAATGCCACGCAAGGTTGATTTAATAATTTAATAATATTATATTTTGTACTGTATACTATTATCATAAAGTTTATAATATAATAATTTNCCCCCCCCCCCCCGAAAATTGATCTTAAATACGTGCTTGGAACGAGGTAGACAGGAGAGGCAGCTGCCATCTCCGAGATTTTCCGGCATTTTAAAAAAAAATTAATTTATTTCATATGAATTTTTCAACATTTTCAACTCTTGATATTTTTGTATTTGTGTAAATAGAAGACAGTGGATTTGGGAGATTAGGCCCCAAACAACTGAGCTAAACTCCCTAAAATCAAGTCCTCATCAAGTAAATACTAATAATACCTCATAATCATTATTATGTAGACTTAAGTCCCCTCCAAAGAAAAAATATTTATCCATTTGTGCCAGTGATATTTGTGTAAGGTTTGATTTAAGAAACCATTGATTCCTCTACTAAGAGGACTTGCGTATCGATAATCTGATTTTTTGGTGAGAAGCTTAAATTTCGGGGGAGGGGTTCCAGACTCTATGGACCTCTCCTTGCTACGTGCCTGCTGTGCACCCTTATGACTATAATATTACATAAAATGGGTACAAAGTACTATCATCAGTTGTATTTTTTTTTAAATCTAGAATCTGGATATCCATCCGCGCAACGATGGTTTTTATTGATTTTATAAGTCATACGAGGTGTGGCTATTAAAAAACGAGTAATGCGTTAGGTACCTAGATATCTTATCTATGCATGTACCAAAACACGTTTTCGTCACTATTATAGTATTTGTGCAGTAGTGATTTAAAACGAACGTGTTCTTCTCTCGTGCCGAAAACCATGTGTGACGAAAAACATGAGCAACGGATAAACGTAAAATGTTCTCGTTAAACTAAACAAAACTCCAACTGAGTGCTATAAGTTGTTAAAAGAGGCCTATAGTAGCATAAATTATTTTCTGAAGGTCGAGAGTGCACCGGAATCCAATTCAGTCGTAATCCAAATTCAAAACCGTTTTCTTCGATATCAACGGCATCGTGATGAATGAATGGGTTCCAGAGGGTTAAACTGTGAACCATTATTACTATTTGACAGTTTTGGCAACATTGTGCGAATGAGTTCGTAAGAAACGGTCGATATTGTGGAAAAACAATTCGTGGATCTTGCACCAGGATAAAGCGTGAAGCGTTATTTGGCTGCTTAAGGCACTCCAGTACTCAAACACGCGTCTTACTCACCCGACTTGGCACCCTGCGACTTTTACTTGTTTCTGAAGATAAAGTCTGCCTTAAAAGGAATCCGGTTTGAGTCAATGGAAGAGGTGAAACAAAAATCGGCGGAACTCCTGGATGGTCTTACGAAAACAGACTTCCTGCACTGCCTCGAGCAATGGAAGAAACGAATGAAACGGTATGTGGCGAGGGGAGGGGAGTATATTGAAGGGGAGCATTTGAATGTAGAATAACTTTTATAATACTCGTAAAACACTTTTTCGTAACCAGTCTCGTTATTTAACAGTCACACCTCGTAATTTATACATACAAATCAAAACGCCAAAGCCATAATAGTATAGTATACTATACTATAGATTATATAATATACCCTGTTGTATTAATTGTTTATGAAGGGGAACTACTTTAGTAGACAACAGAATAATAACAATATAGTGATTGTGTTATACGCTTAAGAGTTAGCTTTACTATTATAGAATAATAATACGTACCTACGTCAAATAACGAATCAGTTTCTTTGTTCATTAAATGAAAACGGGGTTCTCATTGAACATATTGGTCTTTATTACGTCTCTAACAGCCAGTATTTTTATATTTATTATCTAATATGTATAAATAACCATTATATTTTAAATAAAGTAGAGATTAGGAGCTAGGGGGTCTTAGCCCCCAAAAATTATTAAAAATAAAAAAAATTTATCTAGCCTCCCAAAAATGACATTTAACCCGAAATTAGAATGAGCGTTTATGGTTTATTAAGTTTTTATATGTGATAACGAATGGGTATGTATATTTAATACAAGTAATGATCTTTTTTTTTTTTAAATAGTCCTCTCCCCCTAAAATTTAATTAAATCTTTGTTTATGATTATAATAGATATTTATTCTTTTGGCTTCGAGTCAATTTCATAATAATTACAATATTTTACTAACAAAAACACGATGATTAACACTGATACGACTGACGAATCAGAATACGGACGAAAAAGGATTTGGTTATTGCTCAACCGTAGGTGGTATCCTGAAATTCACTGTGTATATTTTTAATATTACTTAAGTGGTACTTAAGTAGGTCGAAGTACTTAAGGTACTTAGGTACTTAAGTATCGAATTTTGTAACCTATATATTTTAAATGTTAGATTCTGAGTGAAGCGAATAAGCTTATGGTTTTACAAAGATGTTTATTTTTTTTTTCTGTAGACAACTTTTCTACCAGAAGACTTGCTCCGATTTTTACGCGCAGCAACTTTTCTAAAAGGAAATTGGTGTGGAAAGTTAAATTTAAAATTAATTTTTCGATTTTCGCAAGAATTTTCTTATCAAATGTAAAAAACCGAAAAAAAAAGGGAAAATGTGTGGAATATATTTGTATAATGTTAACAATTTTTTTTTCAGCGGACAACTTTTCTACCAGCAATTTTGCTTTAACTTTTAATGTTTCTAAAAGGAAATTACAGTACAGAGGTACTTTTGAGAGGTCATTTTTCGGTTTTCTCAGGAGTTTTCCCAGCAAATGTGAAAAACCGGCATAAAACATGAAAAAACCGGAAAAAACGTAGAAAAACTGGAAAAATCGATTCAACATTGTAAAAAAAGTATTATTAAAGAAAATATAAAAAGTCTATTTAATTACTATAAAATTTAATATTATAATATTTACTATAAAATGATATATATATATATATTGTTAAAAAACATTACTATCAACTGAACTCTGCTCTAAATCGTTTTTTCGTAAGCAATGGTTTATTTTTGCTTACAGATATGCATTGAATTATCTATAACAGTGGCTGCACCTGTCCCCATCATCCTAGAACGTCTTTTTATTTGTAGAATGTAAATATAATTATAATAAAAACACTTAAACGCGCATGTACATATTATTAAGTCGAAACATCGGAAACCATCACAAAATGAACAAATTAATTTTCATATATTATACTCATTATAGACCATTAAGGAGTGGGAAATTAGACACACATCCTAAGATTATAATTTTTAAAGTATGTTTAGATTTGTTTACAAATTGTTTAGGTTTTTGAGAAGTCAATTTTAGATAAAGTATCAATTTGGTATCCCTAAAATAAATACAAATTTAATTCGGCATTCACTATTTTCACGAAATTTTAAAAAATAATTAATCTAATTTCGAAAGTTTTCGAAACAGAAC